AAATAAACAAATAAATAAGTGCTGAGATGCATTTAAGTTAAAAATTAGTCTATATTTAAAAAAATATTTAGTAATTAACATTAGAGTTACATGAGGATATGATAGAAAACATGGGTTGTAGGACAACTGAAATTTCAGTGTGAGTTGATTTGCACCCAACTTTAGAAGAAGACAAGATTACACAAAAATGAAAACTGAAGGCTATTTAAGAAAGCTTCTAAATTCATATTACTCTGTGTCTACCGGGATATAACACACATGTACAACTATTACCATTTCTTGAGAGATTATCCCATGCAGAGTATCAATGTTTTATATAGAGTTAGCTGGATTTTCCAAAGGAAGGTCAATCTTGTTCCTTTGTGTTAATGAAGTTTAGGAGAGTGGAACTTTGAATGTCAAATACTTCAAGGTAGACTCAGGTAAAAAAAGAAAAATCATAATTTCTAGTACATCAATAAGAAAAGAAATGAGAGAAAAATTATGTTTTTCAAGGGTAAGTGTGCTTGTTTCTGAAAATATGTCCACAAGTAAAGAGGAGGAGGGTGGGCGAGGGAAGTAGAATGGATCACAAAGTATTCCCAAAGGATACACCTTCTGAAAAAATGCTCAGTGTCAAATGAATGAGTTGAAGCTCCTCTTAGAAGCCATCTAAAGCAGTCTTTTCATGGTAATACTTTTAGAAACATCTAGAAACTTGGGGCACCTGGTTGGCTCAGTTGGTTAAGCGTCCGACTTCGGTTCAGGTCATGATCACATGGTTCGTGTGTTCGAGCCCCGCATCGGGCTCTGTGCTGATGGCTAGCTTGGAGCCTGGAGCCTGCTTCTGATCTCCTCTCTCTGACCCTCCCCTGCTCACGCTCTCTCTCTCTCTCAGAAATAAATAAAACATTAAAAAAAAAAGGAAGAAACTTCTAGAAGCATTTGTAGTGAGAAAATTCTGAGATCATTACCACAGATTTGCCTCCTTTTGGACAGAATTCTTTTTAAAGGCCTACTACTGAACTTTCATTACTTCAACAGTAAGTACAGTCCTTAGACAAATAATACAATTTCTCCTAATTTACACCATAATGAACACTGTAAACTACTTACCTATATTTTGAAGGGGGAAAAGCAATAGCAATATCAAATATACAAAAGTCACTTTTAAAACATTTGCTCTGCCTAGTTTTCATGCTCTTTCATTTAGGAAACTTCTTGCTGCTGATCTTTTTTTTTTTTTTTTTTTACCTTTTTACCTTTTGAGGTAACAGAGGCCAATCCCACCTTACAAATAACTCTCTTTAGAAAGGGGCAAAGCTGAACATTAATTCTCTGTAGAGAAAACTGGGGAACATCTTTCCACAAATCAAATGCATTCCAGAAAACTTGTCACTGACATGAAACAACACACCAGGGCTGCTGAAAGCAGGTGATGATAGTTCGGACATTTCCACACCTAGACCAAATATGAAGAAAGGCACTAAGTCACCACACGCTAGTCTCAGACAATAGGCTCCCTGACCAGATCGAAGGCAACCTCGTACAGTACTCTTCGTAGCAAGGAAGAGCTTCCTTTGCTTCATCAAACCAATCAAAATTTGCCTTATCAAGATTCCCAAAAACAAGAACTTGTCCTCTTATGTTTCATGAATTATAGTGTTCATGTTTCCACTGTTTCTGATGTAGAGCCTACTGACTTGCTACACCACATTGCTACTCCCACAGCTACAAACCCTGCTGAAACTAAACATATCATTATTTTTCTCATGGTTACAGTATTGTTATCATCACCATCATCATCCTTTTGGAGGGTCACAAAGAGCACCAGAAATGGGTAGTATTCTCCAGCATGACTTAATCACACAAGCGATTATACTGTACCTACGATGGGCAATCCAGGGTCTTGAGTGTACATGACATTAACACAACTATGTTCAAGTCCTCAAACTCTTTGTTCACTTTGTTCCTTCACCACAGAGAACTCTTGGCTCTTGTATTTACAGAAAATAGTAACAGAGGAAGCATAAGCCTTTCTCATTTCTCTCTAATGCTGATGAATCTATATTCCTCTTAATCTCTCTTCCTCCTCCCTTTCTCTTTCATGTGCTGACTCTATGTTAATTAGTAGCAATTTCAGGAGGGGTGCCTTTCCTGTGTTTTTTTAATATCCCTACAGTGGCATACTCTCATACTCATTGTTTATTTTTTAAAATATTTTATTTTTGAGAGAGAGTGCATGCGAGTGGGGGGAGGGGCAGAGAGGAAGGGCGGGGACAGAGGATCCCAAGTGCTTGCACTGACAGCAGTGAACCTGATGTGGGGGCTCAAACTCAGGAGCCAAAGCGTTGAGATCATGACCTGAGCCAAAGTCAGAAGCTCAACCAACTGAGCCACCCAGGCGACCCTACACTGTTTCTTTTTTTGCATCTAATATGAATGCTTGCAGTCAGCTAAGTAAAACAGTATTAACGCTATGAAATGAGTCAGGGCCTAGAATTTAATCAGGTTCAGGCTCAAACAACATGCACAGTGCATCTCCTGTTAGCAGGTACAGTGAGAGTAGCTGTGAATGTAAAAACATCAAAGCACTGACATTAGTGCTCCAGGGACTCCATAACAAGGTACCACAAACTGGGTGAATTGTAACAACAGAGATTTATTCTTTCACAGATCTGGAGGCCAGAAGTCTGAAATCAAGTGTCAGTAGGGGCCACTTCCCTGTGAAGACCCTAGGGAAACATTGTTCCTTGCCTCCTCCAGCTTCTGGTAGACCCCAAGATGGTTTCTGGTTTGTTTCTTGTCCTATCTTTACATGGCCTTCCTCCCCAATGTCTGTGACTCTCTATGGCATTAAGGATTGAAAGCCCGCTGTAATTCAGCATGATCTCAACTAACTGTATCTGCAAAGACCCTTTTGCCAAGTGAGATCACATTCTGGGGTTCCTTGTAGCTACGAATTGTGGGGAGAAACAACTCAGACAAGTACAGGCACTTATCAGGGTCTGCTCTCCTTCAGGTACCCCACATATTTACTCATGTGTTAATGTGGTTGGTTAAGCTACTCCCCTAGAGTCTACCATGATGTGTAGGAAAAGAATACCTCCTGAACTGCCCATGCTGTGTGGTTTTGTCAGTTTTGTATTAGAATCACGGAATTCTTATTTGTTAGCACAAGACGCAAGCTCTGAGATACAATAACCCATCACTTTACAGATGAGGTGAGTCAGACAGAATGCAAACGTTCATTAGCTAATTAGTGACAGAACCAAAACAAACATTCCCCAAATCCTTCCTCAGGGTTCAAATCTGACTTTTCATGTCTATTAGTATAAATAACTTTCATTATGCCTTTTTCCATCTGAGCTCATTGTAGGGCTTGACTACCCCCAAGAACAGCTTCTCATATTACTGCATTAATACAGCACCTCAGAACAACATAGACGCAGGACACTTCTCTTTCTTCAATGTTGATTGCCCCCTACCACTCTGGGAGGAGTCTATGGATCTTCAGTATTGGTAAAAATTCTGGATGTAAAAAACACAAGAGCTTTTTCATAATGATGTTGTCCAAACTTCCTCTGACTGTAACTATGGACACCATATGTTCAGTTAGACAGGCTAAAAACCAATTTTAAATTGTCAATCTTGAACAATATAATGAAGCTTTTTCCCAGGGAAAAGAACAGAAAATACGCCTGTTTCTTTATTTGTGCACCATGAAACTTCTTATTTATTCACTCCAATTCTGCATTTACACAAAAGTGCTGTAATAAAATATCTGTACACTACTTCTGTTACAAATATAGATAATATTTAAAGTGACTTCATATATTCTAATGTAGGAGTTTCACGCTCTAAAATGGGAATGAACACATGATAATTCCTTACCAGTTGTCTCAATAAACAGCTCCATCTGTTTCCCTTAGTCTTAAACTATTGTATTATAAGATGTTAATATAAGGCAATGAAATGAAGTTATGTTAATCCCCTTAATTTTTCTATCAATTTACTAATGGCACGCAACCAAAATAATTACTAACACATTGCTTTTTTCTCTGTCATTAAGATTAATAGTAATTGAAAACCAATTGCACAGCGTGCTAACACATTTTTAGTGTTGCATCGGTTAAAACCAGCATTAAAGATTCTGAAAGACTTCTGTGTTCCTCCATGGTTAGTGTGGCTGCGTTCTAGTGAAACTCCAGTCAACAGTGGGTGGCAACACCACTGTACTTGTAGAAACATGAAAATATTTTGTAACAGGTCAAAATAAAAATGAACATCGAGATTTGTATCAAATATTTTCATTATGAATTTAGGGACACTTTCATACAACTGCTATTGACTCCATCTCAGAAACCCATTTTAGGATAAAATATATGTGTATTTGAAAGGTGAGGAGGTGCAACTTTTCTATAATATTCAAATATTTTAAATACTGAGAGTATTTTTAAAGATTTTCAATAGGAAAATTGTTTCATTTAGAAATGGGGAGAGGAGTTGAAATGACAAAATGAGGCATTTTTTATAAAACTTGAGATTTTCTTCTTTATTTTATATTTTCAATCTTGCCCTAATTTATTAAAGCCATTTTTCTCAGGTTAGCTTTAGAATTATTTTTTCTCTACTAACCAGTTCAGCATATTGTTATTTTCTGCACATGTGATGACAAACTGTCAGACATCTTTACAAAGAAAGGCTGGATTTACCTATGCACACAGTCCTTCTGTTTAAGTTTATGTTCACAAAATCCAAGGAGAAAGGAAAAATGACACTAGGTGGTAAGAAAATTATTTCCACATGAGAAAAACAAACTTAAATGGTACTTTTCCCCCCACCCAGAGTTTTGAAGAGCCTGCTGAAGACAGCACAGGGAAAGGTGTCCTCAAGACCAATTCCATTCTCTCCGTGGTGCGGGATGTGAGCAAAGGGTTGAGTTGGCTCAACTCTGCGGTAGATTCAGGAGAGAACCATCAAAGTGACAGTTCCTTTTGTCCGCTTAAGGATGGCAACAGCTTCTTCATGGGTCACCCCTTCCAGACTCTGCCCATTGACGGCAATGATCTGATCACCCCTTTTGAGACGCCCATCTTCCGACGCTGCTCCCTGCAATTATAAAGTAGGCTTCTTTGCTTCTCAAAAAAGACTGCCTCGCAGCTACACAACAGAAAAAAGATCTAAACAAGAATGTAAATTGCTCTGCATGTGCACACACATTGCTCTGGAAGCTCCATGGGTGCTCCCTAGCCATTAAGCAATGACGAACATACACAAAGGAGGCCTTGCTCCTGCATCATTTTAGCACTGAGATTCCAATTTTAGAGAGAATTCAGCAGTCAACAGATTAGTTGGATGGTTTTTGGCTGTTCAGCACAGCAGTTGGTGGGAACTCAAATTAATAAAGAATATTTGGGAATTTGCCTAGCAGGAATGATTTCATAGAATCCAGGATTTTTTATCCTGTCAGGAAGGCCTACAGAAGACGACAAAGGATTAGATGTGAACAAAAGCAGCTTTGCAGGACAAGGGCACCGGACCACGGAGCCCGAAGGTCTGCAGGAGCAGGAAGCCCACATGCATGCTGACAAGGGCAAGGCAGGGTCCAAGTCCTACTAATTCTAAATGTAATTCTTTCTGTGGCTTTGAATAGGCCGCTCAGGCTGCTGGTTCTTTTACTTCCTGAGGATACGTGCAGTCTTCATATTTCTTACGGGCCTTAAATGATTAAGATGAAACACACACACTGCTGTTTGAAAAAGAATCTCATCTTCAGGCATGCTTATAGTAGGCAATTATGCAATTAAATATAAGATTAAAAATATGGAAAAGTTAATGAGGAATCCATAATGATGAAATTCTTAAAATATGTTCTAACTAGCATGCCTTAAATAAATTGTTCCCAGGCTGAGGAAAAGGACTGCATGAGTCTTCTATTCACTGACAAATGCTGTTTGTATTTTTGGACATACCAATGGCTTTTTAAAAAAATCTCGTAAATTAAGCCTATAACTAGGTTGCTGTAGATACAGCACTTTAAATTGGTTAAAAATAATAATTCTTTTTTCAAAATAATGGAATAAAACCTCAACACATAGTCACTTTCAAGGACCACAGGGATATGCTAAAGCCATATCGAACTGTTCAAAGGACTGGCCATTAAGAGTTGCCCTTTGCACTGTAAAATCTTGAGATTCCTCCAGATTTTCTCCTGTTGGAAATTATCTCCCATTTCGCAGCTCCTGAAAAATATGTCTTAAGAACATATTACTAATATTATATGGGTTTGAATTATGTTAATAGCATCAATGTTGTGATAAGCTTATTCTAAACATCCTTAAATTAGAACACTTACTGTTATCATTACAACTACACATATATTTCTTAAGAGAATGAATCCCCGGACTACAAAATAGCTGATTTGCAGCAGGTGATATAGCTTCTGGATACTCTGCAATTTTTTTAGTTGTTACTTTTCTATTTTATTCAATAAAATTAAACTACAAAATAAATGCCCTATTAGATATTATTGAATCTGTGAATCTATTTTATGTACTTTTGTGTCTATTTAGTATCTCACAACAAAAAAAAAAATGCAAAGAAGAATAAATGGTAGCACTCTACAGCATATATATTTAAAATAACCTGCTTTTGAAAGACATTCAGTCATAGGCAACCTGTTTTCAAAGGACAAAAAAATCAGGCTTTACTGTCTAACTAAGGTTCATTAATATTTTTATTGCATATTGTCAAGAGTTCCTACGGAATTTCAATTTGAGGCTCTTTTCCTTTAAACATAACTATGCCTCAAATTGGACAAAAATATTTAATGACCTGTTCCTGAAGGGAGTTCCAAAAGAAAATGATCAACTGTTAACCATTTGGCGTTACCTCAGGCCATAAACTAATAAGCCAGCTGCTGACCACTATTAATGAACGTTTAGGGGGAAGAGGGCGGGTGATATTCACAAGCTTACCTTCGCAAACACTGTTTTAACATAAATGGGTAGGTCTCCGTGAGGGCTGCCATATCCTCCTACTATACTGAAGCCTAAGCCATCTGGTCCTCGGTCTAGTGTAATAGATTTACACTGAGGAGGCCTATAGCAAATGAAAGGGAAAAAAAGGGTTTTCTGATTTTTAAAATCCAATCTGTAAGTTATGGATTATCTGACATCCACCTAGAACTAGTACAATTCTCTGTGCTAGTGACAATGAGTATATTACAGGTAATTTGGGGAGGCTTAAACCATCAGTGCATGCTGTGCTCAGTATTTTAAATTTACATAATCTGCCAAAATCCTACTTAACACACCCTAATTCTATTACTCATTTACAGTTCCTTTACACTAACATGTTCATGACATGATCTCACTGCATGCATGCACATTCTTTTTCCCATTTATTTAAAGGGAGAAGGCTAAGTATAGAGGACTACTGTGGAAAAGGCATAAACATCAGTATTTTAATAATTAATAATTCAATCAATTGATAATTAAATTATTTAAAAGATTTTAATATGCTCCTCTCTTCCCCACTTTTTAAAAATTTTTTCTTTAATGTTTATTTATTTATGAGACAGAGACAGAGTGCAAGCAGGGGAGGGGCAGAAAGAGAGGAAGGCACAGAATCCGGAGCAGGCTCTAGGCTCCAAGCTGTCAGCACAGAGCCCCACACAGGGCTTGAACTCACCAGCTGGGAAACCATGACTTGAGCTGAAGTCGGATGCTTAACTAACTAAGCCACCCAGGTGCCACTCTTCCCCTCTCTTTATGTTCTAATTCTTTTGTACCACCTGTTGGAGAATCTGTGAATTTTTTAATCAAAATGATGATTTATTAAATGAGCTAGAAATATTGGAATTGAAAAGGGACAGATTTGATCTGTTCCATGTCACACAGGGTAGTGACATAAGACTAAAATGTTCCCCCCAAAACTCAGGGCCGTGGCATGCTAACTATCTATGCTTGATAAACCGAACCCACACCATAATTACCTGACAGTTTAGAAACACTTGGTTTTTGTACTTCACACCTTGTCTCCTAGTTTTTCACCTTGAGGTGAGTGGCAGGGACATAGAAACCTTAACGTGAGCTCACCCTAAGTCATCCTGAAACATACTGCTTGATGTGAGCCCCGTGAAGGAGAGACTGGAACTGGCCGGCTCCTGCTGATGACTCGTGACCACGCTCACATCTCCTCCAGCAACTACCTGTACACAGGAGAGACAGAGACAGAAACACATGCTCAGGGGGCCAGGGACACATCAGTGATTCTTCTTCAAACAGTGTTTGGATTAAAACATGTACTTTATCGTCCACTTCAATCATTTCTGTTACCTTCATACACAACCAAAGAGAAAGAAATTTCACAAGGTCCAGAGGCCTCTTTGGCTGACAGTAAAAGTACTTTAGTAATTCAATTCTACGGAGTTCTTAGATGCTTTTCAAAGGTGGACTCATATGCAATTATTTGTTAAAGATCTTTAGAACACAAAGCCACTCACACCACTTAATATTCCAGCAATTAACTGTTTACCGCTAAGGCCTTGTATATCTCTCTTTAGATATAAAGTAGGAAGCAATAAATGCATCAGATAAAATGTTTCTTACAGACTTTCTTGGAACTCTCGATGTAATCATCTGTGTCCAAGGGAAATATTAAATACAAAAGTAACAGGAGATTTAAGCACTTTTACTGCTTTAATGTTAAAGCTCAGGTGTCAGGTGAACCACATTATGAAGAGTGGTAGGGACACCAACTCTTACCTGCATTTCAATGGAGCCAGAGGCATTTTTCAGTAAGTTTACTGCTTGGGTGTGAGTCATCCCCTCAGTGGATGTGCCACAGATAGTGACAATCCTGTCCCCAACCTGCAAGGGAGAAAAGAATACAGCCTTCTGCTAAGGCGGCCATGTAGAGTGAGATCCTGAGACCTAAACTGTCATTTCCTTCTCTGCTTTGAACACCACATATACAGTACTCTCAGCAACTGAAATACAATCGAGGGAACCACTCATTTCAAGAAGTAGTGATGGTAAAAGGAAGTGGTATATAATGACTGAGTTCTATAGCCTCTGAGGGAAAGGGGAAACTTGCTCATCTCTTCTCTTCATTTCTCCTGGGGAGGCACTGCTTCCTACTAAAGAATAAAATATCTGGTATCACAAAAAACCATATTTTTTGGACATTATTATTATATACACTAGCTGTGTCTCTAAGTCAGGGGTTGGCAAACGGTGGCCTATAGGCCACGTGTGGCCCACTGCTTGCTGTGGTGGACAAAGTCTGCATGGAAGACAGCGTGCTTAGTGCTTGCACAGGGCAGGGATGACTGGCTGCAACAGACACCATGCATCCCACAAAGACAAAAGTATTCACTATGGGCCTGCACAAGAAGGTTTTCTGCTTTGTGCAACAATCATTTTTTAAGTGTCAGTCACAAACTTAGGTATCAAAAGAGATTGAATTATTTCTAGTTCAGAGACTATTAATTTTTTTATAGTTTATTTATTTTTGAGACAGAGAGACAGAGCATGAGTAGGGGAGGGGCAGAGAGAGAGGGAGACACAGAATCCAAACCAGGCTCCAGGCTCTGAGCTGCCAGCACAGAGCCTGACGTGGAGCTCAAACCCACGAACCATGAGACCATGACCTGAACTGAAGTCGGACGCTTAACTGACTGAGCCACCCAGGGACCCCATTTAGAGACTATTTAAACTAAGACATGGCTATGTTTTGTGACCCTTTTTGACATATGAGGCCATACAGATTGCACTTATAGAGACTTTAATGGAATATTCACATGATTTTAGGGATGGACATTTAGTGTAAATTTCATCATACTGTTCTATATTAGCATAATCCCTCAAGGTTGAAGCAAGTTTTGTACAGTTTTACAACATAGGTCACATTTGTAGTAAACTTCTTCAAGACTGAATATCAATTGCAACCTACATGATAGTTTTCAATTTAATAAAGTTAAACTGACATTTCAGCCAATGACACATGTAAGGAAGAACTTCACTTCATACTGGTGTACCGAAAACACTTTGTTTTCTTTTAACTTCTTTCACAGAGCCTCAAACAAGTAAAAGTATTAAGAAACAATGTTAAATCTTCTCAGCTCATCTACTTGTCAATTTGCATACAGCAGCAAATTCTCTTCTACTTCTCTTCACCTTTTACTCCACAGGAGCCCTGCTGTGGCCAGACTAGCAGATTTAAAAGCAGAATGAGACATTGAAAACTGCCTGCCATTGCCGGGAGGATTCAAAAGGTTTATAAAAACTTCTGCCAGATTTGCGAGGGCCGCCAGGGTTATTAGTAGAACTTACTCTGAGTTTCTGGGTCTGAGCTGCAACTCCATTTGGGTGCATCATTGCAATAAATATAGGGACATCACCAAGAGGGCTGCCCACTCCTCCAGCAATGCTGATTCCCAGGGAGTCAGCAGGCCCCTGCCATGGAATAGATTAAAATATTTTTTTGGTCAATATGGAATTTTAAATTGATGCTTGGTTTCTTTGGCACAATATTCTCTGGTTCACTCAGGTCTTCGAGGTGTGAGGAAAATAAAGCTCCAAGAAAGCTGCATTACTTCATATGACACAGGTCCTTAGCATTACTTAGGAAAATGAGCATCTTGCCAGGAAATAAAAGAAATTAAAACACACTAAATGAAAATCATGTGGTGGGGGTGATGGAAAGAAACAAGGTAAACCGGTGAAGTAAAAGACCCCAGTTTTGGAATAAGAGAGGTCTGTATTCAAAGCCAGGGACCCACACTTCCAAACATTGGGACCTGACCAAGTTCAGCCCTCTTAATCAGTCACTAGACTTCACTGATGAAATGGAGATTCGAGCACCCCTCAAAAAAGGGCTGGAGAAAATATTAAATGAGACAATGATAGCATGATGTGTCTACAAGAATGTTCAGTATACAGCAAAGGCTCAATAAATTGTAGCTGCTTTTATGTTTTCTCTGGTGGATGGCTGTCAGGGAAATCTGTTTCATAAGCATTAAGAAATACCTGCTGAAGGCAAAGCCTCACTTATCAGTATGGCAAGCAAGAGATGGGGTGACTGTGTGGGGCTCAGTGGATGCCAGTTTTGGTAATATAGGATATTCCAAAATAGATTTTTCAAACAAGGTCCTGAGACCCAGAAATTTAGTGAAGACTGCATTGTGCTATTTTCCACTGTATACAGGACATAATTTTTCAGATGGCGTCGTACAACAGGAAGACAACTAATAGGAAGAGATATGCACATGCCTCTGAAGTTCCAACAGAGTTTATATGGTTTTCTCTTATCCAAGTTACCCTTTTTATTTCTTTTCTTTTCAAAAATTTTTAATGTCTATTTTTGAGAGACAGCATGAGTGGGGGAGGGGCAGAGAGAGAGGGAGACACAGAATCTGAAGCAGGCTCTAGGGTCCAAGCTGTTGGCACAGAGCCTGATGTGGGGCTTCAACTCACAAACTGTGAGATCATGACCTGACCAGAAGTCCAACATTTAACTGACTGAGCCACCCAGATGCCCCATTACCTTTTTTATTTCAACTGTTCTTAATCCCTGTATTTCAGATGCCACTGTAAAGGTGAAAAAAGAATAGGGTTATTAAATTATTATTATTATTTTTTTAAATGTTTTATTTATTTCTAGGAGAGAGAGAGAGAGACAGTGTGAGCAGGGAAGGGTCAGAGAGAGAGGGAGTGACAGACTCTGAAACAGGCTCCAGGCTCTGAGCTGGCAGTCAGCACAGAGCCCGATGCGGGGCTCGAACCCACGAACCGCGAGATCATGACCTAAGCGAAAGTCGGATGCTTAACCGACTAAGCCACCCAGGCACCCCAGGTTATTAAATTATTTTTATGTTCAATTAAATTTTAGTCAATGCCTGAAGTTGGATGTGATTAAATGAGATACACTGTTTTTTTTTTTTTTGGTTTGTGGTTTTTTTTGTTGTTTGTTTTTTTTGAGAAGAGGTGCTCAAAGTTGCCGGTACACATGGTTGAATCCATCTTACATAGGGACTCTTTATTTTTCCAGTTGGAAAAGTGTGCACACCATCCCATTTCTTCCTTCTTATTTATTTTTTATTTATTTCTGAGAGAGAGACAGCATGAATAGGGGAGGGTCAGAGAGAGAGGGAGATACAGAATCTGAAACAGGCTCCAGGCTCTGAGCTTGCTGTCAGCACAGAGCCCAACATGGGCCTCATACCCACAAACCGTGAGATCATGACCTGAGATGAAGCCGGACGCTCAACCGACTGAGCCACCCAGGCGCCCCATCTTCCTTCTTATTTTAATCATTGATTATATAACCGCATAATCCACCTTGAATGAGGCCAAGGACAGAATAAGCTTTGGACAGAAAGACACATGTGAACAGTTGAGAAAAATAAAGTCATGGACACATTAAAAGGAATTCATGGACTTAAGTGGCTAAATTTCTAAAATATTAGTCACACTGTAAACAGAGGCTGCCATATGGTTGGTTCTTCAATTTGAACAACTTTCAACCAATGCTCCAAGCCACTAATCCCTCTGCATCATGATTTCATGTAATTAAAACACAGGAGGATCATATTAATTTTCTCAATCAAAATTTTTGCAGTCTTCATGGAAAAGAAGGATTCACTTAATGGTATCTTCTGAATTACTGGTGTTAGATTAAACAGAAAATGGAAATGAAAATCAAGTGCACCAGTCTGCTTAGTACGAAAAAAATTACAGAATCCTAATTCTAATGTTTAGCTTAGTCTCATAGAAAAAACATAAGTGGAAAAACTGCTGAACAACAAAGGCACAGCTTCACACTGTTCAGTTTTGTTGATGCTATACCTTGGCACCTATATTAGGGTATGGAAATGATTTAGGGAGACAGCTCAGAGGTAAGAAGAAAGAGGGGAAAAAAAGTGTTGGTTACCCAAATTCAAAGCAGTAAATCATGTTTAAAATGCCAAACCAATCTTACATGCATTCTTCTTCAAACTACTTTCCAGTGACTCGGATGTACTGGATCCAGAAAGTGGAAAAGTGAACGATGACAGGCTGCCTTCACTCATCTACAAACACACAATAATTATTCTAGAAAGTTGTGGAAGTAAAACACTCCCTAAATAGATTTCAATTCTTTTAATGCATCTAGAGAGAAACACCTTTTAAACAGTGGCATTTGATAATTAGAAGGGCACTTTAAACAGGTTCTATTTTTTTTCCCATATTATAGAAGAATTTTCCTAGTGGCAAAAATAAACAGAAGCTAAAAGAATAGATGAGATTAATTCCAACCTAGCTAAAATTTTAGTGGATTTTCTTAATCTCATTCAAGCGAACCCTCTTTAGATGGAAACGGATGTTGTACATAGACTGGGGCTTATGCAAACTGTAAAATTAGGGCCCATCAACTGGAGATGAATGGTAGTCCTGAAGAGGTGAGTAAGGGGCTTTTACGGACCAGTTGATGGACGTGGGCCTCCGTCCTCAGAAGACAACTGAGAAGAGGGGCTTGGCATCATGAACTAATGTGGTGGTGAGCTTCTACAGTTCAACTTGAATGGGAGTTTTTCTGCTGAATGTTGATAAATGTTTGTTATAAATACTTAAAAAATATATCATTTGGTAGGCTTTACATATATTAATTGGTTAATGTATGTAATTATAGAAACAGAAAAGAATGGTTGACATCAAGTTCCTTAGAATGACTTACAAACTAGTCAAGAGCCACACCTTGTTTACCTGTCCGTCTCAGCAGTGCTTCTCTCTACCTTGGACTCCACACCTCACTCCACTGAGCCAGAGGGCCAGGCCTAGGTACACCCCCCTGGGCAGCCTCACCATTGGGGCCATTGCTGAGTCCCTTTGGCATGTGAACCGCATCACTCAGATGAATCCCACAGCTACCCACCTGGCTGCTTTGAGAAGGCCTCCTCTCTGAATGGAATGGACCCGCTTTGATTCTTCCAACTTCCAAGGTTACTGTGCCCAGGGAACACTGAGAGAGTGGTTGTTTTATAAAAATGTTTAATTAAATGCTCCATTTATCCTCAGCAGTACATAATACACTTTAAGCCTAGGGTTTTGAAAGGCACCCTACTTTTGGGTTTTTTACAGTCAAGGAGGCCTCCAATTCTTTGTGGAAGGAGACTTTTCTAAAACATAAAACTAGTAACAACAAGTAGCTTGAAAGGCACCCTACTTTTGGGGTTTTTACAGTCAAGGAGGCCTCCAATTCTTTGTGGAAAGAGACTTTTCTAAAACATAAAACTAGTAACAACAAGTAGCAGCAGCAACACCCAGTATCTGTCTCACGATCTCGTGATTTACATGGAGACTATTTCTGCTGAGGAAGAGACATAGAAAATCGAGCCGTCATCTCAGGAAACATACTGGTTCAGACAGGCCAAGTGTGCTATCTAACTCAGGGGCCAATAAACAAAACAGAAACAACAAAACAACTATGTCCTTATTAGCTAAGTGGGCAAACTCTATTGCCACATTGGACCTGAACCTATTCTACAACATTGAAATTAGCCACATTGCTATAAACATAAAATAAGAATGAAGACAACTTCCCTGTGGCCTTTGACAGATAAATCACAGGCGTGCAAAAGACACTAGGTGGTCTAATGTGAGAGAGCAATGAGCTATTCAAGATCTTGGGCTTTTAGAGTTACATGCACTGGTTTAAATCCTACTGTGATTCAGTAGCTATCTGACCTCAATGGTTGTCCACCTTGACAAGGCCTTTCTGTGACACTTAATGACACTTATGACATACTATAATAAAACGTTATTACATACGACTCAGAAATTGTCACTAGGAATGGGTCTTAGCCTAAGTGTCCATCAACAGATGAATGGATCAAGAAAATGTGGTTTATCTATACCATGGAATACTACATGGCAATGAGAAACAATGAAATCTGGCCATGTGTAGCAACATGGATGGACCTTGAGGGTGTTATGCTGAGCGAAATAAGTCAGGCAGAGAAGGACAAATATCATATGTTTGCACGTATAGGAGGATTAGGAGGAACTTGACGGAGGAACAAGGGGGAGAAGAAGGGCGGAAATGGTGGGGGAAAGGGAGAGAGGCAAACCATGAGACACTTTTGAATGCTGACAAAAACTGAGGACTGATGGATGTGGGGGTGAGGAGGGATGGGCATGGAGGAGGACACTTGTGGGGATGAGCACTGAGTGTTATGTGGAAACTAATTTGACAATAAACTATTTGTAAAAAAAAAAAAAAAAAAAAAAAAAAGAATGGGTCTTATCTGAGATAACATTTTAAATAAAGAGAATTCAGTGCTTATTGAATGTGGTAGCCCAGTCAGTCTTTCCTCTTTCTTTCACACCCTGCACACTTGCGGTTGGCATGAGGTTTACCTTCAGCAAAGCGGCCACAGCTTCCTGGGTGGCATTGCGGACATCTTCCCCATTCACTGCCAAAATCTGGTCTCCCTGTGCCAGCCTCCCGTCAGTGTCTGCAATCCCTCCTTTGACAATGTCCGACACAAATACTCCGCTATCACTTCTGCAAACAGAATTTTGAATTTGAACAGGGATGTTTTTCCGCCACTGGAATAGAATGCTTACTTTTTGAAAAGAGAACATTTTTTAACTAAAAACTTGACTTCTATTTTTATGACTAAAAAAAGCTTGTTTTCAGCAACACAGGGGAAACATTATTGGAATTATTTTCTAGGATAATAGCTTATGTCTTATAGTATTTCACGGATTAAACCTATGTTTCATAAGCATATTTATTCTTCAATAGTTATATAGTGTGAGTTGAAATGGGTACTATTATTTTCTCATTTTATGGGTCACAGTCACTACATAGCAAAAATGGGAGTTTAGAGTCAGTTCCTGGGTGCTAAGTCTGTTTTTCTTTCTATAGAATAATGAGGTCCTGGATGAATATTGAGCTGTGGCAACATAAATATGTTGGTATTATTATCAACATCATTAACATTACTGAAAATAAATAGCGGGGTGCCTAGGTAGCCTCCACTTCAGGCTCTGCGCCAACAGCTCAGAGCCTGGATCCTGCTTCGGATTCTGTGTCTCCCTCTCTCTCTGCCCCTCTCTCACTCACACTCTGCTTCTTTCTCAAAAATAAAATAAAAACATTAAAAAAAAAAGAAAATAAATACTGAATATGTACCCCAAACTGAAACCATCTGCTTAAGTATCATTGCTGTGATGTCTTTTATTTGAAATGGATTACTATCATGGATCTAACTTTCATGCAAGATGGATTTATGCAAAAAGAATACTAATCTTATTCCAACCTTCCTTTCATTCATAAAACTATAAACAACCCAGCATTTTCTTGCGGAGATAAAAGATAACCGTAAGTAGAAATGTGCAGTGAAAGTGCAGTCACGCTGCTTCTTGCCAGGGTCAGAACCTCAAATGCGCCATTTCCCTATCTGATCCTCTGCTTTCCTATCTTTAGCATAAAGGCGTTGGAACTTACTGGATTATAAATTGGTAGATATTACTTATCTATAAATATTTAAATAACTTAGGTACTAAATTTATATATATATTCACCAATTTACCACCTGGTTTCTTACTTCCGATTCCCTTCTGATGGCATGCTTCTGTTCAAGCCAGTCCTCCCTAGAATGTCCTCCCCTCCCTGCACATAGACCAACTATCACTCATCACTTTCAGCCTCAGCTCGGGCACCTCTTTTCTGAGCAGGTTCTCTAATCTGCTTCCTCAAATAGTCACTTGTCCCTTTATTCTCTGCTGCCACAGCTGCCCCACAGTACAGTCTGGTCACTCATCAATGGAATCCTTCTTAGCAGGAACATATTTCATTCTCATTTACCAAACCATTGAGTTTTTTGAGGCCAGAACTATGTCTTATTTAACTCTGTTCCCCAGAATCTAATGTCTTCCCTGGCACAAGCAAATGCTGGAGAAATACCAAACATCTTTTTGTCTAGCACCTTCAAGATCCTCCAAAGTACTAACTTATAAAGTTCAAAAGCAAGGTCTTTTGATGCTCCGTTACTGAGTGGGCTGACAGCAGTGGCCCACTGAACACCAGAGCCAGGGAGAGAGTCCACTACTGCTGACATTCTTTAAAAGAATTGACATTCAATCATTTCCCAAAGGTCAGTTCATTTGCCCTCTTTGGTCATACCTTTTCCCAACAATACTTAATCCCAGGCCTTTCCCCGGCTTCTTGTGTAGCTCAATAGTGAGGGTGTCACACACATGTTCCTCCTTGTAGGGGGCTTCATCTCTGTAGAGTGTCAGGCGCACTCTGTGTGGTGTCTGTCTCAGGACATTTATTGCTTCATCATGTGTGGCCTTTCTCAAGTCAATTCCATTCACCTGGACCGACAGAGGTCACTGTGAGGAACCAGGTGAGTCAAATAAAGAAAAGGCAAGAACGGAGGGGGGCTGAGGGAGAGAGGAAAGGAGGAAGAAAGAGGAAGTGAAAGAAGCAGAGACCACCCTCCCCAGAATATCTCTTTCTTTGTTAATTATAAAGGCATTCTGTACCTCTAAAATCTGATCTCCAGCCCAAAGTCTCCCGTCTTTACACGCCGCTCCTTCTTCATAAACCTCATGGATAATAATGGCACCCTAAGGGTCCAAACAAAACACACTCATGCTTTATCCCATTCTCCCTAGGAGTGATGAGCAGAAATAAAAGCAGAACACACTGTACTTTTAAAGATAATGCTAAGGGTTATATACTCACTGGATCCATAGTGAGTCATAAAATTTCACAGAAAAGTGTAATGCAATTTTTGTAAAAGACTCCAAGAAGTTTTATTTTTTCTAATGATAAGGAGGTTTACAGAAAAAATTATGAACCATATAAATCATACACCTTTCTTATCTGCAAATGAAAATGAGAGATATACATCATTTTTACTAGCCACAAATACAATTACTAGATTTTAATAGATGTTTAGAAAATTTTGTTTATAATTATCCAATTTTTCAGACTCCTCTCAATACGGGTTTAACCCCAACTATATCCCATCAGTAAAAAGGAAATTAAAATATAGCAAAGACTGGTAAACTGATGGAACTGTTTTGATCCTAAAAGTCACAATCACAAGTGTAACTATCTTACTGAGTCAGTATTCACTTTCTCCAATAAAAATCCCAGTACTACATTTCTGGTATTTGCTTTACAAATTAAAATAACAACGAATGATGCATTTGTCTAAACCTTTATATTTCATTTAACAAAACTGATTAAAACCTCCCCGGGAGGGATCTCTCAGGGTGCACTGGATGGGCTGCCTGTGGAACGAAAGCATCTCTGTGTAACTGCGTGTCCTCACCAGCAGAGTGTCGGAGCCACCAACAATGCTCAGGCCCAGCCCTGTTCGCCCTTTGGAAATCTCAATTGTTGTTTCACAGCCTGGGATGATGGGGCAGGTTGCAGGATCGGAAGTAAAGATTGCTGGTGTTGATGATCTGCTTGTACCTAAAATATATTAAACATGAAATAAGATACAAATTGATTAGAGGGTATATAAAGCAAACTCACTACACTGGTTGCCTTTGGGGGATGGAAAAGAAAAAGGGTCCAAGATTGGGACAGAGAAACTTCAAATTTACCTTAATCTTTTAGGTATATTTAAAAAAAAAATCAAACAAAATGATTATATCATCATTAATTTAGGGTGGTGGGTGCCAAGTTACTTTCTGCACTATTGTGTATTTTCTAAATCATTCGAGATTATATGCATAAAGGACCAAGAACAGAGAGTTGAATTGATCCTGTAGTTTCATGTTGATAGTCTACATTTCACTAAAGCCAAAAAAACTTCATATGAAATTATGATTTGTAAAACTCAGAACTGAGATATGTGGCAGTAAACTAAAAACACATTCTGGGAAGACCAGAAAAACAGAAAGCACATCAGTAATTCTAGGCATGGTGCCGTACTTCAGGGCTTTTTATGTTTTTGTTTCTGTTTTCCTTTTCTTATTCTAGAGCACCTCTTCTTATATAATCAGATCTGTGCCTATGTGTACCAGGATTTAATATCTGAGTTTATTAAAAGTCAGGGGAGCCCCTCCCCAAGCAGTTTCTTTCTTGGTGTTTCATGTGATTTTATAAACTCAGATATTAAATCCTGGTGCATATATGCTCAGGACTGAATAGATAAGAACAGATTAGGAGAAAACAAGAATATAATTTCCCACCTTGTTTTATGAGAGCCTTCATATCATATATTTTATGATATCCCAAAGAGCATACAACAAACATGATGTTTTGAAAAAAGCTAAGGGCGGGGGGGGGGGGGGAGCGTCTGGTTGGCTCAGTCCGTTAAGCATCCAACTTCAGCTCAAGTCACAATCCCACAGTTCATGAGTTCGAGCCCTGCATTGGGCTCTGTGCTGGCAGCTCATAGCCTGGAGCCTGCTTTGGAATCTGTGACTTCCCCTCTCTCTGATCCCTGCCCCACCCCATCCCACATCACGCTCTGCCTCTGTGTATCAAAAAATACATGTTAAATTTTTTTAAATAAAATTTAAAAAAAATGAAAAAGTTAATTAAGACACTCAATGACTAGTTTAAGACATGAGACTCTCTTTAGGAAATCAGAGACACACTAATTCTTGCTCCTGAAATAGTAAAAGCAGGTGTAAGATGTTTTCTTTTATGTTACACTTTCATTTAGCATTTCCTATTTTTATAGACAGTGCTAGTAGAGGATTGACAAAAAAATTGAAAAATGAGAAAACTTCGGTAAAACCTCTTAACATTTCAGTGAATTACCCAGTCTTTCTAAATAAAGGATTAGTTTCATCAGATATGTATTAAGATTTTTTTTGCCTAACTATATTATATATGTTTTAAAAACTACTGTTTCCCTAACAACCTGTCAAAAGAACTTAATGTTTCAAACTAGAAGCCAAAAGATTTTTTTTCTCCCATCACAGAACACACCTATGTGTTTAAGTATTTTTTCAATGTTGCAAAGCTTGAAATTTACTGTTTTATTAGAGTTAGTATAATTGTTGTCAAAAAGTAACTTAAAGGAAGGATTTGCCTCAATATGCCAGACAATGGCACACACCAGTCTCATTCCATGGTCCACATACAACCACTTCATCTATTTTGATGGGATCTATTACATGCAAATGACGCAGATCAATTATGCTTACCACAGCAATAACTAGCATTTTTAAGAGTTTATGGTAATGCCAGGCACTGGTGATTCCATAGGTCAAGAGGTATCACTGTAGCCATTTTACAGATTAGATCACTTGAGGCTTTAGAGAAGTTAAATTATTCATTCAATATAGAAAAAGGGATGTTCCAAATGATGTTGTTACTTCATTAGTCAAATACCCAGAATCACAGGTACCTTCAGGAAAAGATCCTTGGAGAGCAAAGAGTGTCACTGCCTTGCTGCACAGAGGAAGGAGATGAGGCTCAGAGCAGCTGGATGGATTTCCCTGCCTAGAAGTCCAGCACTCTTTCTTCAGGAGCCCTCTCTTTATACCATCTTGTCACCAAAGCGTTCCCTGTCTATGGCCTTTCAAACAGTGAGTTACATACAGGCAGGTGGCTCCCAGCGGAACCAGCTGCTGAGGTCAGGTGCACCACACAAGCCCTTACTTCGGATGGACTCCAGTTCCGAGGACTCAGAAGGTGGCGGCATTGCAGACAAGGAGCTGTTCTTTTCTCCACCGGCTGTCCCAGCTGCTGAAGCAATAGCCTGGGAGTCTGGATTCTCAGCACGAATGGTAAGTTTCACTGTTGTCTTTGTTGTTTTCAAAAGGCTAATGAACTGGCAGGGTGGCAGTTAGACATGGCAGGGAAACAAAATTCAAGAGCGAATTAGTAGACATACCAGTAAGTCACTATTATAGCTGGAATCTCTTTTTTTGTCAGAACTTGAGGAGTCAAGAAAGAATGGTTGTAGTTTTGTTCTAGTTTCTCAGCTACCTGATATTAAGGCCACAGTTAATTTTATTGGAAGTCTAGTTGTGAACATATTCTTCATGCAAATACAGGGCTTTAAATTTTACATTCCTAATTAATCTCATCCATTTCTTTGGATCCCTACAACTTTAGAAGGTATATGGGGTATTTCACCTACTTCCTGATTCTTCTGAGAATGAAACAGCTTATACAGACATTTTTAATAAGTGGAAACCCGTTAAAAGCAGAGTAAGGAAAATTATGCAACAAAGAATCAAGCCAAAGGAAAAGTGAGAACACAGGCATATGGGTTAAAGGGTCCAACCTTAGACAATTATTAAAACTGAATTTAAAACATGGGTTAAGCTTCTTGCTGGCCAATGTAGAAATAAAAATATTTGCACACCAAATCTCAACAGAAACACAGCTTTTTTCCTAGCACTTATATACGAAAGGCCTCAAGTGAGTTTACTAGTTAAGTATTATCACTTCTGAGGAGGAGGAGACTCACGGATAACTGTTTAATCCCAATAAAAGTAATGCATTTAATAACTGAGTCTGTTTATAAACCAATAGACATAGTGGATATTTACTGGAGCAAATATTCATAAAAACTCCTTTGGTCTTAATGCTAAGTTTATCTTTATTTAGAAATTCAAGATTTTCTAAGGGAAAATGGAAATGATATTTATCAGAAACACCCACTGAACACTGGATTTACTAGGCAAGAGAAAGTATCTCATCATTTGATTGGAAAATAGAAGTTGAAGAACTTCCAAACAATCTCTCCTCTTTCTTAACGACATCCGTCTAACATAGCTACATGGTTCCAAATCCTTATGATCACATACACACAGACAAATACAACACTGGCCATGCCCACGGATGGGTTCATAGTGTTATTTGCTTTCTTTTGGAAAAGTACCTTTTCTACGGGATAGCCAATAACAACTTCATCATCTATAGCCAAAATCTGATCTCCAACTTTGAGCCGTCCATCCTGAATGGAAACATGTAAGATTTGGTGTGATTTTATAGAAGTAGTTCCCTCTCTAACACTTTATGACTGTGAGAAAGCCTCACCTTGGCCGCCACCCCGTGCTCCGTTAGACTCTTTATGATGACTCCGCTGAGTGTATCTTCTTCACTGATAGCAATGCCCAAACCCCCTTGATCCTAAAAAATAGGAACAACTTAATAAGACTTGAAACAGATTAAATTTATCCAAAGGAAAGCTATATGGCCATAACTTCTGAACATTATAGTCCACCCAAGGCTAGAAAACAGATTAAAGCCATTCTAAAGCTCATTAACAAAAATCTCTTCTTAATCAAACTTTCAAATTTTTTAATGGGAAGAAATTCTCTTCCATCAAATATTCAAATGTATTCATTCCTCCCATATGTTTACGGTTTCTGGTATATTTAGCATGTATATCCAGTTACACATTTCCAGTAACTTTAGCAAAATATCCAGAGAACTGAATGCATTCAGTAACTCAATAAACATATGACATTTGCCAATGTAGTTTTGTATAACTGGCTGATGGAATAAGTCATTTAAAACCAAATCAAAGTACCCTGCTTCCTCTTTGTGGCCTACAACTTTGAAGTAACAACCCAAACTGGCCCCTTCAGTCTGCCCTTCTTCCCTGAGCAGACAGACTGCAATTACTCCTGCATGCTCTGTCCTTTCTGGGGCTGAATACCCACCGTTGTTTCCCCAGACACTTGTGTTTTGATTTGATGCAGAGCGAAAACACTCTCAACCCTGAGCCCAGAGACATGCACTGAAAACCTGCCAAGCCTAGAGAGCCATCCATGTTTTGTCTGTATTTTCTACATTTTCTTTTATCAAGACCAAATGTTCAATAGCATTGGTTTTTACATTTCTCTAATATTTACATTAATAAAATTAAAATAGGGTTTTGGATATTTTCATTTTGGTTAGAGCTAGCAACCTTCTGCATTAGTTTCTACCCAGGGAAATGTAAAGCGAAAGAGGGAAAAAGAAATCTTGTCATGGTTCTATGAAATGTATATGTGAGAGCCAAGACTGCCAGCGGGCCTTTAGGACCATGACCATGGCGACATCCAGGTAAAGCTGCCCCACCATTTTAAAGATTATCACCACTGTAGCTTTTCTGAGATAGATTATTCATGTTTGAGGACTTTCAGACTGTCACTGGGCATCTCTCTCTATCACTTCTCTCTTTCCAGACAATCAATCACTTGCATAAGACAGAGGAAACTGCACTTGGGGCACCTGCGTGGCTCAGTCAGTTAAGTGGCCAACTTTGGCTCAGGACATGATCTTGCAGTTTGTGAGTTTGAGTCCCATGTCAGGCCCTGTGCTGACAGCTCAGAGCCTGGAGGCTGTTTCAGATTCTGTGTCTCCCTCACTCTCCCAGCTTGCACTCTATCTCTGTCTCTCTCAAAAATAAATAAATGTTAAAAAAAAATTAAAAAAAAAAAAAAGAAACTGCACTTTTAGGGTGAGCAGGGCTTGGTTCTAATTTACTTTCTGAGTACCTGCAGGACTTTGGATAAGCTATATAAGACGTCTGAACCTCAATTTTCATATCTGAAGAAACGAGTAATAATGCAGGTGACCCTTGAACAACGTGGGGGCTGGGGTGCTGATCCCCCCTTGCACAGGTGAAAATCCGTGCAGAACTGCTGACTCCTCAAAAGCTGAACTACCAACAGCCTACCACTGACTGGAAGTATTACTTATAACATAAATGCTTGAGTAATGTATTTTGTATGTTTTATGTATTATAAACTATGTCCTCCAATGAAGTAAGCTAGAAAAAAGACAATGTTATTAAGAAAACCATAAGAGAAAATAAATTACAGTACTATACTATATTTATCAAAAATCCCACATATAAATGGACCCACACAGTTCAAACCCTTGCTGTTCATGCTCAACCATGACATTGCTGTGAGGACTGGGTGTAATAAGAAAGGGACTGAAAACTTGATGCACTATATACACTGCAGTTACTACACATACATTCCTTCTGCTTGTTACTCTACAGAATGTAACTGAATTTACTCCAGATAAATTCTCTAAACTTGCCAGGAGTTTGAGACCTGAATCCTGATTTAGTGGTGAAAGAATCAGCTTTAATGAGTAGGAAGGTGAATGTGTTACCAAAATGATAAAATCCCAATGCCACTGCCAAGTACATCTAATATAGTTAAACATTCTATTTGGGATTTTCTACACCAATGGTCTTTCCTATTACCACAAAGAAATGTTTGCTTGAGTAAGTATTACTCTATATCTACAGTGCTTGTATGTACACAACTCTGGGATTTGATTCTATTATTGCCTATTCACTTATCTGTAGGCAGGAAAATATTTTACTAGTACAGTGGGCATTTGCTGGTTGTTTGCTTAATGACCATTCTCATCTTACTCCTTTGTATAAGCTCATACATTTTTTTAAAGACCCCCTCCTCCTGCTGCCTCAAATAACATACAGGAGCATGCTCTCTCTCTCTTGCTCCCCCCCCTCTCTGCCTATGTGTTGGGTGGTGGTTTTAAAATACCCTTGTATACAGGGGTGCCTGGGTAGCTCAGTCAGTTAAGCAGCTGACTTCAGCTCAGGTCACGATCTCACAGTTTGTGGGTTCAAGCCCTGTGACAGGCTCTGTGCTGACAGCTCAGAGCCTGGAGCCAGTTTCAGAGTCTGTGTCTCCTTTTCTCTCCCCCACCCTCCCTGACTCATGTGCATGCCTGCATGTGTACTCTCTCTCAAACAGTTAAAAAAAAAAAAATGTATACAAACTCTTTGATATTCCTCCTTTCAAGAAGGAGATGCTGAATGTGGGCTGGACTTGGTTACCTGATTGTAAAATAGAGAACAGAACAGAAGGAATGGTGTGTAGTTTCACAACTATGTCAAAAGGCAGTGGGGATTCTCCTTACTCTCTCTTGGATAACCTGTTTTGAGGGGAGCTGGTTTCTTGTCATGAGGACATGAAAGCAGCGCCACAGAGAGGCAATGGAGACCTCCTAGCAACAGTCATTTAAGCAAACCATCCCAGATGCGGATCCTGTAGCCTCAGTCAAGCCTTCAGATGACTGCAGCCCTAGCTGGCCGTTTGTTGGCAAAATGTATCTCACCAGACCACCCAGCTGAACTGCTCCTCAATTCTTGCAGAGATGATAAATGTCTATTGTTTTAAGTTTCTAAATGTTGTGGCAATTTGTTATGTAACAGTGGAAAAATAACTCCAAGGATGGAGTGTGAATGAGTGAAGTCAACAGTCCAATTCCAGGCCCACGGCCACAGTCCCTATAGCTCAGGAGCAGGCATGTGATCTGAACAGGCTTAGTTAGCATGGGTTTCAGGACTTTTGCTCAGAATTTTGGGACAGCTACTCTGCCCCCACCCTGCTTTGGAAGAAGTGGCACATGATCCTGACTATGGTTGGCAGCCATTGTAAAACTGAGAGGAGACCAGCCTGGGGACACAGCTGACCCCTGTCAGCTGTGCAGGGAGAACAGAACTGGCTCATGACAACACTACTGAGCCTTAGGGTCAACTATCCCGGAGCATCACTGTCCGGTAACCCAAGCCCATAAATCCCCTTCTTTGACTAACCTGACAGAGGAAGTTGGTTTAGGTTTTTTCATTTTGTTTTGTTTTGTTTTTGTTGTTAGCAATACACAGGGTCCTAAAAGGAACAATAAGGTACACATCTGCATATGTAATATGCTCCAATCCCACTTAGAGTCCTATAAAAATAAACACATACATACACATCTACAGACAATTTACTGGTATCAGAAGAACAGGATGAAACACAAGTAAGGATAGCAGGGCACGAGTGCAGTTCTTATCTACTGCTCAGCTTTCCGCCTCACTTCTGCCACAGTGCATACAGTCCTTAACAGAAACAGAGCTGAGAAACACTGCTCTGAGCCAGTTATTAAAGCACCACCATATAGAGAAGGTGAAACAAATTAAGGGGCTTTATTTACAGAGGAACAGTTGTATAATTAAATAGCTAGAAAAGAGTGAACAGGAAGTGAAAGTGGGATGAAACTAAACTATTATTATCAGGAAAGCTATTCTGAAGTTGGAAGATTCTCCAAAACTTCTGAAGAAAAATTCTTAATGCTATTTGAATTTTACCCTATAAAACTGTATGGATACAAAACCTATCTCTGACAACTGTGTATGGTTGTTACCTTCCTAAGACAAAGTGCTAAAAATCAATCTTTAATCAAAAAGATTTTGTCTGATCAATTGAACTAGCATTTCAGTCAATCACTAAGGGTTCAGATGATATACATAAATTTTCTGTTTATACTATTTTCCCACTTAAAAGGGGGATTAAAAAGAAAACAAAAAGATAGTCAACCTGTATAGAGTGTTTAAGGAGTAAAAAAAAAACAACAAAAACAACCTAGAAATGATCTGTTACTACAATTTGTTTTGAAACAGGAATGAAAACTATTGTCTCCTCTCTGTAGTCTTCAAGTGCACCTGACATCTTTGAGTAGACACAGCATGTAAGCATCCATGCAGTGTTCCCTCCGGCATACCTGGTATGAACTATGGTACCCCACACTATATAACCCCTCTACTACATAATAGGAGAAAAGTATAGCAGTTTCTTCCTTTTTAACATGTTTGCAATACAGATGTATAAAAAATTTACCCACATGGATAAATTACTGACGAGAGACATGCACCCGAGCTACGACTGGTTAAATGGCAAATGAAGATATTACTAGTAAGCAGTAGATAGGCCAGAATGGTGAAGGAATGTTTCAAAATAAACAGACATTAGATTAAACTAGGTCTTTAGTTATCCAGGATGTAGGTAAGCTAAAAGAAAGCAGAAAGACATCCCAAGTACAAAGGCAAGGAGGGATGAATTCTCAAAATAAATCTCCATGGGCTCTTGATACAAGGGAGTCTGAATGAAGTAGAGGACTCATAAGAAACAGGTGTTTTGGAAAGGTAAATGGGCTCCAGTTGCAAGCTGCAACAAGGAATGGCAAATGTAAGACCAGAGTTTAAGTTCTACTCTACCATTTTGAGTTATGGGAATGTTACAAGTGGGGAAAGTCAAAGCAATAGCACAGGGTTGTTGAGAAGTAAAGGACACGATGCACGTGTGACTTTACTTTTTTTTTTTTTTTTCAAACAAGCATAATTTTTAAAAATACAGGGAGTATAAAGGACAAAGTGCTGCAGATGAGGTATGAATGTTAAAACACTGTTTCATTTTCCCTTCTTTGCTTTCTTGTGTTTTCTTCCCAGAGTTGACGAATAATGGAGTTCAGAGTGGACCGCCTTATACCGTATGCTATGTCTCTTAAAGTGTCAATTTTAGCAATGGTTTCCTCAAAGGCTATATTCTGTGGAGGATTCAGAACCTCATGGTTAAGATATTAACTTGCAAGAAATATCTTGAACTGTGCCAAGTGTAAAGGTCACTTTTAGGCAAACAGGCTTGAGTGATGGAATGCAGAAAAGAGCCACAACGACCCCCTGGCTGAATACAGACAGGTTCATCAGGTGATGCACCCCTCCCTGCCCGCCCCCCAACCCCGCCCCAAATATCCACAGGCGCTAACTAACGGGCTACTTACAACCAGGCACAGTTACCAAAAAAGGGAAAATTCCATATGTTGCCTTACCTCCTCACCTTCTCACTTTAAATATGGCCCCCATGCCATCCCTGGTTGCAGACAGCCTCTCCTTTGCTCACCGCTCCCTTGCGGCATGTTCAATACATTTCTATCTCCCTTGTTCTGCTACAAGTGACCCTTTCACCACTTTGGCTTCCGCCAGATGGTTGCCCACATCTGGAGGCCCCCATATGATCAGGAGAGACACTATATTTACACATCACACTAAGTGTTTATACAAATTCTTTCATTGAATCCTTACAAAAATACTTCCGACATAAAGGTATATTATTTCCCTATCCTACAGACAAGGAAACTGAGGCCCAGAGAAGTTAAGTGGCTCTAAAAGCCCACATTTTAAGTCACAATTGATTGCTTCTCCTGTCAGCTGATCTTAAAAGATTCTTGAATATTCCCCTTTATTCACTTTGGCTTTCATCAATAAATACATTTCAGTTACTGAGCTTTAGATGTGTTTGAAATCTACCTATAATTGGAAGCTTTCTGTGGGCAATAAAATCTGAAGTTCTTCCAAGTTCTTGGGTTTCCCCTACAGCAACTATTTTAGAAAGAAAAATGCACATGACAGACACTTGGTGAATAAATCAGAAGGAGGGTAAGGGCAGAGAACAACCCTTAAGCTGCCATAGAATGATGGCAGCTTGCCCATTAGCTTAAAGGAGCCAAAAAGTAACCCCTGATACAAGCAGCCCTATTTACAGAAGAGGAGAGTGAGGACCAGTGAGATCAAGTTTCCAAGTGATTCATGGGAGATCACTCAGAAAGGGTTCTGACAGACAAAGGAGGCCTCTGTCCACCCCCACTGCTGAATGTCAGGCCAAGAGACTTGAATTTATCTGTCTAGGAATGGAAGTCCTTGAAAGATTATAAACAGGAGATTAGTGTGATTAACCATCTACAGAACACCTTAATCAGGTAGCCTAAGGCAAGGAGAAAGCATCACAAAAAACCAATGCCAGGAAGCAGTCAGACATCTCTCTGCCAGCTTACTCCTTTCCTAATAAGTATAACAATAAAAAAACAAAACAAAACAAAACAAAACAAACCCCAGGCAATATTGATGTACATGTGCAAGGTTCTAGACTCTTCACACAGCATAATTTCATTCTCAGTACAACTCTATGAGGTGAACACTACTATGATCTCCATTTGGTAGAGGGGAAGTTGTCCAGATTAAGAGCCCTGTCCAAGCTCCCAGCCTATTAAGAGGCAAAAGAGGGCTCTGACTTGGAAGGTTTGGCTTTAAGTCTACATGCTCAACTGCTATAGGGTTCTGTTCCTTATTCATCTGTTTAGCTGGGTCATTCCCCCAAAATTTCCTGGGTACTCATTATATTCTAGGATATATTAAACCATAGGCAAATAAATTAAATCAGTGCCATGAAAAGTATTTGTAAAAATATATATATTATTTTTGGCTTTTCTAAAGATAAGCATAAACCTGCATTAAGAAAAAGCACATATAATGAATCCAGCCTACATTTAAATGCTTTAAAATTAACAAACTAGAGAGAAATAACTGCACTGTTAAATACTATAAATCTGACACTTCAGGATTTCAGAGGAAAAGGAAACCCAATCTGAAACCAGCAGGAGAGAAAGAAAGGTATCCTCTCTCTTAAATGGCAACTGAGTGAGGGATTCCTGAAGTGTATGAACCTTTTTGCAGAAAAGGCAAAAACCTTAATGATTTAATGTTCTCCTTCCACCTATAACACAAAGAGTGCATAATAATGACTTCTTTTAAGTGTAGTAAATGACAGGACCAGGGCATTCCATTTTGCACATGATTATTTATTGAAAAAAAGAAAAGAAAATCAATAGCCACAGTCATTTTCCCCCCTAAATACAATGAAGACTGTGTGCCAGGCTTTATGCCAACTACATGCAAACACTTATTTAACCTTTAAAATTAAGTCAAAGGTAATATTATCATCTCCAATTTACTGGTGAGAAAATGGAGGCAAAGGAAGATTACGTAATGTGTCAGGTATGTACCTGATGAAGCAAGGATGGAACATGACAGACAGGACTGTGGAGCCCAGGCGGTAAGTATGCTGTACTACTTGGAACACTATCCCCCTGCCCTGCCCCGCCCCGCCTGCCCTCCCCTTTGCCCTGAACACTCCACATCTCCACCTATGTTCTCCTTCATCTACTGCCTGCCTGCATTCCAGCATGAGCATGAGCCTGCAGCTCCTGAAAGCATTTCTAGGTTTCTGTTCAGGAAATCACTTCTTTGAAGTGATCTTTTATTTATTTAAAATTTTAAAAAATGTTTTATTTATTTCTGAGAGAGAGACAGCATGAGCAGGGGAGGGTCAGAGAGAGAGCGAGGTACAGAATCTGAAATAGGCTCCAAGCTCTGAGCTAGCTGTCAGCACAGAGCCCGACGCGGGGCTCGAACCCACGAACCGTGAGATCATGAACTGAGCTTAAGTTGGACGCTTAACCGACTGAGCCACCCAGGCGCCCCTCAAGTGGTTGTCTGAACCTAAGGTTCAGATCTTTTCAAAAGTAAATACTTCACTGATGCTGATCAGTGAAACTTCTAGTTAATGAAGCTTTCAGTTTTATGAAGGACAAAGACTTTAACTTGTGTTTTTATTCCTTTTATGTCGTCCACAGCAGGTGTCTGGTAAATGTATCAAAGCAGAGACTGCCGAACATCATACTGTAGGATAATCATAAAGGCAGGAAAAGCTCAGTCCTGGCTAAAGTATCAGTTAATGCGGTAATTCTCAAACTTCCATGTGCACTGGAATCGCCAAGAAGGCTTATAAAAAACCAAACTGCAGGCCCACCCCCACAGTTTCTCATTCAAAAGGTGTGGGCGGGCCCAAGTGGCCACATTGCTAACAAGATCCCTGGTGATGCTGATGCTGCTGGTCTAGAGAGCACACGTCTGGGAACCAGTAAATTAGATCACTGGTGGGAAAGTATTCACACCTTTTCATCCAACACAAAGCAGATTTACCTTGGGAAGTTCCAGATGCTGCACGTTTGTGAATGAACAGAGGTCCACAGGTGCATCAGAAGTAGTAACACTTGGTTCGGCCTGACAGAGGGAAAGAATGGCAAAACAGACAACTGAGTGTTATGAATTTTTGCTTAATAAGGGCCACTTAATCAAAATTATTTCATGTATTATAATTCATTATTATCTCAACATCTCATGACGTTTATGAACATTAGACTCTTTTCAAAATACTAATAAGGTGTGATTAGACAGCAATTTTTTAGAGGACAGAGACACAAAGTGGCTCTTAAGGCTGCCTGTATTTATCCTACAGTGGAATCTAATGGCAACCCGGCTACCAAGTGGCAAAACCCGCGGAAACACAGAACACCAGCAGAGGCACTGTTCACTCTTCACTGTGTTAGTCGTCAAGCGAATTTGGGAGCTATTAGATGTTTTACTTGAAAAGTATTAAAATATTCCATTTTCCGAAGGGATATAGGCAGTACCATTCATATGAAAATAAAATTTTCTCCTTTCTAATCTTGAAAACCCACTCGCTTCGTGCACCGTTGTGAAAAGCTGCTCAGTTCACCAGAACAAGCGGCTTGCATGTGTACTGACACCCCCAGTGTGTGTGTGCTCCTTTGGGGGCCAGTGTTTCTGTATCTTCATCTTCTTCCACCATGATCATCAGAGCTTCTTATTTTATTCTCTTCATTCTCTTTGCCTCCTTTTATTCATCCTAAACAAGTATCAGAAGCTTTACCATATCAAAACTGCCACCCCAAAACTCCAAATTCTATGTCACCGTCTAGCCATTATCTTCTCTCTCCTAATTATTAAGCCACCATTTGCTTTCTCAAACACCATCACCTAGCTGCCAAGTCCAATGGACTCTCTTTAATCATCACCTCATTTGACCTCTTTGCCGCCCTGAACATTGGAGAATTTACCCTTCTTTCTTGAAAGATATATACTCCTCAGCTGCTATGCAACATGCCAGCTGGTCCTTCCTCATTACCTCTGAGCACTCTTTGTTAGGCTTCCTCTTGTTGTTATTAAATAATTCTGACTTTTGCCCTTTTTTCCTAAGTATTTTCTGTATATAAGAACCTCAGCTTCTGTGGTGAACAAATGACAAATCTGCATCTATGGGAATTCATCTCTAAACTCTAGACTAAGTGTCCCGATGTACACTTCTCCCAGGTTCTTCAACAGGTACTTTCTTCTTAAGGTGCCTCAAATAGAATGTTTTCTATTTTTACAGATACATGTTTTTAATATTCTTTTTGGTAAAAGTCAGCTATCTACAAGTCACTAAGTGAGCCAACATGAAGCTTTCTACATCTTGTCTGTTTGCTTCACCAGCCCATTCCAACCCCAAAGCAGCACCTGGTACAAGGCAGATACTCAGTAAATGCTTGTTGGATAAACAGATGGTCACCCACTCACTGTTCCTCACTGAGTACATTTAGTTAGGGATAAGGTGATGCTAAGTTTGATCCTAAACTTCTGGAACTTCTGACATGATCATTTGTTTTTCTTCTTCTTCTTCTTTCTCCTTTTCCTTCTTCCTCCTCCCTCCTCCTTCTCCTTCTTCTTCTTCCTCCCCTTTCCATTCTCCCTTCTCCTCTTCCTCCTCCTAAGTTTACTTTAACTTCTCTTCCTTGCAACCTCTCATTTTTCTCTGTGCCATTTCCAAAGAAGTATTTCAAAATGCAATTCTTGGTGAGTTCCCCAGGGCCTCAAAGACAGTTTCCATCATGATTTTCATGATCTGACCCTACCTCTTCTCTCTCAGTGACCCTTTCTTCACAAGCAATCCACTCCCCACCTCCCACTATTCTGTGATGCCCTGTGATTTTCATTCCTTGAATCAGCCAGAGCCCACAGGCCGCTCCTCAGTCCATGCCCTCAGCTTGGAAGATATTTGCACCCCATGTTTAATTCCCACATATACTTCATGTGTCACCTCTCCTAGGGAGTCACTGTCACTCTCTCCCCAGAAGGAGACTTAACAACTTTTTCTACCTTCATTATTCCCCATGCAGGCCCCATGTAAGTTGTGTGTCTATTTACAGGAGTGTTTCTTGCAATAGGCTATAAACTTCTTAGGGTCCAAGTCCATGAGTCATTTATCTTCAACATCCTGGTAAGGGCTCTGTAATTGTTCACTGAATTAATACAAAGTATATCAATCAAAGCTTCCCAGAGAAGCAAATACAAGATACATACCTCCTTATTTTGAGAACTTTCTGAGGTAGAAGGCAAAGGTTCTACTGCATTTCCAGGACATACAGCCATCTGACTCACTGCATCTTTATTTCTAAAAGAAAGAGTATTGACCTATCACAGCATCATGATTCATATTATTTTCATTCTCTTACTTGAAGACTCAGAAGATTAGAGAAAATTCTGCAACCTCAAAGACCTGGCTCTGTAACACTCATACATTTATAAATGTATTATTTCCATTTAATAGAACTCTGAATTGAAAGCCTAATAAAAAGTACTTAATAAACCAGAAAAAGAAAGTGCTTACCTGATAAAAATTATTTTTACTTTTGAAGGAGCACATTTAATGATTGAAGAAGCATTCTGATGACTTCTTCCATATAAAATTTGACCATTGATCTATGAGAAACAAAGAGCATTAACTAAGCCTGAAATTTTAATTCTGCTAACTTCTTATCATCCTAGTTAGCTAATAAAAAGGTCACTTTTTTCTTCCTATAAAATATTATATCTGTGTCCCTTCCAAGAACATGAACCTGACTTTGAAGGTGAATAAAGAAAACCTCATGTTTGAAGCCGACATTACAAGGACATGTGTGTAGTGTGATCCCCATACACAAAAGAGGCAAGTTTATAATGACTGTACAAAAGGCAGAGTAAGCTTCCTGGTGAGCACTGGGGTTCCAGCACATTCTGTCAAAGCAAGGGCTCTCCTGGAAGCACCAGTGACCTCCATAGATCATCAAGGGAAATCCCCTGTGGTCATAGACGTTGGTTAGTCTCAAGACCCAGACCCTGGGACTAGGCAGCTGGGAAGCAGGAAGTGCCCAAGCAGAACAGTACCTAATGGAACCTGCTGGTCATCTAGTCACTTAGCCAATGCTAACTGAACCTTCCTGGCCAAGGGAGAAGCACAGAAGAGCAAGGAAGAGGATTAAGGCATTATAAAGACACATGGATCCCAGTCTCCAGGAGGCAAGGACAAATGAAACAACCACATGTGATTCTAAACACTATAAAGTCTGGTCCAGAAATTTATTTGGTTTGGAGGGCTGAGTTACTGTTTTCGTTATTTAGCCTTAACCTTGACCCCACATCACCCCACCCCTATCACTTCTACCATTAGGAATTCAACTTCCAGAATGTCCAGTGGGTCACCCTCATTACTAAGGAGTGATTGGTCATTTGGCTTTTCAAAAGCTCCTAATAAAAATGCAGCACACAAAAAAATGTTTTTTAAGTGTGATCTTTATTACTGTCTTGGGGCAAAAATTGTTTCTGGTGCTACACAGTCACAACCTTTTAATGGAAGTTAATGGGAACATGGACTCTACTTAGCAGAGATTTGGTTTAGAGCCAAACTTGCTGCAGTGCATCTATTTTATTAGGCAAGCAACAGTTTTCTCAGTCACCATATGAGGCCCGGGTGGATTTTCTGGAAACTGATGACTCCAGTGCACCAATTCAACAAGACTGATTTCAGCATTTTCCATTAAGAACTTACCTCTAGAAGCTCGTCTGCAATCTGCAGTCGACCATCTTTCCCAGCTGCTCCGTTTGGATCAATCCCCACTATAAAGACACTCATCCTAGATCGGTCTTTGTTTCCAGCAAGACTTAGACCCAAACCACTACGACCTTTCTCCAGTTCAATCATATGCAGCTCTCCTGTTAGGGTTCCATAACGCTCTCTGATATTTTCTACACACAACAGAACAACAACAACAAAATTGTAGGTTAATTCACAGCCAGATGTTTTACTATGGAGGGTTATTTAGCTTTAAAAGGGCATTACTTGGACCAAAATATAAATCCTTGGCAGTTAAGGAAAGCTAAATAATCTAGTCCCTGAGGCGTCAAGACTAGTTTCCTGGAACACCCAAACTTTGAGGAATTTGTCCATCTAGGGTGCAGACAGTGGCATGTCTAATTAATCAGTTCAGTTGGGTGATCAGGCCCTAGAGATTCATATTAACAAACTCTCAAAAGACTCTGATTAAAACAAAGCACTACTTCATAATCTGCAGAAATGAGAACATTCAGAGGATTTATCTTCACTGATTAGTGGAGCCTTTTCTTCCATAGGAAAACTGGCCTACATGTCACACCATGTTGGGTATCTGCTTGGTACGTACACCCAGAATAAAGAGGATGCATCTTCTTATGCACAGAGCCATTATGCCAGGACAAATCAATGTACCTGTCTCAGATTTAGGACCCATGTTCTCAATTAGATGAGACCATTCAACTCTCCCATTCCACATTTTCAAGAGGTACAATTTATTCTTGAATCTGAGAGGGCAAGGCCCTAGGCCACAGGCCCAGATGAACAACCAGCCAGGAGCCAACACTAATTTCTAGTCATGTGAGTGAGCCACCCTCAAGGCCCAGCCCAGCTGAGCCCAGTCAACCACAATACCATGACACAATAATAAACTGTTTCCTTAAGCCAGTAAGTAAGTATTGGAGTAGCTTGTTACATGACATTCCCTTTCATGTTTTCCTCAGAGTATATTCCAGTCACCTCAATGGATTAGCAATATATTCTGATTTTATTGAAAATAGGCTTAGAAAACTGCAAACTTTACAAATCTTCTCTTAGAAAATGTTACTTACTGTACAGCTCATGTCTTGCATTCCATATTGATTCTTACCTGCACCAACTTCATAAAGTGCCATTTCCTGATTCCTTCTAGAATCTACCAGCACAACCTTTATACCCTATGCTTCCTAAAAGCATATACCATGCTTTTCTTAAAGGAATTATATTTTTAAAACAGAACTTTTTAAAGCACTGATACATAAGTAACTTTTTGCTAAATTTTTAATATTTCCTTACAAAAAGGCCTATTTCATTAGAAAAAGAGACACCCCATGGCTCCTAATAATGGCTGCCTTTGAATGCTTCCTGTGCATCAGACATTGTGGTTTGCACTCCTCAGACATTATCAAATTTGATGTTAGAGACCTGAGTAAGGACTGCACTTTCAAAAGAGATACAGCCCCTGGGCAAAAACTCAGAGGCAGTTAAACAACTTGTCAAATGCCCCAAGTTTTTACTTCAACACGTACTATGCTACCACCCTGGTACAGACAACACCAGAGTTCAAGACAGATATGAACAGCAACCAGCTTTTACAATGAGGGATATGAGGTCTGGAGAGGGGCAACAACCTGTTCAAGACCACAAGGTGGCAGATCCTGGACTAGTTTCCCCCTGCCCTCTTTAATGCTCACACAAATGGCAAAATGGGCTTAAGCAGGAACGCTCAGTTAAAGGAAAGGAAGAATATGATTTCATGCTTTGGGATTGTGTGCAGTATCCAGGCAAAACAAAAGTATTTTTTCCAAACAAAACCGCAGGATGTATAACTAAAGCTGAAACATACTTACCCATCCAGGGCATATGCCTTGAGAAACCCAGAGCTACTTTAATGTCTCCATTAAAATTGAACGCATCACAAAAGACAACTTACTCCAGCTATAACCAAACTCATCCTCTTTGTCCACATCTTCTGAGATTTTGCTTGCAGATGAGTGTGCGTGATTAGTGCTCATTTCTGCAGATGCTGAAGAAGGGGGCAGAGGCACACTGCACAATGGAGCCTTTTCTGACTCTGACTCTGACTGACTGGGTGCCTGTGGGAACAAGAAGAATGCAGTGGGTATGTGCAGTCTAAGGAAGAAAAACTTAAGAAAAAGAAATAAACGATAATGTCAAAAACTGGTTTTAAAATATCTAACGCATATACAAATGTATATATAATGGTAGACAGGATTCAGGTACAGTTTAAGCATACTAAAAATGTAGTATGTTCAGAGCATAATTCATTAAACTGTTATTTGGTATATTAGAGCAATGATTTTTTTTCAATTTGAAGGCTTAAATGACTTAAGATAGAAAAAACTGTCCAAACTTCCCCTTTTGGAAAAGAAAATTCTCCTTCAGAAGTTTTCATAAATATGGAGGGGTCTAGGCAAGATTTTGTGGGTCTAGAAACTAGAAAAAACTTGAACTAAGTTATTCAAACAATAATAGAAGTTCAAAGGTTAGCAGTCAGACTATATATAAAGAATTCTTCATTGCTACCTGAATCCTCTCTCCAAAAACTCTCTTAACAAACCCATGATAATGAGCATTACACATGCAGGTTCATCTACCAGGGGAGCACATGGACTCGATCTGAGGAGCAGGTTTTAAGGGACAGCACCATCATTCCCTTGCCAAGGGAGTTCACAAGGTAAGTGAGAAAACACGAGAGATCACTTCATACAAACCCAAAGTATGGCATACTTGCTATCACTTAGGGCTATTGGTCCTATTTAGAAAAAAAAAAAAAACACTTGGTAACAAGTTCTTATATTACAGATTATCAAAGAGAATTTTAGAGTTGGAAAGGCCCATAAGCCACTGAGTTCATTTTACTCATTATGAAGATGAAAAACTTGAGGCCACGAGAAGATTTTGTTCAAAATCACATTGGTACTAGATTTCTTTTGCCTTAATTCTTAATCCAATGCACTTTCCATTATGCCATTCTGTCTCCTCTAATTTCCATAGTTAGCACCAAATTCAACAGTCAGAGATACCTAGTTAAAGTTCTATCCATGGTATGAAGCTTTCCCTGACTCCCTGAATCTAAATTTTTCCTATTCTTATTTATTTTACCCTTTTGTTCCATATAAAAGTCCCTCTGATATACCTCACTTTATATGTGTGGATCTGGAAAAAGATTGTGGTGAAAAAAAAAACTTCCTATAGAACACGGCAAATGATAAGCATGCATAAATATTTAGAAATTATTAACTGGTGTCAAGAATTAGAATGTCACAAAATACACCTATATACTACAACTTTATAGCACTGAAAGTGATCTTTCTTTGTTGATTCAGAAACCACTTCGGGATTCTAAGCTGCCCCAAAATGAACCTAATAAATATCAATTACTATTTTTCTGGCAAAGTAACAGATAACTCATTGGTAGAGACTTATAGGCAATAGATTTTCAAGCTACAGAATCTACTGTGTTAAAATGTTTGGTTTACACACAACTGGCCACCCAGACAAAAACTACCATTGCAAACAAAACCTTTGACATCTTCCCAAGTCTGTGCCATAAAACCCTCAAATCAACAATGTACAAATAAAAATGTCCACAAACAAAAAATTTTCTTTGACCCAAACCAGGTTCATTTAACACACTAATGTACGGGTTGCGGGGCCGGGGGGAGCTTATGTAATTTACATTTTTTCTGGTAAAAATAAAAACAATTTCTCTATAACAAGAGAAAATTAGCAAGTATAAATTAAGCCCATTTGGTTTTTAAAAGGGGGAACAAAATCTGATTTAAACTTCCCATAATTTTAATAAATTTATAGATGTAAATATTATAGATCTTGCTGCATAACTTTCCAGAGCTGTTTCCTTAAAAATAACAAAATCTGCCTAAAAAACTGTTTAGGACCTGACTTAGGCACAATGTTTTCAATCTGTGAATAAACTAAAACAGTGTCCTAACTTTACTGATTAATCATAAAACAAATACGAGCCTGTATTAACTAAAGGGCAAGCATTTAGGTACTCTATTTAACTACTCCTGAAACCCTCATTCTCAATGAGATCGTGGATTTAGCTCGTGGTTGACACTTAGGATTTATTAATGAAAATATAACTCTTCAACAAAGATCATTTAGCCTTCATTGGCAAAAAAATGCAAAGTGCCCTTGAAATCACTCCATGCCATGTATGCACACAAGTGTAAAACACACATAGCACACTGTAACACACCTACTTACTCATGAAAATTTCACAGTGAGACAAACCTTAAATGGTATGGGAGCAAAAGGGTTAGTTGGGGAACAACGGAAGGTAACTCTACTTGAATTCTGTAATTCCTACAGTAACAGAAAACATATTCCTTCAGATACAACATCTTTGGTTATCCATATTACAATAACGTGAAACCCCAATGAATATTCATAAAATGCTTCCTGAAATTGTTGAAAGCTTTCTTTCCTATCATGATCAAATTATCATACAGAGATTCTTGTCAGTTTTTGTTTCAATTCTGGGTTTATAATTTCATGAGAATATGAGACTATCCAAGTACAGGTTTATGGGCATTAAAATAGTGGCCTGTTTCCTCATTCAGGCATTTACGTGGACACACTCTATGAATATTCAACACACTCCTGCATATACACAATTATTTGTAGAGTGATTAACTCACAGAAGGGCTTTTTTAGGACCACCTTGTATATAAGTCTGAGAAGGATTTAAATCAATACAAGGCTTTAAATAAATTATGTGTGAAAGCAGTTCATACATTTGGCAACTAACAAAAATTTAAATATCAGAAAATTTAACTCACACCAAAATACAGGGAAGGCATTGGACTCACAATTCTCCCTTACTATTCAGAAGAGCCATCTAATTTCAGCGATAAAAATGAGTATGTTCGGGCAAAAAAATGTGCTTAAGAAAGGATTTGCATGCCCACTCCAACACACAGTTTTTTGTCTTTTTTCCCCTGCCCAAATTTAGTAAACAACAGTGAACTAGGACAAAGGCATAACAAAGAACGAAACATTTGCAAGAGGCAATGAATGGCAAGACAACGGCATTATCCAACCTTGTCAGCGTTGAACTGAAGAGAATCAGCAAATGGGTTAGTGCTGCTGAAGTTGTACTTAGGGTAAAGGTTGTGCGGCAAGGAAGGCAAAGGGGATTTCTAAAAGGAAACATAAGAGGCGCTGAGCGCAAAAGAAATATATTTAAAACAACTCAAGTCTTAAGAACAAAGTACTGACTTCTATAACAGTGTGAAATTAGTAGATCCAGTCAGATCTAGTAATTAAGAGCAACATCATGTTAAACAGTCTAGAACTAAAGGTTTACCTCTAGGAGATCTGGATCTACCCCTCAATTTAAATCTGGCCACAAACTACGTGGGATATGAGCTGGTGAAACTGATAACCACATTTCTTCTCTTTTCACTATCACATATACTTTGTCCACTCTATAGATTCATGTATGTCCCGTGCATATCAGTAAACATGTTTCAAAATGAAAACCATAAATGCTTTCTGTTTACATTTAAAAGCAAATTATGCTTTTTTTTTTTTTTTTAAAACAAAAAAGGAATGGACTATCAGCTACAGCAAATTAAACATTTGTCTGCTAGTTCACTGGTAACCTTCATGATTCTTTTATCTTGTTTCCCAGGAAGGAAAATTTTCAAACTTAGATTGGATATTGAGGTTGCTTCAGGTCAATAGTACTTTTCCATTTAAAAAATGAAATTAACAATTTTAAAGAAATATACCACTGTACAGTGGTGTTCTTTATTCCTGCCCATTTTTTGTGGAAGTAGAAACATTGATTTTTTTAAAAATTTCCTATAAAAGCTCCCATGTGAGTGGGAATTTATGAGGCTATGAATATATTGAAGTCTTGCCTTAGAGTGTTTCTCACAGATTTTGTGGCTTGCTTGAGATACTCCCTGAGCTAGGACTACTGGAGTTGAATATATGTATCAAAGGCAGGATGACTGCCAGATAGAATTTAGCATTTTCATAGTTTAAAAAAAAAATGAAAGTAATTTCCTTAGCACAATAAATTATTCTTCTTTTCATACCCACTATCTTCTTCTTTTATTGACTGTATCTTTCAGGGGGAAATTGCAGACATTTAAAATTCATTTTGGCTCCAATTAAATGTTTGTGTTACTTCTGTCTATAAAAAAGCCCTACTGGCAAGCATCAGGAGTAGGAAGAGGTTGTCATGTGATGCCACCCTGTACGGGAGAATACTCTGGAAAGGCTCTTTCCTCAGTACGCCTGTACTAAAGCTTATGCCACATTACCCTTTCAATCTGCTCTTCTTGCAATGTTTTTCCTACAGAGGGAAGATGGGAAAAAGAAATGGGCACAATGACATTTCTGCTCATCTCAACTTTCTCTCTGCTTTTCAGTTTAAATGTCAACTCCTGCTTTACAAAAGAAAAGATCACCAATGCCAAGGAACACGACCATTTATTAAGGTGGAAGAAATGACTAGGCAGAGATTAAAAGCATATTCTAGGCCAAATAACTCCATGCTATTGAAGGTGGAATTTATTTCTGATCTCATATATGGAATTTTTAGGTTTTAAAGTTCCTTTATAATTCTGTAGAACAATTAAAAAAACCATAATGGTAAAAAATGGAATATTTAATGACAGCTCTAGTTTTCTGTTTTGCTTTTTTTTTTTTTTCTTTTAATTTGCAGCTCTTATAGGATTAGAATTTGGCCCTGATAGCAGAGTATAAAGTACAGCATGAGTACAGCAAATGAAGTGGTAGATCTATTACTATGAAGAAATTTATAGGAACAGGCCATATTCTTTATTTAAAAATCAATGATGAAGCTTCTACTTATCGTTCGAAGGGCTGATAAAAATCAAAATGTTATTAATTAAGAAGAAGCACAGGAAGGACAAGAACATTCTCTAGTCCATATTAATAGGGTCTACCCTTTGGTATGACGATGTAGTCCAACTGATGGAACTGTCAGTAATAATAAGTACAGAATTTATTATTATAATGATTATTATGATTATTCTCTATTCTGTGAAATTCTGATTCTTGATTAATCTAGAGATTGACTATCTTTTCATCCTATGTACTGGATTTTTTTGATGCTTTATTGTACCTACAAATAAAACACTGTCCATTAAGAGAGTCTCCTGTATTTGTGATTTTTTTCCCCTTTAGATTACTGGAGACATGATTATTTCCACAAGGAAGTAAATCACTGAAAACAGCTATCATTTTAAATGCAAAAGTAAATCTGATTTCCTAAAGCTGAATGTGTATGTAGAGGAGGAAAAATATCTCTCCTCTATTCATCTTAAGTTCTCAGCTGGATCTCTGTAATAAAAAATAGATTAACAAGAGAAAAAAATATATATTGATTTAACGGTAACTTTTATGTGACAAAGAGCCTTCATTAGATAAGGAAGAAGTGAAGAAATAGACTTGAAGGGTTTTTTTTTATAGTAGGTTTGCTGAAGCATGGAAAGTCATGGAAAATATGATAGGACAAAAGAGTATGAACATAGTGGGGAAACTAAGGAAAACTTAGCAAGGTCTGTTCATTCAGATTCTTCCCAGCGTCCCTGTCTTTGGAGGTAAGGATGTTCCTTTCATCTAGGTATGGGGAGGGCTCCTCTCAGAGGAAGGTTTTATGACCTACATCAGGGGAGAAGGGGAAGGTCAGAGTCCTTCTAGCATGCCTTTTCCTTAATTCCTTCAGCTTAAAATATTCAATGTGCCCTATTTTGGGGTAGGGCATTCAACATGCCCTGAATACTGTCACATGTAACTTGACTAGACATGTCACTCTAAGCAAGATTTATCCTAGAGTAACTGCTATAAAATCAAGAGTCATTCTACCTCAGGTGATAAAACAGTGGTATTCTCCAGGCATATGAGAAAATATCTTCCCAGCTTATTAGAAACTGTGACTGGCGTTGAAATAAATGTCTGCAGTTTAAGTTTTTAAAAGTAATATGAAGAATCCTATTCAGCAGTTTACAGTACTGCCCTACATGATATGCAAGTTGAAAATTAAAAATAAAAACAATGGAAAAAAACCTGCCCATGTACAAAAAAATGGTCTTAACGTAAACACCATTTGCCAACATCATTCTATATCTACGTTAGACACAACAAATGGAAACAAATGTGGAAAGATTTGTAGTTATTTAAACAAACTGAATACCATGTGAAGAGAATTGCAGCATGGTGCAGCCCTATCATTTGGCAGATTTTCTCATCTGAATGGATAATTATTACCTAACAATAAACAATGGAATGATTAAAAACTGCAGATGTGAAGACAAGTACTTACATTAGCAACTACTAAATTCATCCGTTACAGTAAACCCACCCCAGAGCTACATCTGTCTTGACCGCACAAACACTAATAGGATAAATCTGGACACTCTGAATCCCACTGCACAGAACACTAACAAGTCACTTTTGCGCTGATCTTATTGACAGAGCTTTTGGCTACTCTCTTTCCATCATCTGGGCACTGATTTCTTGTATTCTTGATTTTAAAATGATAGAATAATTACATATTTTCAGTTTCAGACGGCTCTTTTAACTTCCCTCACATATATTGACATTTTTCTTTTAAATAAAGCTAATGAGTGGGTATTTCAAAGAGAATCAGTATGACAGGGTTTTTTTTTTATGTGTGTGTGTGTGTTTTATTTTGTTTTTACTAAGATCCAGAAGTAGAACCTCTGTGAGTTCCAGAACATCTAGGAAGCTCCTGAAGTGATATGCAAACTTTGCAGTGAATGTGTATAGTTCTGAAGAACTTTCCAAGGGGCATGTTTAAAAACTACTGCACGTGAAAATAAGTTCTCTTCACTGAGACCTAAAAAAGGAATAGTTAAAAAGAACAGTTTGCAACTCTTGGCATAATTTTCATCTTCAGAATCATTAGGGCATGTCAAACCCACAAAGTCTCACTTAGTCTCTTCTCCATCAACAACATTCATTAAATGAATTTATTCCACTTTCCAAAATATTTTTTCAAGCCATTTTACCTGTCAGGACTGATGGTAAAACGGGTTAGTAGTTTTTTGTCTGCCAGGAGTTATCCAGTGATGAGGAGCTCTACAGTGACTGTGGCTGGGAAGCAGCAGTTATGAAATCACTAGTATATAAACATACTGCTTAAATTTCCACTATGCAGAATGTTCAGTGGGATAGACAAATACATTCACAATGATTCAGATGATTGTGGGATTGCATAAGCTGGAAATTCTGTCTAGAGAATAAATGCAGAAAGACACTGTAATCTCTCTAGCTTCTCAGGGATTCCACCAGAAGTCACACAATATTAAGTTAAATATATCACATTCAATCTTAATGACATAGATTTTGTGACTATGGTGAACAGTAATAATTATGCATCTAGATACTGATGGCCACCAATGAATCCTACTTTTCTGTGTTTTCAATGGACTTCCAGTGTTTATTTAACATGGTGGAAGAGATTTCCAGGACAACTCAAATTAAAAAAAAAACAAAAACAATATGAAATTTTAACAAGTCTCCTGAGATTTCAACAGTGGATATCTGCTCTTAGAGACAACTTGGCCCTTGTTATATTAGATTCCAAGTTGAACACTGTTTGGATTTGCCTACCTTGCCCTTTGTTTGCTTACCCTTGGTCTGTTTATAATGCTCTGTACCATAAAGACTACAGGGTTGCCTGCTTTCCGAATGGCTTCCACAGCTTGTTCATGGCTTGCATCTCTGAGGTCCATCCCATCCACCTGCAATGGAAGGCCTCAGCTTAACATTTCAAGAAGCTACAGAACAACAGAACAATTTGTGGATCTGGAGTTTTGAGGATCCTGGGTGAGGCTCTTGGGAATCTGTTTCAGAATCAAAAATAATGGTGACTACTTATGAGGCTCCAGAACTCTTAATTTGTCCAGAAGACTTGTGGTCCCTTGTTTTGGACACTGATTACTGTTGACAGATTTCTGTCTCCAATAATCAACCAAATTAATAATCAGCTGAAATGAAGGCTCTGCTTCTGCTTTCCTTACACTATCAGTTGTTCCTTTAAATTAGGAAATCAACATCATTGAAGAAATCATATGAGGGCTGTCTTCATCATGAAAATCACTAGGAATTTGCTTCCGACTTATTGTAGATTACTCCGGGAAATGGGTAGGGGATGTTTTGTGTGTTTCTCTCTGCATAGGGATGCTTGACGTTAAAAACAAAAGTCTGATGTTCATTCAGAAAAATTGGGTTATGGCAAGATTAGTTTTGCAAAAGAATCTTTGTAATAGACATGACAGGAGCTAGAAGCCAAGAAATTGTGCTTGTTAGTAATTCTTATATAAACAGCTTGAAAATGAATGTTATTTTGTAACTTTTTTTTGACCACGGATTGCCTGGGTGATGATCAGTTCAGCTTATGCAGTATATGAATATGTATACGCAGGAAGGAAAATAGTTTGAAAGGCCAAATGCTAATCCTGCCAGCTTAAAACTACAGGATAACTATTATCATTTTATCATTTCCGATTACCACAATATGGTATATACAACAAAACAGTAAAATCAGAGTAGACACAACTCTGGAAAAGAAAATAGTTATTAGATCTCTGCATAGGACATTATCACCTTTAAAAGAAGTACATACATTTAATTGAAAACCTCCCTTAGATCAATAGTTATATATCTTACAGTGCATATAAAAATAGCTTTCATTTTTGTAGAATAAAAGTTAGTATTCACATCTACCAAATATTCTATCTGCAGACACATTTACCAGGACATATCTTTGCTCAAGTCTAAAGAACTCTACACTTAGAATGGAATATTGTGCAGGTCTCGACTCATCTAATCTAAATACATTTTTAGACACTTGGCAGAGACATGTTTTAGAATCTCCAGGATCCCAGAGGCCTAAGGTTTTCTTATTTACTAGAAAAGCCCCTATACATAAGAGCCTTCAACAAACCAGTGCTAAATTGCATACAGTATTTTATAACACACACAAAAATACTTTCTTTTCACTTTGAAAGGGATGTTTTAACTCCCTCAATACATTTAAGCAACAGTTTGGTACAAACCATAAGACCCTTCTAGAAATAATTATAAATGTTTCTTTACTTTTTCTCTTTAAGTCAAAGGTATTTAACAGTGAATTCTCCCTAAAATAAACTGCCCAGTGATAATCTGAAACTGGGATCTTTAGATAAGTGTTCTACTAAAAAGGAGTTCTTTAAAAAGGTGCTTGGGGACCCCGCCTGGGTGGCTCAGTCTGCTAAGTGTCCAATTCTTGACTTCGGCTAAAGCCATGATCTCACAGTTCACGAATTTGAGCCCCACATTGGGCTCTGCGCTGACAGCATGGAGCCTGCTTGGGATTCTTGCTTTCCCTCTCTCTCTGGTCCCCCCAATTCCCACACGTGCACTCTCTCTCTCTGAAAACAAATAAACATTTAAAAAAATTTAGTTTATTTTTAAGAGAGAGAGAGACAGAGAAAGATGGAGAGAGACAGAACATGAGTGGGAGAGGAGCATACAGAGAGGGAAACACAGAATCTGAAGCAGGCTCCAGGTTCTGAGCTGCCAGCACAGAGCCCGACGCGGGGCTCGAACTCACAGAACCGTGAGATCATAACCTGAGCCGAAGTTGGTCGCTTAACCGACTTGAGCCACTCAGTGTCCCAAATAAACATTTTTTTAAAAGGGGGTAAGTATCATCTAATGAAAGGCAAGGATGCAGGAAGAAAGAAAAAGCCCATTATTCTTCCTTATAAATGGCTGGAGGAAAAGACAAAATGAAACAAAAGACATGATCCTTGTCCTCCCAACTCTCAATCTTCCTCCCTCTTCAGCTCTCACAGACAATCAACCAGTAAAGGACTACTGTTTCAGGAACGTGAAACTGTTCATTTTAAAGTTGCAGTTAATATGTTGTAATCTTTTTCTACACAATTAATGCATTTTAATGGTAAGTTATATGGATTTAGAAAATGAGAGACAATCACTTGTATAAAGTAAATGTAATGGTCCTTATAATAATAAAGTGATTGGTTTCTACTGGGAAGTTGTTTCCTATTCTACTCTAAATATCCTGATGACTACCCTCTTAAACTAAAACTATACTTACCCTGATCAAACAATTTATCACACGGTTCTGAAGTAACCTGATTACTTGTTAAGTCTGCTGCACTTGACAGATAGGCAGGCATGGTGCCTTGTTTACTGCCAAATGCCCAGAGCCTGTCATAGCATCTGGAATGCAACAGCTGTTCCAGGAATATTTGCTGAGTAAATGAGTAGTGACCAAGGAAGAAAAGACTATTTAAAATATTATACTTTGTTTTGAATTAAGAGATTAGCAACAATTTGACCAAATGCTTCTCTTGCTCATAACGAAGTTACACATACATGAGTGTGTAAATACACACACACACACACACACACACTCCTCAGTGATAAATGGGCACAGCACTGAGTAGTAGAAGGAAAATCTGAGCCTGGATTGTGGGGGTGGGGCATTTATATAAAAGGTTATCAGGGCGATTAGCGTAAAAGATTTACCAAAGAGACTCACTTGGAAAACAATCTTATCCAACAAAGTTATTCTACAATTAAATGATCGTGACAAAGCATTTCTTGAAATAAAATCTCACTGGAGAGCTTAGTTATGATGTACACATTCTGCACATGTATACATAATTTCAAACAATTCAATTCTTCCTCAAGAAATCTGCTTTGTTCTTTCAAACAGATCTTCATTATTTTAATTCAGGGCCAGTGTTTTTAAAAATAGTTGGTTATATCTCCAAACACCAATGTCTGAATCAAGGTATATAATCTGTCACCATGCACTAAAGAGAAAAATTATAGATGAAATGAGACATATGGCAAAGAAATTCGACTTTCCTGTTGGTCAAGGAAGCAGTGTAAAGGCAATGATTCCCTTAGGAAAGAGGACAGAAGAGGTAGGGAACTTTGGCATAGAAAGTTAACTAGAGGGTACCTCTACTATTCTATCTCCAGGTTTCAAGGTTCCATTTGCGCCAGCTGGACTATCTTCAAGAACGTGTTTGATGAAAATGCCCCTCATCACTTCACCGTTGCTTAGACGACTCCCCATGCCTCGTCCGCCAACAATGCTGATGCCCAAGGATTTGCTTGGTTCTCTCCAAAGTTCAACCCTGTAAAGACAAATAAAATTGCAAACGCTTATAAGAAAGCTTATGAGAGACAAGTTTCATAATGCTGGGTTTTGCAATAATTTTTGGATATGACACCACAGGCCCAGGCAACAAAAGACATGACAAACTGGACTTTGAAAAAAATAAAAACTTGTGTTATTCAAAAATACTATCAATAAAGTAAAAAGGAAACTCATAGAATGGGAGAAAATATTTGCAAATCACTCTTTAGATAAGGGGTTGATATCCAGGATGTAAAGAGAACACCAAAACACAACAATAAAAAATTAAGCAATCTGATTAAAAAATGGACAAAGGAATTAAATAGACTTTTCTCCAGAAATGATATACACATAGCCCAAAAGCTCATGAAAGATACACAACATCACTGATCATCAGGAAAATGTAAATCAAAACCACAGTGCTACCACCTCACACCCACTGGGATGGCTATGATTTAAAAAGAGAGAGAGAGAGAGAGAAAGGAAGTTGTTGGCAAGGAGACATTGGAACCTGTGTACTGCTGGTAGAATGTAAAATGTTGCAGCCACTATGGAAAACAGTATGGAAGTTCTTAAAAAAATAAAAATAGAATTATTCCATTTCTGGGTACATACCCTCCCAAAATCAAAGAAAGATCCTGAGGAAATATTTGTACAATCACATTCACAGAAATATCATTCATAATACCAAAAGGTTGAAGCAACCCAAGATACAAAATGGTATATATGGACCATAGAATATTATTTAGTCTTAAAAAGGGAGAAAATTCTTTTCACATACGACAACCTTGAAAACATTACATTAAGTGAAATAAGCCAGCTAAGTGGAATAAAGGACAAATACACGATTTTACTGATGTGACATACTTAGGATACAGAGACAGAAAGGAAAATGGTAAAAAGTTTCTTGAGACAAATGAAAATGGGAACACAACATACTAGAACTTATGGGATGAAACAAAAGTAATTCTGAGACGGCAATAAGTGCCAACATTTAAGGATAAGAAAGATCCCAAATAAACAACCTAACTTTAAAACTTAAGGAATTATAAAAAGAATAAACTGAGCCTAAATTTAGCAGAAGAAAGGAAATAGTAAAGAGGATAACAGAAATAAATGAAATTCAAAAAAAGAAAAGAAATAAATGAAATAGAGAACATAAAAATAATAGAAAGATTAATCAAATCAAGAGTTGGTTCTTTGAAAAGAGAAACAAAATTGACAGACTCTTAGCTACACTAACCAAAAAAAAAGACCAAAATCAACAAAATTATAAATGAAAAGAAGATATTACAATTGAAACCACAGAAATTCAAAATATCATAAGAGGTTATTATGAACAACTATACACCAACAAACTTAAGAACCTAGAAGAAATGGAAAAATTCCTAGAAACATACAACTTACTAAAATTGAATCAGGAAGAAATAGGAAATCTAAACAGACCAATTACTAGTAAGAAGACTGAATCAGTAATCAACAGTTCTATAACAAAGAGAAGTCCAGAATGAGATGGCTTTGCTGGTAAATTTTACTAATCATTTAAATAAACACCAATCCTCCTAAAATGCTTCCAAAAATCAAACAGGAGAGAACACTCCCAATCTCATTGTAGAAGGCCAGTATTACCCTGGTACCAAAATCAGAAAACTGCAGGGCAATAGCACTGGTGAATATGGATGTAAAAATTGTTGATAAAATACTAGCAAACCGAATTTTGCAGCACATTGAAAGGAGCATTCACCATGATCAAACTGGATTTACCTCTGGGATACAAGGACGGTACAACCTAGGCCAATCAACCAATGTGATAAACCACATGAATAAAAGAAAATAAAAGAATCATATGAACATCTCAACAGACACAGATAAAAAGTCTTTGACAAAATCTGACATAGATAAAATAAATCAAAGAAGACACAAATAAATGTAAAGGTATCCAGTGTTCATGGCTGAAAGAATACTGCTAAAATGTGAATACTACCAAAAGACATCTACAGACTCAATGCAATTCCTATCAAGATTCCAAAGGCATTTTTTACAGAAATAGAAAAAAAAAACTCCTCTAGAATTTATATGGAATCACAAAAGACTCTAAACAGTCAAAAACCCTGAGAAAAAAGAACAAAGCAGGAGGCATCACACTTCCTGATTTCAAGCTGTACTTATAAAATTATAGTCATTCAAAACAGCATAGTTCTGGCATAGAAACAGTCACAGAGACCAATGGAACAGAGCCCAAGAATAAACATAATAATATATCAAGAGCCCAGTAATAAACACAAGAATATATAATAAGGTCAACTAATATTTGACAAGGGAGGCAAAAATGCTCAATGGAGAAAAGAAAGTCTCTTCAATAAATGTTGCTGGGATAATGGAATATTTGCCTGTAAAAGAATGAAAGAGACTCATATTTTATACCACTCACAAAAATTAACTTGAAATGGATGAAGGATTTAAATATAAGACCTAAAACCTATCGTGATCATCTTTCTATGATAAATATATAATCAAGCCATCATGCTATTTGCCTTAAACTTATACAGTGATGTATATTCAATTATTTATCAATAAAACTGGGGAAAAAGAAAGTAGAATGGTGATTGTTAGCAAATGGGGGTAGGCAGAAATGGGGAGTTATTATTTAACTGGTACAGATTTTCAGTTTTGTAAGATGATATAAGTTCTGGAGGTAGATGATAGTGATGGCTATGCAGCAATGTCAGTGTTCTTAATGCCAGTGATTTACACACTTCATGTGGTCAAAAATCATAACTAAATCTTTTAAAACTCAATGTAATACAGTGTTATGGAAGTTAATTTTTGCCAATTTATTAAATTTTGCCAATTAAGATTTTACCAGTAGTGGAACAAAATCATTATATTAAATACTTTCTAAATTACATGTTTTATAGTCAGATAGACACTAATGTCATTCTGAAGATGATATGTTACAAGTAAATGCTGAACTCACACCCCTGGCTGGGACACAGACCAATATAAAAGTATCATTTTCCAGGAGATCTAATACTGAAGACATTAAAAAATCAAGAAATTCAGCTACCCCTGAACAGATGGTAGCATCAAAGCTTGGCAATCAAATCAGGGAAAAGAACATTCTTGCATACACTATGTCAGAAGCTTATCTCTGTAGAAATCTTTGCCAAGCTAGACCTGGTACCTAACAGTCAGGGCCTGAAAAGCAGTGGCTAACAATATCTGATGTGATTTGATCCCACACTGCCCTCCTAAATTCGTCTCCACAATTCTGCTTTTCTCTCTACACTCCAGTTACCACAGCATCTTCTTGCTGTTCCTTAAGGATGTCAGGCATGCTCTCCTGCTTCCGGGCCTTGGTGCTTGCTACCTCCCCTGCCTTGAATGTGCTTCTACCCACATAATAAACACAGGAACTCATATTTAATAACTGCATATAGCTCTAAGCACTATGAATACATGATGTTTGTGTCTTAAGAAAAGGATGGGATAGAACAATAAGGTAATTTGCAGAGAGGTGTCTGGCTGGGAAGAACAAGCAGCTCAGGGTATTATCAGAGGAACCTAGCAAAGAGCTCTGAGATAATGCAGTCTGCTCCATGCTGCAGGAAGGAAGATGATGTTGGACATTAAATAGGAAAACAAAGCATGGTCCAAACATGGCCTTAATTTGAGGAGCTTTGAAGAGCTCCCAGAGGAAAGGAAAGATTGGAGTAAGGACTGCTGTGTCGTGAGGGTGGTCCCAGTAAGAAAAGGCTGGGGAATGAAGGAGAACCATGGGTAGAGGGAGAGGACAGCCCCTGGCCAGATGAAGGCAGGTGAGGTCAGCATTTTTTTCTTAGAAATCTATAATCCTAGAGACCTAACTATTTAGTTCAAAAGGATGTTACTACGGGTTTCTGAATCTTAATAATATTTGTATGAATTGTTTAAACTGGTTAAAATCCTCGTCATCATTTTCTTTCACTCTGGGAATTCTGTGAAAGACAAGAACCAAAATTCTTTCTTGTTTCTTAAAGCTGTTCCTAAGATAAAATGGCAAAGTAAAGATGTCAGTAAATTTATGCATTTGTAGGTAAACATTTAAGAACTCAGAATACATATGTAGGACTCCTTATCCCTTCTCTTAAAAAGGAAAAAACAAATAAAAGAAAGAAAGAAAATGTCTCCTAGGGTTCTTTGTAGTTAGTGTGAATTGGAGAGTTTCTTATAATTTCTCAAATGGTAAAAATAGCAGCAGGAAACACTTATTAAGTGTTATCATGTGCTCAGCATTATTCTCTAGATGAGTCCCATTTACTTTCATTCATTTTACAAATGGAGGATGCTCAGAGAAGTTAAACAACCTTTGGAAAATAGCACTGTAAGACCATGTAGGGTCTGGCAGGTAGCAAAGTATTCAAATACAGTATACTCTAGAAGAAAGGCTGTAACTCCTTAAAACACTGGAGAAGATAACGAGGACAGAGCTGCTGAAATGACCACAGGGCTGAGGAACTACTGAACAGGACATGGTAAAACATTCTGCGGATAGAGAAAGGAGATGTGTAAAAAAACAAAAACAAAACAAAACAAAAAACTTGTATAGAACATGTGCAGAGTTAGTTGTATGGAATAATGGCAGCCTTTCTTGAGACCTATACATAGGTTTGCAAAGAATGAAATTCAGAAAAGCAAAGGTAAAAGAGATCTGAGGCCAGGCTGCCTGAGCTCTGAACCAAGTCTCTGGTTTCAAGTTTATTTTTTGCTACTTAACAATTGTGTGACCCTCTGAAACTCATTTAGTGTCTTACCTTCCTCAGCTGTGAAATGCAGCCAGTAAGTCTATGTCAGAATTGCTGTGAGGACTAAATCAATCAAAGTATGCAAAGAGCAAAACAAAGCTTTGGCACAGCAATCAATAAGTCTTTTATTACTCTTATTATGATGACTGAGATTATGATTACTGAAGCAATATAAGCAAGATATAAAATTCAATCCAGATGACAAATGAAAAAATGTGTACCCTACCACCTTAATTCTGTTATGCCTATACATTATTTATTAAGACAGGATATCATTTTCTAACCATCGGATTGACAAAAAAAAAATGTGTTTTTTAAATAATCCTATGATGTGATAGCAAGGATGTAGGGAAAAGAAAATTCTCATATATTAGAACTGACTGAAGTAATAATTGGTACAGCCACCTTAAAAAGCAATTTGACAACTTCTAATAAAATAAATAATACACTTAAATTTATGAGCCAGCTCTTTTGGAAACATACCTAGATAAATTCCCATACCTATGTATAAGGAAATAGATATATTTATCGCACAGAATTATTGTAGTTGTGAATAAATATTAATTACTCAAATAGCAATCTGGGCATGAATGGTGGTGTATTCATATACTGAAATGCACTGCAACAACTAAACTGAATGAATTAAGTGACATGACAGATCTCCAAAACACTGGATTGAGAAAAAAGCAAGCTAGGAAATGACACACAGAGTAAATACCAATTCTGTAAAGGAAAAAAAATCACATGCAAAATAAGAGTACCAGCTGATTTGCATTCTTAAAATTTATACTTTGCTAACAAATATTCTCTATTTCTACACAAAGCAAACCTCTTTTAACTGCATAAATGAATGTCCCATCATGTTTTCCATGTTGTATAGCATATTCACAACACTTGCTCCTCGTTTACTAAAAGCTCTGGTTGGTTTGGTAAGCTTCCTCATACTATTCTTTAAACTCTTCCCAAAAGTACCTTACTTAGTGCAGGGTACCTTCTTTAAGATTTCTGGAAGCTCCAGCCATACTCTCTGTAAAGTAACTATCACCTTTAGATATGTGAAGACTAAAATAAAGGCCAAAAGTATTTTATCTTCCAGTTCATAAGTTATACCCAATTCTTTCTCATAATAAAATATCACAATGATTCCTGTATTCAACATTTTCCATTTGCTTAGTTATTACTGATGGTGGTGATTACTGACCAGCCAAGCCCCTGACTGAGTGCTCTCTCTGCATCAGGCACTATGCTAAAGATTTACATGCATCATCACACTGAATTCTCCAAATCTAAAAGATTTTATTATTAATCTCATTTTACAGATGAAGAAACAGACCTAGCAGAGATTAAGAAATTTTTTTAAAGAAGGATTTAAAAAAAAATTTTTTAATGTTTTATTTATTTCTGAGAGATAGAGAGAGAGAGAGAGAGAGAGAGAGCGAGCGAGCATGAGCAGAGGAGTGTCAGAGAGAGAGGGAGATACAGAATCTGAAGCAGGCTCCAGGCTCTGAGCTGTCAGCACAGAGCCTGATGCAGGGCTCGAACCCACAAAATGCGAAATTATAACCTGAGCCAAGGTCGGATGCTCAGCAGACTGAGCCACCCAGGCACCCCCAGAGATTAAGAAATTTATCTTAAAAAGTGTCAAACTTAGAATTCTAACATGGCTCTTATGGACTCTAAACATTTTGCATATGGTCTCCTAAAATCTACTTTTTCTCCAATAATGCTATTAAAATGGATAAATGTATCTAAAAAGATAGACTGTGATTACTGTCCTCCAAAAAAATTCAAATTTATCACTAAGATCACCAGCTACAAAGTAATTTCACCTAACTTACTTTTGCCTTTCTCTTCATATAAACAAGAAACAGCATAATCTATTTTCTGTCACAGACCTAGCATTTATATTTTGGTCTCAGTGTGGGTATGATTCAGAGACCTTGATTTTTCTAAGCAGCCTAAATAGCTTTAAAGGAATTCCAATCAAAAAGTCATTTTATTTTTTTAGTATTTATTTTTGAGAGAGAGAGGCAGGGCATAAGCGGGAGAGGTACATAGAGAAAGGGAGACACAGAATCTGAAACAGGCTCCAGACTCCAAGCCGTCAGCACAGAACCCGACATGGGGCTCAAACCCACAAACCATGAAATCATGACCTGAGCTGATGTTGGATGCCTAATCGACTGAGCCACTTAGGCACCCCTTAAATTTTAAATGGCTAGAAATGCTTACTGATTTTTGTGAAGGCAACATAAAATGTTTTCTATATTTCAAATATGACTCAACCTAGAAATGTTTAAATGTAAGCAAGAAAAACCATCATACTGTTTTACATCTCTGAATAGTAGACATCTTTCTCTTTGGAGTATTTTATTTATTCATTTTAGAATAAATATTAAGTGTTTACTAAATAAGTGCAAGAAACCATAATGATGGTCACTTATAGATCTGTTTACAGGGACTATTCAATGACTACTTCTATTTTATACTTAATGCAAAATTCTTTACATTTTTTCCCTCAAGTATTTTGTGTGTCCCTACATCTTGCCTCTCCAAGTACACTATACTTCCTTGAGGGCAGGATTTATGTCTTATACTTCCCTGTTATTCATAAAAACATGTGCATCCATAATCAGAGCTCAATAAATTCCTATGAAACTGAATTTGATTTTACTCAGCACGAATACAAAAATATGCCTTAGTGATGCATAGGGACATATCTGAACATATTTAGGAAAGCTATCTTTTCTACTATATATGAAATTGGCTCCATACAGAGCATGGGTTAAAATAACTACAGCTTGTGATAACAAGATGCTTACACATACACACACATTTTGAATATATATGCTACAAATGCTAGATAAAATTTAAATTAACATTTGGTGGTGTACCTGATATCCAACTCTATAGAAAATATTATGCATTCCATCTACCTATGCAAAATTTTCTCTAGTTAATCATATTTAGCACCTACTATGTGCCAAATCTTTGTATACATGTTAGTTTTAACCCTGTGGAATTAACACATTATCTTCTCCACTGCAAACATGAAGAAATGGAGGGTAAGGGATACTAAAACGCCTTGCCCCATGTCACAGGAGCAAGTTGTAATCCAGTACTTGAAACCACACCTCCCTCTTTAAACACTGAGTAGGCAGAAGACAGAAATAGTCCTTACCGTCTGGGCTGATTCCAATTACTGTAAGCTGCATTTTGAAGCTCACTTTCTTCTCCCTCTCCTTCTTCTCGCTCTGGTAGTTCTGGAATGTCTCTGTTAAAAATTTACATAGTGAGTACTCCAAAATTCTAGTAAAACTATGCAAGTCTGTCTTTTATGTACTATATTATTGAATCGGTTTAAAATGCAGAGCTACCTTATATTTTTACAGACCTGGCCAATTTTACATTAAGGGGTAAAGAAAATCTAATCAAACAAAATAAAAACCTTACATTAGATCAATCTACCATAACTTTGGAGATATAGCTGAACCCTAAGATTCTTAGCTAATCTGTTTCTTTTCTGAGGAAATGTGGGAGAATATAGGAATGGAACAAGAAGAAGATAAATACAAGAATTTTAAAGAGTAACATTCAACAAATATTTCTTTTTTATTTTTTTAAAAATCTTTAATGTTTATTTTTGAGAGAGACAGACAAAGGGGAATAGGGAAAGCAGAGAGAGGAAAACAGAGAATCTTAAGCAGGTTCCAGGCTCCAGGCTGTCAGCACAGAGCCCGATGCAGGGCTCAAACCCACAGACCTGAGCTGAAGTTGGATGCTTAACTGACTGGGCCACCCAGGCAGCCCCTCAACAAGTGTTTCTTAAACAAAACATATAGGTAGAAGCACCATGTGGCCTATAAACTTGCATAGCCCTGACTGATTCCTGTCTTGAAAGAACTTACCATCAAGTAAGGCAGAAATTTAGCATCTCTGCTTCCTAAGGATAGACCAATGCTTTCCCTTCAAGAAAGATAGAAAACACTTTAGGTCCAGCTTCAGCCGATACAGAGGGATCATGCATAGAACCCTCCTTACAGGAAGCAGTGTACAATGTACCTGTACTCAAGGCTACTTTTCAATTTTCAGATTTTGCCAAATGCCAGGCACGTAAAACAAAAACAAACACAAAAACAAACAAAACAAAACAAAGAAACGTGTTCAGTCTGTTAACTAATTTTAAATTAAACTATAAATAAACCAGATCAATAAATATTTTGCTTTTCCAAAGGTATACTTTGCATCATAAGAGTAATAGTGTATGGTTATATTGATTATAGTGTGTCCTTACGCTGTCAGTAAAAATTGGATTTCTAAAGACATACATGAACATACTCCTTTGAAAGCAGAGAAGGCTAAAAAATTCTAATTTAATAAATGTTTTTGGTTGACTTTTATAGAAGCTGAATAATCTAAAGAAAGTATACGCTCAAATTATATCTATTCTCCAGTGATATGAATACTGAACTCTGTCAAATTATATAATCTTTAGACTCTGAGATCAGAACTCATATAAGCCAAGCCCAATAATCCATCTGTGTTTGAATGTGTTTCATAACATCTTTGAAAGCAACTGTCCAGGCTCTCCTTGAAGGTCTCATTCTTCCTTTGACTTAAATGTCAGATTTTTGTTTTTCATGTTAAGAGGAAATCTGTCTGGCTGTCTGTCCTATCCCTTGTTGGAGGTCTGAATTCCCTTCCTGTGCAAGTTGAGGAACAAGGTTCTCAACGAGGCTGGGACCAGGAGTCTAAGCTTGACAGTGGGATAAGACTGTTAGGAATTGGTCCAAAAAGGGGATTTAAAAAGGATGTTGAGAAGCAGACTGAGAACTGGACAGACTGAGGGAAACCACATTCCTGAAGATGCAGAGTAGAGAGGTGAAAACGAGGCTAACCCTCAGGAAATTCAGTAGGTGGGAAGCTGGCAGAAGAAGTGGGTATGGAACACAGACTTAAAATGAGCCCCTAAAGCATTCAGTGACAGCCATGGGGACGGGACGGGAGAAGTTCTCACCCACCAAGCCCAAGTTCAGGGAGCTACGTGGTTACCCTCTCAAATTCACTGGACCTCATGTTCCTGCCTGTTTAGCTGTAAAACTAATATCGTGAATCCTCTGATATAAAAACTCCATTTTCTTCAAATGACTCTACAGTGCTAGAATCCTTTCATCAATCCAGATGAGCTCCTATAAATGTGCTGTTCATTCCTTATCCATCTTAGAATGTGGTTTACAGGAATCAAGGGCCGTGTGCTCCAAAGAACAGGATGGACCAGTTCTCTTCTCCTGAGCTCACTTGGCTAAGAATGAATTAGACTTCTTTGCACCTGTGTTTGGTGACTACCAATGACATCTCTATCAACTAGAAATACTTTCTATACATCTGCATTCAGATTTGAGAAACTGGCACAAGGTCACACAGTAAAGTAACAGAGATAAGGTATGAATTGAGGCCATCTTATTACAAAACCTGAGCCCTAACCCCCATGCTATACTGTCCCATATTTTTATACTGGGCTTGTGTAATTCTTTCTTTGAATCCAAAGGTTAAGAACATAGGGCCTGTTTATATTCTAATCTTGGCTCTGCCAATTATTAGCTATGGAACTTGGACAAGCTACTTACCCTCTCCAGTACAGATTCCTTCTCTATAAAATGCAGACTGTTTTGTTTTTAGGACCCTTCCATTAAAAGCAAATGTACTTTCTCTGCAGTGAAGCAGGTAGTCCCAGCGTGGGACAATCCAGGTCAATGTGCTGGAAGGGAGCATACAGTGCTGAAAGTGGCTGTTTCTTTAATGACTTTTGAGAGCTTGAAAGGCCTCAGAACTTAATAGGAATATGATGTTACCTTGGCATGGTCTTTAAACTACTTGAAATAATATTTTAGGGGGATACTAGAATGACTGCTTTACAATTTTAACAGGAAGCTATGATCAATTAATACCACTGATCATGAGACAAATTCTAAAAATGGCTTAACTATGCACAGGGTGAAGTGAATACTCCTTTTCCCATAAAATTAACAAGACCCCCAAGGCCTATGACATCACATTCCCTTATTGAACTCATACAATACCTTTCCCTTCCCTAACACTTTCTGTATTACTGGAGTCATGAGCACTTTGCAGAGGAAACTGTGACACCCTATCAAGATACCTGCAGAGTCACTGAACATCCAGGTGTTCTGGGATGTCCTGACACCCTCTCTGGAATGGCAGAACTCTTGGGAGAAAACTCCAAAATGTTTGCAGAGCCAGCACTTCTTTACCATGCTTAAAGAGAAATATGGTCCTCAGTTGTTAATGCAACTGAAAAAACAGGCCTGGGATTGTGAGTGTAAAATGATTCATTCTTCATGGAAATGCAATTTCACAATAGTTCTCTTCCTGTGCTGAACTCAGTCAGCAGCAGCAACAGCAAAAATTAGTTCCTGACTTCTTAGGGGAGATAAAAAACCTTTCCCTGTGTTAAGGGTTCTTAATACATTGTATATCAAAAGCCTTCAAAAGGCCATACACTACTGCCTAACATGCATATATACAAAGATGTTCAACTCACAATGCTCCCCAAAAGAGTAAGAAATAATCAATAAAAATGTTCTGAATTGGTATGTACGTTAATAAAAAATTAAGTATAACTTATGAATGTGTTTTAAAAGAGAAAAAAGCATGATAAAATACCATACAAACTATGGGCTCCAGAGAATTAATGAAATAACGCTGAAATCTCTGGTGAATTCTCAGAACCCAGTCTATAAAAAGTACTATACTGAGTGGTACAACTAAAGAGGATTTTAACTTCTCAATTTGAACTGTCATATATTTTCCACATTAGTGGATAATTTCTTGAGTAATTGGAGGCTGAGTATTATTAAAATCTCAGAAGAGAGAAAAGGAATTCATTCTTTTTCATTACTAGTCCTCCCTGACTCTGGCTTCTAAAGTCTTTAATACCTGCTGTACGAATCACTCACTGCAGCAGACTTACTGCCTCACTTACCTGCCAGTGTATGAAGAAAATATATCCAGTGCCATTATTCCTCCAGACTGTTGCCCCAAATTTATTTTGAACTCTTCCAAATGTTCTGCAGGCACATAAGTAATTCTGAAACAGAACACAATCCCAGGGGATAAAAGGAAGCAAAGTTATGCCTAACAGGGGAAGATTCCAAAATATAAAAATAAAATTATATTGTCATTTTGTCCCTACTTTCACACTTTCTCATTTAGTAGGTTACTCAGAAGAGAACCCAACTTAGAAAAGATAAAGCATCCTATAAGCAAGAATAACAGATTAAGGTTTACATTTTTTTTAAGAGAGAAAGACAGGGAGAGAGAGAGAGTATCTCAAAGGAGGCTGCATACTCAGTGGGGCTCAATCTCAGGATATGAGCCCATGACCTGAGCCTGAGCCGAAATCAAGAATTGGATGCTTAATTGACTGAGCTACCCAGCCGCACCTAAAGTTTACTTTTTTTTTTTTTTTTACTTTAAATGTTAAGCAACAATTAAACTTTAAAACACCAATAAAGTATATGCTTGCCAATAACTATGTGAGGGAGGAAAGCAGCATTCTGTTGATTTCTGAATGAGAAAACTAACGGCAATTTTTAGAACAATCTCTAATACTTAGAAATGTAACTGTCAGCAATAATACTACTTTCATCTAAAGATCTTTGGGTTTCTTAGCAGAAAAAAATCAGGTATACTCTACTAAAACACTGGTCACCCCAAATTATTTTATATTCATCCATAATACAGAATTAATTTTGGGCATTGAAAAGCATTATAATAATTATATGTTAGCTCTATTAAGTTATGAACTCAAAAGTCTGAAGTTAAAGTATCATAAGTTTATGGGAAGTCTCTTCATAATTTGTTATCAACTCTCTAATAAATTATTCTAGTTTTATAGAAAAGCCTGATATTTACACTTGAATGGCCACTTACTAATTCAGCAAGTACTGGCTGAATGCCTACAATATGGAAGGCACCAAGCAAGATGATGACTACAGCTATAATGTTTAGAAACTGATATTTGAAAGTTCAAGCTTACTGCTGTCCTATAAGGCTACAGAACTGATTGATACACTTGTTTTAAGTAGGCTGTCCCAAGGTCTTCAAATTAAGAAATAGTTACATAAGAGAAACACTCAATTTGAAGTTGGTTCAGCACCTTATGCCACGAAAAAAAAAAGATGTGTCAGGACTGCACAATATAAAAATCATGAAGACTATAAAACCAGCTATCCATAACTTACCCATGAAGACAATAAGTACATAAAACCTTAGCAGTGGAGGGCAAGGATAAAAAGACTGTCTTTTAGGCCACAATAAAATAAGAAATATACCACTGGCATAATTTACTAAGGAGGATATATAATTTCAGACACATTGGTTATTCCATAAAAAGCGTTCACTCTGTGAGGTCACTTAAATTTGGAGTCAGAAGACACAGCTCTGTTACTCATCAAGAGTATAATGGGAGGGTAAATCACCACCTCCAAATCTCAATATCCTCAATCGCAAAAAGGACGTCAGTTTTTATGAGGCTGTTGTAACCCAGGAAGCGTAAAACAAATGTAACGCAGTGCTGTACTGGGGCATCAGCTAGCCTGGTCACATCTGATCGCTTTGCACACTCTGCGGACCCTTGAGAGTCTCTTCATTACACTTTTACCACAAGGATCAAAAAATAAAGAAGAAAGCACAGTTGAGAGGGTTCAGGAGTACACTGGGAGACAGAGTCACATTCCAATTCTGGCCCTAGTTAATTTATTCATCTATAAAAACACCTTTTCTAGGGTGTTAAAAATATATGGAATAGTAAACTTGAATTTATCCTGTCAAAAATAATGAGTAAAAATGTGTAACACATTATGTCAGGAAGACTGATTCTATTTTATACAAAAACAACATAAACTTAAAACTAAAAAGCCCATTCAAGAAAACTGGTATTATTTCTGAAGACTCAATAAAGGTAACACGTGTAAATAAAAGTATGCAGGGAGAAACTAGAACACAATGGCAAATAATAATAATCAGTTCAAAGTATTGTATTTTTTAAATGTTTCGAGAAGGAAAAAATATTTCTCCCCCAAACAATACTGAAAATGAATCTTCCTCTCTGTTTGTCCCAAACTGTTTTTTCTTTGACCAAGGCTAGGGGACATGGAGTCTTACAAATACTTTTTTGATATTTTAGAAGGCAGTAAGAAAGGGGAAGCAGGCAGTTTTCATAAGTGGTTAGCCCACAGAGAGCGAGGACACCAGAATAAGAGGTCCACAATGCGACAGCACGTGTAAAGCAATTCTAACACATGACTGGTCATACAGCACGCAAAACCTCCAAATCACCAAACAGAGCACCAGAAATAAACACACTGAACTGGCTTACTTGAGAGTGGTATTAAAACTCTTAAATGTAAACTAACCTTTGGTTACAAATGGAATGGAAGAAAAAAGAACAGCATTAGTAATGCCGAAATGTGATATGGCTATTAATCCAGAGACCATGTCTGCACATGCAGACAGGATCGTTCTCTGACAAAGGAGCTTGAAAGCTTAGTTTGGAAAATGTAATTTTCAAATGAGTTCACAATCATCAGTGCAATGTGAAAATGTAAGAATCTCATAGTTCTTTTGGGATTTATGTTCTTAAATAAATTATGGGGGGGTGGGGGTGGGGAGCCAAAATGTATACACTGAATCTATTATCTGGATGTATCCCTGCACTGAGTTATAAAAGCATGAAATGGTTTTCACAGACAAGTTGTAACACACAGCCATAATGAGCTTTTGAATCACCGATACTCACACATAAAAGGGGGCTCGATCATCAGCAGGTGCTGTAGAAAATCTAGAATGTGAAGCATACGCCGCGGCATCTTTTTACAATGGTGTTAACAAATGTCAATGTCTTGTGCTGAATGTGAGATGCATACATATGTAGTTAAAAGTGGGTGCTCCTGGTTGTTTTTTTTTCCCCCTTTCCACCTCCCTCCCCATCTACACCTCCCCCAGAAAAGCATCTGCTCTTTACTGGTGTCTATAGCAGTGATTATTAACAAGCATGGAAAAATATAACTGCAATCAATCTTTTATTCCTTGATCAGGAATTCATCCCACACTTTGGGTTAAGGCAGGTGAATTCTGATTCAGCTCAGTAATTATCTGGCAGATGTTAGAAGCAGCTGCTGCTAAGCACAAAACCCTGGCTATTATTACAGAAATGTAAGAGCTCCTGGCAAGGTGGAGTGAGAAGTGAAACAGAGTGCATTCTGGTGAGGCTTCACATCTGGTTTTCCATAGAAAATAATGAAACCTGGAACTTAAACTGGCTGTTCTTGAACTCTTGAAACTCAAATTATCTACCCAGGCACAGATGAACGCACACACACCAAGTTCCCAGCTATCTATCGTAAACAGCAAAAAAGAAATTCAATGCATTGTCTTCAATAAGCAATGCTTTTCCTAAAAATCATCAGTTACCTAACTAAACCAATTAGAGCCTTTTTTTCCATAAGTCCCTCCAATACATTCTCTCCACTACCATCCCACATAAAGCTAGGTTCACAGCAAGAAACAAAGCGAAAGAGACGTGGGTGGAGCCTACATCCAGGCATTGACTACAAAGCTTACATGGCCAGGGGCAATGTTATGGCTCCACTCAGAGTAATGGAAGGACTAGGCTTTCCTTTTTGGAGGATTATTCATATAGCTTTTAAGGTAATTCTAAACCTTTTGGTTCATAAAAGCAAGTGGTAAGAAGGGGACCGGGCCAAAACACTTCATGCAAAATGTACAGAACATGCTTCCCAGCCCTGGTCCATCTAAATAGCTGTCTGTGTTTATCATTTAACACACTTTTTTCAGAAAAAGGATTACATCATTCTGATTTCTTTTTTTTGTTTGTTTTTTTAATGTTTTTTAAATTTATTTCTGAGAGAGAAAGACAGCATGAGTAGGGAAGGGTCAGAGAGAGAGGGAGACACAGAATCTGAAACAGGCTCCAGGCTCTGAGCTGGCTGTCAGCACAGAGCCCAACACGGGGCTTGAACCCACAAACCGTGAGATCATGACCTGAGCCGAAGTTGGATGCTTAACCAACTGAGCCACCCAGGTGCCCCATCATAATTCTAATTTCTTTCTACCATTTACCCAATAAGTCAAACTATATCCATTGAATCACAGCCTTAGTAGGACACTTGAGAAGGAATCAATGTGTTTTGTATGTTTATGAATGTGTGCCTGTGTGAGCTCACACACACATGACCATGTGAGAAAGAAATGGATTGACTAATTGATCTTCAGAGGAGCGAATGATGCAGGACTTTTCTTTTCTGTTCTTTAATTTATGTTCTGACTCCTGGGACCCTAAAGCAATAATTCATGAGGTTACCTTTAAGATATCCTCAAGGCCCTACCTAATAAAGCTGCTGTCAGCATGAATGAGTCCATTCTGGTACTGAAACAGGACGCAGGAAAACAAATAAAAAAGGACAAGAGCAACAGCAATAAGGAATGGAGAAAAAAAAGTCTTTGGGAGCTTGAAAAAGTACCAGGCGACTTTTCTAGAGCAGACTAGATGCCTAACTTAGGCCAAATCAATGTCACGATGGTCTTATTTTTCAGCCACTTTGTAAGTTTTGCAGTACATTCGAACTGTGGGGGGAGGCTAGAAGCAAGCAGTGTTCCTGGTCCTCAGAGTGCCAAAAACTGGGCAGGGGACTTGCATTGGTGCTCAGAGCGTAAGTAAGAGGCACATTATCACACAATAAATCAAATGATCAGTTACCAGGCCATGTGCATTTTATACTCCATCTAAACCATGGAAGCTAAAAGCCTTGCAATAAAGGGTCTCCAGGTGAGTCTATATCATTCATCTTTGACGCTAGATGAATGGACGCTGGTCCATAAGTGATGAAGAAAGCTCTTAAAGTTTCTCTTTTTTCTTAGACACATTGACATTTTTAGTGTATTCCCTTGGGCTCACATTATTCAGATAATTAAAGAATTGTCACATGATGAGATGATCTATTCCATTATAAAAGTCAAAAGGGCATACAAAATTACAAAAGCCCATCATTGAAATTCCACTTAAAAATACTACTACTTTTGTGTAAATAGCAGAATCCACTTCAGACGGTATATATTTCTCTATTTCTTGATGGCAGAATGAAAAACAGATTGTAAATATATTTTTTCTTACCAAAGCTCTAGCAGTATATACATTGCCCAAGAGTAATACAAAATGCAGTCAGTAATATAGCATTAATACAGCAAAATTTCCCATACTGGTAATCATTACTTCAATGTAAGCTAAACAATCTTTCCCTGAGCTCTTATTTTACTATTCTATCCCTTATACATTAAATACAAATATTCAATAGTTGATGTGAGAAAAAAAAAAAAAAAAGCCAAGCTATTACACTGAGGAGGTGTGACAGAATCATAAACTGATTTTTATGTTGGTTCAAGAAATGGTTCATGACTTAAAAACCAAACCACATATATGATTATGGGATAGTTTAAGCCCTTCCTGACAAAATATCCTACATGTCCTACCATTAGACTATACCAATAGATTTGGTGAATTCTCTTAGATCATGAGGTAGTTGATGAAAGGGTGAATTATGGGTCAGACTAACACTCTTCTATATGGTCTTTTCCATGACTGGCCATTCAAGAACTAGCTTAGTTCTAGGATTCACATAGGTCAATTAGGTAGTACATAGTTCCTTATACTGAGGCCAATCCAAACATCTTTGTAAGATCGTAAGTGGACATCTTGTTCTGTGAGAGAGGTCTCATATGACTGACATCTAAGGTTCTTGCAGAATCATTAGAGTCAAATTAATTTTTTTCAAACATTTCAAAAACTGTATCATCTTAAACTATATCTACAATCAAGAACTATTTAGGACTAGTCAAATTCCTGAGTGATTTATTTTAATAAATGAGGGATAACTTTAGCATATTAAACAGAAGTACATACTGGGGGAAAAACAAAACAAAACTGACTCATGAATTGAACTTCCTGAATTTCCCAAGCCAAACTGGAGCCCAAATGATACTTACTTAATGTCAGGCCCAATGAGAGAATGTCTTCTCAACATCGCTCGCGCCTGGGCATTGGTTAAACTGATAGTGGATTCCTCATTAATAGACAGGATGCAGTCCCCAACGGCAATCCGGCCATCTCGGCTGATGGACCCTCCATGAATAATGCTTCGAACGATCATCCCCATGCCATCTTTATTAGCACTTACTGTCATCCCTATGGTAAAGGGGGAGCACAGATACGTATCAAATACTTGACCTTCAAATTCATTTTAACTTGAATTTAATAAACCCTATGGATTCACAGATAAAAATAGGAGTAACTTTTTATCCAATAAAAAACGATTAAAAGGAAAGAAAAAAATGCTAACACAAAATGTACCTTTTGAAATGGTTGTGAAATTGTATCCAGGAAAAGATACTCTATGTTAAACACATTAGAGATGAAATTGGTTTATACTGTGGAGTGACTATAACTCAAGTTGTTGATGTGATGCCCCTGAAATAGAAAACTCTCCCAAGGAAAATATTTTGACAGTAACAAATCAATTTTATACCAGTTCATCTCTTATACATATAACAGAATATAGAATAAGACTACAAAGGGAAAATCAGTTGTGTAAATTAAGAAATTCTGTGCTATTACCTTATTTCTAGTTCATTTACCCATTCAGTATATATTTACTCTATGCTTACTATGTGCCAAGTACTATGCTGATTGCTTGAGGTAAAAAACACATACCTAACACCAAGAGGCTTATACTCAAATCTTATCCTCAGTGCCTGATGTATAGTGGTCTGTTTAACTGAAGTAATGTGGACTTAATCCTAATCTCTTCCCATTTTATCTCTAAATCTGAGGTTCTATGAGCTCCAGATTTGGATATTTAATTGCCGTCCTGACATGTTCCCAGGATGGCTAACAGGAGAAACAAACTTAATAAATATAAAACTGAATTTCCAAGTTTCCACTTCCATATTTCTTCCCCTTTTTGGTAATAGCGCCATTACACTACTCTCCATTTCTCAAACCAGAAATGCTAGAGTTGTTCTTGATTCCTACTCCTCTCTCTCACCTCTTATATTCATTCCATCACCATGTCCTGTCATTGCTATCTCCAAAATGTATCTCAAATCCATTCACCCTTCTCTGTTTCCATATGAGCCCTATGCCAAGCTGGCACTTCTTGCCTCACTTTTTGAAACAGCTTCTGAACTGGTCTTCCCAACTAGTCTGCTGCCACTGCACTCTTGTCACAGCAGACACAGTGACCATTCAAAAAAGACAAATCACATCACTCCCTTTTTAACAATCCTTTACCAGTGTCCTGTTGTTCAGGGCACAACTATGACACACCTAACTGGCACAATCTTTAGGCCACTGATGGCCTGGCCCTCCCAACGTGCACCCTTCTTTAGTACCATGCCCTTGGCTCCCTGTCCTCCAGCCACAATGACTGCCTTCAGAAATATACCTAGTCTCTCCCAATTTCAGTCTTTGCCTGAGATCTTCTTCCCGAAGCTCCTGTACAGCTAATTCCCTCTTCCTCTTCAACACCACTTCCTCAGAAAGGGTTTATCAACAAACACATCTGAATTTATGTTCCCTTTTCACCCTACCCTTTCTTCAAAAATATAAAACTTTTGAAATTACATTTAAAACTTTACATAAAATTAATTTAAATTCACTTAAGACCAAGAGCTAGAAGTTCTTTCCAAGCAAGACCATATAACTAAATAATGTAAGGAGAGATAGAACTCTATAAGGGTAATTTATAAAAACATTCTTTGAAAGAATTCACAAATCCTTTTTAGGTTTTTGTTTTTCAAATAAAAATAAAGAAATTCTTCTAAATATCAACCTTAATAATACCAAATTAGATATGTTATTTCAAGTATCTTTCTAAGAATAATCCAGACTATAATGTTTCCAATTTCATACCTGGATATGGGACATCCAAGCACTAGTTACAGTTTTCTGTTAGAAACGAACCATTATCAAATGTATTTAAAATATTCTGTTAAGACTTATACTAATGATTTTTAACTGTATTCTCATCAGGGAAACACCCCTGTTTACCATAAAAGCAACAAGTTTAGACATGGCTTCACTGCTAGCGGGTTTCTTATGAGCAAAACGGGAGGCTCTGGAATGTTCCAGTAGGTACTCTAGTTTGTCCCAATGCTGCCACCCTTCTTCCCATCAAGACCCAACAAATAACAATACTATGGTAAAATTAAAATTAAAATCCATGGGTATGAAACAAAATTTAGTTCAGTGCTACAGACCAGGACTCTAACCCATCATCTTGTTCTCACTGGCACCATGTACGCTATAAATAAAGCAAGTTACTGGTGCGCCTGGGTGGCTCTGTTAGTTAAGCATCCAATTTCGGCTCAGGTCATGATCTCACGGCTTGTGAGTTTGAGTCCCATATTCGGCTCTGTCTGCTTCAGATTCTGTGTCTCCCTCTCTGCCCCTCCCCACTCACGCTCTGTCTCTCTCACTGTCTCAAAAACAAACATTAAAAAATTTTTTTTAAAAAGCAATCACAGAGACAAGTCATGAGCTATAGTCAATATTACCTCTGAATTAACTGTTAATGGTACATTTACCATTAAATTCACCATTTTACCATTAAATTCACAATTCTATCAGCTATCAGCTGTTAAGGCTTCCAGGTCACATCAACTACATAAACCAAGAAGCTGGCATCAATTTGCTCAGCTTATACTTTCCTTTCAACAAATGATAACTTTGAGGGTTCAAGAAATTCTATATAATATCCGCTAATTAGATTTTAGTTGTAACTTCTAAGATCTCTCCATTTTTTTTCCTGGAAGAATTATAATAGAATAGTCCAATCATGTATTATAGAACCAGAGGACTGATTCCAAATCCGAGTTTCACCACTTCTCATCAGTGTGGCCTTGGGCTGACTTAACCTCACACTTGGCTCATTTTACTCATCTGTTAAATGGGAACGATATTCCCTTTTAGGGTTGTTTAAAGAACTGTATGAGAAAAACATGAGGAGTGCCTTTCAACGTGCCTGGCACAAAGGTCCCAAAAAAGTACAAAAGAAAACTCACAAAATGTATTTTAAATGCACTCTATCCCAATCCAAAGCTACATTGCTCTGTAAAGGCTAAATATAAATCTCAATTCAGCTTTATTTAAAAAAAAAATGTTTCTCAATATTTATTTATTTTTTGAGAGACAGAACATGAGTAGGGGAGGGGCAGATAGAGAGACATACTCACACACCCACAGAATCCAAAGCTGGCTCCAGGCTTTGAGCTGTCAGCACAGAGCCCAACACAGAGCTCGAACTCACAAAACATGAGATCATGACCAGGGCTAAAGTCAGACACTTAACCAGCTGAGCCACTCAGGTGCTTCTTAATTCAGATCTAAAGTAAAGCATATTCTAGTAATCTTGATGTAGCCTTGGGTAACACACGCACTGAAGTGTAATGTATGGTACGTGAAAACCAGAGACATACTAAGGTTTGAGTACTGGTTCCACCTTCCAACAGCTGAATACTTACAGAGAAATTACTGAGTCTGCCTATGTTTGTGCTCCTAATCAGTGAAAAGAAGGTAATACCTTTCTTTCTGTCTTTCTGATCTTTTCACCTTTTCTTTTTACCTTCAAGTCCTAATACAATGTAATTAGTCAATGGACCATAGCCTTATCCAAAATCATCAAGATAAAAATTTTTAAAGGTAATTATACCCATGTCAATGTATCTGCATGTAACATTTCTCCCTTAAATTTAACAAAGTTAAAAAAGAAGTGATTCATGACATCAAAGCAAACAGACTGTGGCAGCTCTTTGAGAAGCCTGTCATTTATTAACAATTTCTTTGGTTAACACTAGAGAAAGAAACAAATTATCCAGACAGCTAAAAGTGCAAACGACCTTATACAGTTAATTAAGGGGAGATGATGAATCTAAGAAAATGTGTTCAGTGATAGACCCTTTCAGAGTCTACTACTCTCCTTAGCCAACCTCTATTTAGGTTTTTAAAACATAAACACACTTTTTGTTAATTTACACTGTAAAGGCAACACTTTTTAAAAACTTAAATGAATAATTTAATTAAATTATTTTAGTGTTTTACACAGATTTTTAAACAGTCCTTTTTTTGTGATCCCTTTGCATTTCTTTACTATAAATGCTATAAAAATCTGAATATTGAATGTCTGTCAAATGAGGTAATGGAGAAATGTTCTCTCTTTGGCATACTGAATTTGAACCACAAAATGATAGAGGAACCTCAATGGGTTCCAGGAAGTAGAACATCCAGGGACAAAGCCCTGCAAACATTTTGCATACATAAATTATTTGACATGATGTCTGTGAACTGGAGAAATAAAACTAAAAGTTACTTATACTTTCATATTGCAAATTAGTTGGCAAACTAATGGTGCTGTAATTTCCCACTTACAAGTAAGTGGTTTAGTCTCAACAGAGCAAATGAAAGGGCTCCCTTATGCTTTAGTTTAACCTTATTTTCTTTTAAGAAAAGCCTCCAAATCAATGTAGTTTTTACTGCCTCTTTAAAATATCACAAAGAAGTCTGAAAAATTAGAAAATCCTGTGGCATCTTGCTGCTTCTGTAGCTGAATGACTTAGATCTTATTCATCAGCCTACTAGACTTCCTTTTTCAGAAACATTTCAGATGTTTTTTCAGATGCCGCCATCTAAAAAGTTTCCAATATCTTTGTTTTTAGCTGTTGTGGCTTGCTGAATCAAAGCAGCTGAGTCTGATACAAGTTCAACGTCATTTCCTTCAAGAATTAACTCATCTTTCTGGGTCTGAAATACTGAACAAGCAACACCTGGTCTCACCCAACCCTGAAGATGTATTTTTCACCCAAGAAATTTTTTATTTCAACAAGAGAAGCATTTCCTGAATAACAACACTATGGGGACATAAGCATACATAGACCTTATCTAGTAATGGAAGCTCAGTGAAAGGCCCCTGACCATGTTCTGTACATCACTACAGATAGTGAACATGGTAGCCACTTCATTTGTATTTCCCCACCATTTGTCAACCCCACCATTTGGAGCTTCTTTTTTTTCTTTCCAAGGAGACTGAGTTCTATATTGATGTGACTGAAGTCCATCTGTAGAGTTCCTCTAGGGCCCTTCACAGGACCAGTGCATCCCTTCAGAATGATGGTGACCTTGTCTGCAAGACCGACAATCTAATTGCTGAGAATGGTCTTCATTCTCACAGTAGATGCAGCAAAGAGCTCTTATGATTCAATTTTAAAATCAAACTGAGGTTTAAAGGGATTTCCTGATATGATAGAACGCAAGGATACTTCACCTTTCACTGCTTTTTTCCCCCAACAGCTTAATTATCTTAGTATATTTCTTACATCAAAACCTAAAAGTTAAGCTGGAAGCAACCCAAGAGTCCAACAATAAATGAAGGTGGTACACCTAAAATGGCATTACTTAGCTTTAAGAAGGAAAGAAATTCTAAAAAAACTAATAGAAGAAATTCTGACCTGTGGTATGAATGGATGAACCTTGAAGACATTACGTGAAGAAAATAAGCCAGTCACAAAGGGACAAATACTGTACGATTCCCTCTACATGAGTTAGTTAGGACAGTCAAGAATATAGACACAGACAGCAGAGTGGTTGTGAGGGGACAGGGAGAATGGGTATTTATTATTTAATGAACATAGAGTTTCAATTTGAAAAGATGAAAAATGACTGGAGATGGCTGGTAGTGACAGCTGTGCTACAATGTGAATGGACTTACTCTTACACAAATACACACTTAAAAATATTTAAAATGGTCCATTCTGTGTATCTCGTATGACACTAACAATAATACAGCCTGACATACTAATAGAACAAACAAAAAATCCATATGATTGTCTCAATAGAAGAAAAAAAATATTCGACAAAATTCAACATCCTTTCAGCAAACTAAAAATAGGCAAGCACCAAGGGGTCTATTGTAAAATCAGGTATAGTCACACCATGGCTCTTACAAGAGTTTCCCAACTGCTTCCAATATAATCTCCCAGCCTCTGTCAGTATGATCTTAAAACGCAATCTGATCAAGTCCCTCTTTTGCCCTCAGCAACCACCGCCAGTAAGAACCCAAGGCAGGTGGGTGTTATGACAGACGTCCTGTGTCCCGCACAGGAACCCCGCCAGCAACTGTATCCCGCCTTATCATTTCTTCAGCTTCAATTCTCACTCTGCCCACTGTCACACCCCACCTCATCCACACCCCACAAACTTCAGTCATGTTTCACATTACTCTGCTTCAGCTCTGGCAGCTTCCCATTTTTCCCCATCCCTCAATTATGTGATAAAAATCTCTTCTTCAAAATCTTTCTAAATTCCTCCACACTTAGAGAGGAGGCATCAGCTATTCCCTCTGCTAAGCCTTCAAATGTTCTTTATGTGGATGTCTATTATAGCATGTAGAATATTTTGATGCATTTAGGATTCTATATGTTGATTTGCTTACCCTCTTAAACTCATGTTCCTTGAGGAAAGTGATTAAATCATGTTCTCTATGCATGGTGGTAAGACTATGGAAGATAATAAATGTTTGATAGTTGAATAAATAAATACACTAGAATAGGGGCTTTCATATGGGTTTTGCAAAATCTCTGCTTTATAAGCTGGTCAAAAAAATGGGTTCCATGGCTAATGAAATGTAAGAAATGCTGCATTCTATAACCTCTTCTTAGAGATCCACAATGCACGCCTGAGTACCAAAGATTCTGAGAAGTAGTGCAAAAAAAAAAAAACAAAACCCAAAAACCAAAAAACACAAACCAAAAAAAACCCAGTTTCCTTACTTGTATCACATTCCAGACCTCTAAACTTATAGCCCATTTATATCCCTATTAACATCCTAAAGAACTAGTATTCAATATAACGGGGTGTCTGGATGGCTCAGTCATTTAAGCATCAGACTTCGGCTCAAGTCATGATCTCAAGGTTCGTGTGTTTGAGCCCCACATTGCAGGCTCTCTGCTGTCAGTGTGAAGCCTGTTTCAGATCCTCTGTCTCCCCTCTCTCTGTGTCCCTACACTGCTCTCTCTCAAAAATAAAAAAAAAATGTAAAAAAAAGGGGGGGGACAGTACCACTGAGTGGCTCAGTCAGTTAAGTGCCCAACTCTTGATTTCAGCTTAGGTCATGATCTCACAGTTCATAAATTTAAGGTCCACGTGAGGCTCCACGTTGACAGTTTGGAGCCTGCTTGGGATTATCCCTATCTCCCTCTCAGTCTCTCCCTCTCAACTCAAAATAAATAAACAATAAACAATTAAAATAAATACAACATAGAAGAAACGAAGTAACACGGTGTCAGAAACACTGCATTACCAGATGAAATATGTGACATATTTAGATATCTATAGTATCTGTCTCATAATTAACACATTAAAGCTCTGCAGCTTAAATTTTATGTTACTCTATCCAATGGAATATATAAGAAATATTATAACTAAGGAGAAATTCTCTGCTATAATTCTCCATTTAGCTGCTGTTAGTAGTAACTGCCATCTAATGGAATAGAATCCTAGAGAGAGAGGATGGCATCCCACTCACCAAGTAAGCACTGTTAGGTTTCCCTGCCAAGTCTCAAATTTAACAAGGAAACAGTACACTGCATAAGATACCAGTGCAAAGGAGATTGCTTGGTTTCATGACAGAAGAACAACATCTCTGATATGGAGCTAAACAGAGCGTCTTGGGCCATGACGGGGTATTCAGAGAAACTAATCTATAATCCTATTCGTCAGCACCAAGCACTAGGGACAGAGCTGAGTCATCAACTCCACAGAATGTACTTGGCCTCCACGTAGTTTTAGCTATTGTAATTGGGAGTTCATGTTTACAGGAAATCTTCTCTGTCCAATTCAGAAAGTTTTAGGATTATTAACCAACGCAACCCTTTAGGAGAAAAAGAGGACGCGAAAAATCCTGCCACGTGGGAAGTAATACTGAATAACTTCCATTTATAGTTCAGTGGTGGCACACCTGGCTGTCTTTTTAGTCTTTCTTTCAGTGAATGAGAGAAATTAAATATAAACTGACTTATGCATAACTGGTAACATTCAAAGAAACTAATAATTTACTTTTTCAAAGAATTTGAAATTCCAAATTGCTGACTTTTCATTTTCTAAGAAATCCTTTTCTGATTTGCTGTTTCATACACAAACAATTCGTATATCTGTTCTTGAATGTAAATGATGCTCCTGAATACTTTTAAATAATTAAGAGAGTGAGCGATTTAAGCTAGTCTGAAGTAAACAAACCTGTTAACCATTTCAGGAAAAATAGAGTACAGAAAAGAGAAAGCATAAAAACTATAGGAAAATTTATAACTCCTTTTTTTTTTTTATCACCTACAGCTAACAATGCTGAAACCATGTTCGATATTTCATCTTTGGCAAGAGGGTTGAAGAGGCAAGATATATGTGGAAAGGAAGGAACTTACCTAGGCTAGAATTGCCTTTTGCTATAGTAATAGTCCTCTCAAAAGATTCTTTGGTTATATTTTGGAGCATGACACACTCAGCAGTTGAGGTCAGGGAGCTCTGCTGAATTAATAACTCGGAGCCCTGACAGGAAAAAAAAAAAAAAAAAGTCACATGGAAAGGGAAACAAGACTTTGGAGTATGATTTCAACATCACCCATATTCTCTAACTGGTTGTGCCTTCTTCAGCAGGAAGCTATAACCAAAACAAGTTCATAGGTTGGATTCTGAAAATCTCAGCATTTGCTGAGATCACTTGCTCTCAATGCAGAGACCAGCAGGGATCCTTGAACACGTCACTTCTTCCAAACTCATAATATACAATATGTGTCTTTAAAATGTTACCTTTCCAGCTGAATTAGGAAGCACAGAAGGAAGTTCTGTACTTGACGTAATTTCAGTTGGCAGGTGAGATTCAGTCCATGCTCTTGAGTTCTCACATTCACATTGCTGTTCAACAGCATTTGCAGGTGTATAATCATTTACAGTAAAGCCAGAGGCAGGCCCCATCGTCAAGTCCACTGAAGGTGGACTCTCGTTCTGTCTTTGCAGGAGATTCTGGGTATACAGTTCCTCCAAGGACATGTGCAGATCAAGTACTGGATCTGAAGAACTTTCAGTAACATCCTGATGATTAACGAACAAAAATAAAAAAATCATGGCCAGAGTTACATCAATGTATTTTTGTAAGACCATTTCTTAATGAATAACTATTTAGTAGAAATCAAAACACAATTATTTATTACTGAAAAAGCATCAGCAAACATACAAATTCTTCACTTAGCTAACATTCTGTAGGGCTTTATTTTTATAAATAAATGTAAATTATGCATGTCATGTTCAACTGAGTTATTCTTGTACTGTATATGAGCTCATTTAAATACAATATTATATTCACAAATAAAATTATTTGTAGTTCAATCCACATAGGAAAGGAAGTAACTTGTGTTTTCAAATCTTATACTGATTTTCAATCAGTATGAAGTTCTTATTTAAGATAAAGAGAATACTGACTCTGACTTACAAGAATCCCTATGAAAAAATTATTTTGATAGGCACTTGTAGGTATTTATGGAGAATAGAAAGCTATGTTATTCAAATTATTATAGGGAAAATTTTCATAATATTCTGCAAGATATACAAAGGGGATATTAAGAAGGTATATAATAAGGTATAGGTTCCAAAGTATACTCTCTTATTAATAATCTATATACATCACCACAGAACCTCTCTTGGCATTATACTCTACATAATTTCTAAAATTCCCTGAAACTCTAAAATCCTATAGTTCGACATAAATGCAGGCATAGACTTACAACAGACATATTCTATCACTTGTGTCCTTTGGGCAAGCGGATGCTACACAAACTGCTCTTGAATAAACGTATCAATTTTCCCAAAATTCTCGTATTAATATTTTTAAAGTATAAAAGTAGTATAGGAATACATTATCATCAGCAAAGATTCAAGCCATGCAGATACATATGTGTGTCATTATGGAGTACAATATGAAAACCTTCCCTTATGGCTCCCACTCGTTATCTTCCCCAATACAAGTGGCTGGAATAAGTTGAATGTCTCTGAAGTTTTTATTTATTTGCATAATAATTATGTATAAGTACATGTGCCTACTCACACATACTATATGCACTTGAACATTTTAAAACCAAACCAAAACCATTAGTTAAATAAATGTTTTCACTTTCTTTACTGAAGTATCTTTTTATCTTGATAGGAGAGATTTCCATGTCAGTAAATAAAAATCAACTTCAATCTTCTTGGAATCAGGAAACTATTCCTAAGTATGAATGGCACTGGAGTGCAGACTCTGAAGTATAGGCTCAGATGCTCACAGCATCACTAGTTATACTCTGTGTCGTGGTCCCCTCATCTATTAATTGGGGAAAATAAAAGGACCTAGTTCAGGACTGTTGGGAGGACAGAGAGAGTTAAAACAACTAAGTACTAGGATGCCTGGGTGGCTCTGTTGCTTAAGCATCTGTCTCCCCCGCTCAGGTCATGATCTCGTGGTTTGTGTGTTTGAGCCCCGCATTGGGCTCTGGTGCTGACAACTCGGAGCCTGGAGCCGGCTTCGGATTCTAGGTCTCCCCTCCTTTCTCTGCCCCTTCCCCACTTGTGCTCTCTTTCTCTCTCTCTCACAAAAATAAAATAAAATAAAATATTAAAAACACCACAAAGTACTAACAACATATCTGACTTCAGAGAAAATGCTCAATAATTATTAGCCATTGCTGTTACTTTTATTACACATCTCTGTGCATGAGAAAATTTATTTACTATAAACTAGAATTATGGGCCAAATGATATGCACACTTAGATGCTGGTATATACTGCCAAAGAGTCTTCCAATTTTCTCTCACAAAAATATGGGAATTCCTATTAACTGATCTTGCAACCCTAAATTAGTTTGCTAATTTGATTTGAAAGAAATATATTCTAAATAAATATCAAATTTAGAGTTTACTATGCATGTCCCTAACAATTAGTGAGGACACGATAATTGTATATCTCCTGTCAACACTCTCTTCATATATTTTATCCAACTTTTCACCAGGGAGTTTCCACTTTTTCCTGTCTTTGACACACTATGTGTGAAAGTCTGTCATATATACAACAAATATTTCCCCAGGCTTTACTTATCTTTTCTTTTTGTGCATGTTATATTATATAGATATGCATGCAAAGATTAAATTCTTTATGTAATCAAGAATCTTTATGGAATAAAATTCTTTATGTAATCAAACTGTCAAATTATTTCTGGGCTTCTGGGTTTCATAAGTTCCTTAATAAATCCTTCCACACAAAGTAAATGAAATGCTTTCTATTATTTTTCTTGTTTTATAAATGCTTTCATTTCAAATTCAGTTTTAATCCTTCTAGAATTGATTTCAGGGTGTGGCAGGTGATATGGGTCTCTTTCTGATTTTCATAAAAGGGTAATCCAATTTTCCAACATGCTCCATTACATTCCTCTTCTTCAGTGTTAAGGTATCATCTCTCTAGAATTCTCAAATACTCCTGGTACAAAGAACTGAGGCAAATGGGAGTATCACACAAGGAACACCTTTAGACTTTTTGGGAACAGTGACAGAAAACCATCGCCTTCTGCACAGTTGTGCTCTGAACACTAACCTGTTGGCCTATTCACCCAAGTCTGATGATTTTGTTCTAATGAAAAATAACAATAAACTTACTAAAGAATTAGCTTCTGTACTACTATATTAATTGTAATATTTAACAGTAAATCATCTTCCTCAGGCCTCAAACAGAGGTAATAAAAACTACTTTTCATCACAAAAAGAGGTCAAGCTGCCCTTGTTAGCTAGGGTTTACTATAAATTGTGTAACAGAAATTTCCATGCATTATTCATAAAGGAGTTAACACAGACACACAGAAAAGAAAGAGCTAATCAACACAGCAGACAACATACTCCTACTTAAGAAATGTTTTTGGGTGCTGAACAACCGAGTTTTATTTTTAAAAGTCTTATGGATCTAAAAGAAAAGCAGCTCTTCCCCTGTAAAATGTTCAAAAATAATTCTATAATTTCCCAGTGCAACTTGGTACCTAAACTGAAATCTCCCCAAAATCCACGTTAATATGTGGCTCTTGTTGATACAGTCTTGTTCTCAGGGAAATTAAGTGAGAGACAAGTTCAATAAAAATGTCAAATACACTTGAAAACAGTTGTTTAAAGGTGATGAATCAGTGAGTGTAATAACTAGGCACATTATTTACTCAGATGATTTATTTATATAGACTAGGTAAATACTGAAACATTTATTGGACACAACCTGATATTCTCAATGAACAGTCTATCATAAAAGTCTTTTCATACTGGGAGCCCCAACTTGCCATCATTCTCTCACTCTTTCTGAGATAAGATATAGTACTTCCTCTATTGTTCATACAGTGATTAAAAAAAGCAACTGCTTTTATGCCTTGAGAGCCTGTAGGTTTGTCATTAAGACTTCTTCAATCACTCTCAACATTTTGACTAGACTGCTTTAATTAGCTTTTGATACTAACCCCTGCTCCAAAATAAGAAACATTTTAAACATGGGTGTGAAGGCAGCAATATTTGATGCTATAGAATGACTCTCAGTGGAAATCTATAGCAATAAGTAGATTTTCATTCATTCATTCACTCATTCATTCATTTTAATTTTTTTTTTTTTATGTTTTATCTATTTCTAGGAGAGAGAGAGAGAGAGACAGCGTGAGCAGGGGAGGGTCAGAGAGAGAAGGAGTCACAGACCGAAACAGGCTCCAGGCTCTGAGCTGGCAGTCAGCACAGAGCCCGATGCGGGGCTCGAACCCACGAACCGCGAGATCATGACCTAAGCGAAAGTCGGACGCTTAACCGACTAAGCCACCCAGGCGCCCCTCATTCATTCATTTTACAGAGAGAGCACAAGCAGGGGAGAGGGCAACGGGAGAGAGACAGACAGAGAGACAGAGATAGAGATAGAGACAGAGAGAGAAGGAATCCCAAGCAGGCTCCACACTCAGCGCGGAGCCTAACATGGGTTTGATCTCAGGACCTCCTGTGAGATCATGACCTTAGCCAAAATCAGGAAACAGATGTTCAACTGACTGAGCCACCCAGCTGCCTCAGATGTTTTTCTTTTTGAATCATGGAAACCATTAGCTGTACTTTGTGTGCAAGGTGCAAGAAGGGGCTTCTATCTTGACAAACACGGAGTTCCCTCACACTAGAATTAATAGCATTTCCTAGTGGGACCAATATAAGGAATGAAGGACATGCACCAAGCTGGTAAGCATTTCATCCATGGGGTGAGAGCCAGTGTGGATGTAAAAGGAAGGGTGAGGTGTGGGAGTGTGGATAAAGAGTGGAAAGGAAGACTTGTTATAAAAGTATTTAATCTTTACTGAGTGTATTTAAAAATCCAAAACAGGAAAAAATAACTGAAAGAATCTTCTTCGAAAACCACGTTGAGCTTTTAAACAAAAGTCTACAAGAACTTAAGTTTGGAAAACAATTATTTCTGCAGTTTGTTATGTCTGTGAAGGTGACAAGGAAAAGGGGATAAAAAGAAGAAACTTAAAGCCTGTAACATATCAAGAAAATCCACTGGGTTTTTGTCTTTAAAATTCACATTTCAATGACTCGCCTCTATTACTTCAAATGCACAGAAGTAGCTCGACAGTATTTTTCAGTTCTTGAGTAATGATTATTTCCCTTAAATTGCTAAGTGATAATCAAATTAAGTAAACGCCACTCCTTAAAAAATAAAAATAAAAATGGGCCCCCAGATCGGAGAATTTGGGGCAAAGGAGCTCCAATGTATGTCTACAGGCCCTCGGTACCCAAGCTGCTGGCCAGGCCCACTCCTCTGCTGTAGGAGTCAGGCTTTCCTCAGGAGAACTCCCTGCTCTGGGTGATTAGTTCTTACAACTTCTGGTAGTATACATGACCAAGGTCAGAGACTTCTCATAGACGTAAGAAGAAAGGTGAAATTACTTGTGCATTTCCAACCACCAAGATTATTATATATCTAACAAAGTAAAGTCAAAACTGAGGAATCAGTGAGATCCTCACACTGTATTTTATACTTCTTCCAAATCAGTATGGAGTCTTCTCTGTCTTAAATATCATGTATTATATGATTTTATTTTATCAGTTAAAGCATTCCAAAGTGAACTCACTTTTAAGAAAAATGGCCAGTTCTAAATTCCATTACAAATGGTCATTCTCTCTTTTTAAAATAAATTTAGTGCAAAAGCCAGGAAGATGGACGCATCATCTAGTTTTTTATTTACATACAATTTTCTAGTAAATATCTTGGTACTATGAAGATGTCACAAAACATAAACAAACAAAAAAAACAAAACAAAAACAATGCTGCAGTGATTTACCGTGATGTAGAAACAGTCTTACTTGCTAAGAAAAACTGAAAGCACACAGGAGTTCCACAATGTGTTTTAAAACACCCTCATTAATGTCTTCTTTGTTGTTTTGTAGTTTAAATATTTCAGTTGATAGGCTTGCCAAAATTTGCTTCAACAAAAGAGTAAACTACTTAGGAAAAAAAAAAAGGAGGCAAATAGACTTCAGTAAGCCAATATGTTGTGCTGCACACAGCCAGCATTTGCCCTGTAAAATATATGCCTCTCAGTATGCAGATTGTGTAATCCCTTTAAGTAACAATTACTAAGTTAAACAATGCAATCTGTCCCACTGGCAAGAAGAAGTATGCTATGCAGTGGATTAGGAGAGTCCATTAGGAGATGAGCTCAGCTTCCAGCCCTGAGGCCAGTAAAGACTGAACACATTCCAGACAGGACGCAGTCACACAGACCAGCTCAGGTGTGGTGAGAGAGGAGCAGCTGCTCCATTCAAGATTATACCTTGCGAACCAATTCAAGGAGATTTCCCAGCATCATTTGCAAGGAAAACAGGTGCACCTTGAACATGAAAGAAAAGGCTTTGAAAACGTTCTGGCCAAAAAATTCCTCACTAATCGAGAAAGGAGGAAAAGTTTCTAAACTTGTAGAAATTCTGCTGTCCATCTTGTTCAAAGATATAGATCTCCTTCCCAGTATATTTAATTTATGTGGAAAATATATGTTTCCTATATTTAAGTAAGTTATTGTCCAGTTTTTATCTTCGTTTCTAATATCTATGGTACATTTCCAACATAAAAGATTAAAAAAAAATCCATATATGACCTCTTTGCCCAGATTTAACAGATGTTAACATTTTACCGTATTTTCTTCAATCTCTCTTTCCTCTTAAAAGAATATAACTCATTACAGATATGGCTGAATTCCTATGCTTCCTGCTTCCTCAAAAAATAATTTCTTTCCTGAAGTTAAAAATGTCATTTCCCAAACACACTTACACATGTAGACAAAACAGTTCAGTGTATTTTATGAGCATGTGTGTGACTGTTTTGTCTATCAGTTTCAAGAAAATATTTTTATCTTTTATTTAAAAAATTTTTTTAATAGTCTGTTGATTTTTGAGACAGAGAGAAACAAAGCATGAGCAGAGGAGGGGCAGAGAGAGAGGGAGACACAGAATCTAAAACAGGCTCCAGGCTCTGAGCTGCCAGCACAGAACCCGATGCAGGGCTGGAACCCACAAACCACGAGATCATGACCCAAGCCAAAGTTGGATGCTTAATCGACTGGGGTACTCAGGCACCCCAAGAAAATATTTTTTTTAAATCCAACAAATCAGTAGAAAGATAGGCAACACAATACAAAACTTGTCTAAAGACATGAAGAAGCCATTGATAGAAGTGAAAACCAAATGGCCAATATATGAAACACTGTTCAACCCCACTCAAAATCAGAATGGCAAATCCAAATAGTAAGATACCATTTCACACCCAGAAGATTGGATGGGTTTTAAAAATATTACTTATTAAACATTATAAAGTCTATCACCAAGAAAATGAATAGAGTTGGGGCACTTATGCCAATAATCTATTTCTAAAATATACGTGGCACAGATATGTCAAATAGTAACTACATTCTTCTTCCAATGATGTTTAAACATAGTTTGTCATTGACTGTGATTTTTATGTGAAGTATTTTTTGGCATCATTTTACATAAAACATATAACAGCATTAAATTTAACTTGCTGGTAAATATTAATACAAGAAAACATTTTACCATCCAACTTTGCATGAAAATCAATTTTAAAAGCATTAAGAAAATAAAGTTATACTTGGTGATTTTTCTAAAGTAGACACAGACAGCTAAAAACACAATTTGAGAACTACATTTCATTAAAGTTTTTCTTTCTAACAAGCAAATCCTAATCAAAGCTTTGAACCCTTGGGTCTATCCTCCTGTACAACAAAACACTTTAAGTAGTATCTAGTAATCTAGTAAAATATGCTCAGCCAGCACTACCTGAATGAAACTGCACTTTAGTCTGAATGAATCCATGACTGGAAAAACACAACGCCTCTAACATGCTACTCCTACAATCACCCATAAACACTGATCTCTGGAAAATTACACAGAAGCCTCTCCCATAAGTAAAATGACAATTCCTTTGTACCTTGGGAGGTGAAGATGGAAGGGAGGGACCATAGTTCAGGCCATCACTACAAGCACTGCCGTGAAGAGATAAAATAGAGGCTTGAGTGGAGTAGATACTGTCGTTATCAGGAGAGTACTGAGACTCAAATGTAGATTCATCTGCTAAGTCAGCCTCATTTGTGTCCACCTAGGAACAAAAATGATAATATCGGTTGGAAATTCTGTTCTGTTACATATATGACGAGTCTCCACGTGAGACTAAAAAGCATACGGAATTCATTCTATTTCCTACATGATCCCTTCTTACTTTCTGACATATCACATAATGCAAGACAGCAAGGACAAACCAGGGCTGGCATCACTTATTTATTCCAACAATAAAAGGCCAATGGTAACAATTACAAATGACCTGGGGCAATTTTAAGTTTAAAAAGTTCCATAAATAAGGAAAATATTTACTTTTTCCAGTTCACATTATTTTAAAAAAAAACCTACCCAACTCCTAGAACTGCCTAATAAAATGAATGAGGTCAACACCTTCCCTATTCAACTAAAATACACTCAAAAAACTTATTAATTGTATTTATTAAATGTATTAAAGTTTATTAAATTTTATTAAAGTTGAATTAAAATTCAGCAAAGCAGTCAGGCAATTTATCTATGTACAAAGCTCACTAAAACAATATATTTAAAATTATTTTTAACTAGATTTTAAAACCATTCAAGCTGCAAACTCAGAGCCTGATGTTGATCATCAGAAACCACAAAGAATATCTGTGATTTCATGCTGAAATTATACTAATAAACAAGGGGCCCTATAGGGAAGCTACGTGATAAACTCCTATTATTGGAAAACTCATATAAAGTAGAGAATTTCACTGTATATTATCTAAAACTCCTATTACTATTGGTGTACCTGGGTGGCTCAGTCATTTAAGCATCTGACACTTGAATTTTGACTCAGGTCATGATTTCACGGTTCGTGGCACTGAGCTCCGTAACGTCAGCACAGAGCCTGCTTGGAATTCTCTCTCTCTGTCCCTTCCCCTTCGTGTCCTCTCTCTCAAAATAAATTTTAAAAAAATAAATAAATAAAACTCCTATTACTATCTTCTGTGACAGAACCAAGTGAAACAATTAACTCATGATGAGCTTGAAGCTCCATTTACAATTCACTTACAGTTACACCTTGGAATACACAGAACTGACATAAATGCTACCCTTCTCCAATACTATCAGTATTTACTGTCTTGGTGGCAAAATCCTTGGTGTTCCACTTCTTTTAATTTGGTTTTAATTTATGTGTTTTGCCAGGAGAAGAATTATAACATTATTACCAGCTCACATTCTTGCAAAAACATGGTAAGAATACAGACAGGCTGTTTATAGGTGACTCTCTTTCTAATAATATATTTAAATTTATGAACTACTTTGTGGAGATTCACCCTTCACAAATATATATCATGTAGAACAATCTGGATAGTAAATACTTAACATTGCTATCTAGATAGATGGTATTAACTAAGCCTGTACAATGGATTATTGGTATTGTACCGTGATTACTGTTGCATTTAATATAATATACACCAAAAGTCTCCAAAAGGCAATTTTAGGAGCTGGCTAATATATAAATACTAACAAGTAAAACTGTCTCCAAAAATTAGGTTTGTAAAAATCAAGGAAATAATTCATACTTTGTTTTAAAGCAATATATGCACAATTGGTTATAAAGATAACGGAGAATGTTATGGGTTTTAAACATTGCTCTAATCTGATACACTGAAACAAGAATTTAAAAAGTTGGGCATATTTCTTTTTAGTCACACAGGGCAATGTCTGCCCAAAAGAAAAGTTAGGTGAGGAATCTGGTTTTAACAGGAATAATGGAACAGGATGTACAATTTGTTACATTTACATTGTATAAATGCCACGTTTATTTATATCTAGTTTTCAGATTTATATTTTAATTATTGCTATAGTATTGTCTCCTCTACCAGACTGTAAGTTCTTAGGAGGAAGATTCATGTGTTATTCATCAAAGTGACCTTCAGTGGTCCACAAATACATTTATTACAACAAATAATTTTATATAGATCAAGTGAAAACAAAATTTTAATTTAAAAATTTCTAGCAAATCAGTGATGTTTACATTCTGTGATTTGAGAAAACATGGGTTTTTCCTACTTTGGAAATTTGTGTGTTCTTAATAACTGAATCAATTTATATATTTTCACATTATTTGTATCGAATGGAAAAAATATACTTGTTAACCTTGTTAAAAGGTAGCCAAAATAACTGATTAGTGACTGAATACTAAAAACAGTTACATAAATGCCTAGAAACAGCCCAATTATGAAACTGGAACAATCGAGTGCTTCAACAATTTCTGGTATGATATAAAGATTAATTCTACTAGTTGTCAGAATGCACTGCTAACCGAATTTCCTCCCCAAATCCAACAAATAGTTTTCACACATATTATGATTTTTCTTCCTATTTTGAACTATGAGAACCACTGCAGTTGAAATGAAAATGTTTAGTTTTCCAAAACATAATGAATAATGAGTAGAGATTTCAGATTTCAGAATATTAGGCAAAATATAAGACACATAGGATTTCTGAAAGAAAGCTTGATAAGTTGTGGCCACTAACCAGAGCCAAGTCAGCCCTGAAGAGGGCTCTGTCAGTCAGCCCCTCCTCCTCGCAGGAGTGTGGCGGGTAGAGAAAGGATTCTTCTTTAGCAGAGACATAACCTTCTTCTGGTGAAAGCTGCAGGGAGAATGAGGCTCAGTGTTTGAGGATGTGTATGAGAGAAAAGCAAAGAGGAAGGAAGGAAAGGGGGGAGTGGGAGGGACAGAAGAATAGTCAGAAGAGAAAAGGAAAAAAATGCGAAGGTTTTCAAATGATATTTATATTTAATGTTTTTATTTGTTAAATACAACAAGGATATTTCTTTTAATACCAACCAATTAGCTGTTAAATGAGAATCTGTTCTAACTTTTTTATTCTTCTTATAAAAGATCATCAAAATCAATAATTTTTTATATTATAGTAATCTTTTGATCATTTTTTCTGACAAATATTCTGGCTAAACAATGACTTCTTAATATAAAAATAAGTAAGGCACTTTTTAGATATTAAGATATAAAGAAAGTTGAAGGGAAAAAATACATTAAAAAGAAGGATCAACTTCTCTGCGTCATCCTTTACTGGTACATGATTATAAAATATGTGATTTACTTGACAAGGAATGTAAGCAAACTCAACAGTGAAGCCTCTCAATTGAGTATGGTTTAAAAAAACACAAAAATTCTCTACATACACAATCTACTTATATTATAATCCTAATATAGGATATTATAACCTTGATCACACAGAAAACCTAACATTTTTATTCCAATCTCAAATAAAAGATGCTAAAATCTTCGGATTGTCTTGCCCACATCACACTGTATTAATAACACATGCAGAGCTTTCCTCCTTTTCTCTGTTTTCATAAATAGACTTTCATAAGTTACCAAAGTTCTCTTTGTTATACAAAGTGAGGCATGAAAATTTTAATCAACATTGCAAATATATTAATAAAACTTACTATTTGAATGCTTTCATAAAGCCAACCAATTGTTACTTGATGTTTGCGCAACTATGCCTCTGTGTTTAAGAAAGGTGTATTTGCCCTTTCACTTAAACTAGATTTATACATTGAAAATGCCCCACAAATGTTGAGAATGTCTCTAATATTTATTTGCAATTCAGTGATAAGTGCTATGTTGTAGTCATTATACTTAACAAGCATACTGACATTATGTAGCATGAACAGATTAGGTGTTTTTAATACAGTACTAATTAATGACAGGAGGGCTATTCCCTCCCAGGAGGAGAGCCACAAGCTGATGAACCCACTGTGAAAAGTTCAATTTCTTGCTCTGTAGTAATTAGACAAGAAGTGTGTCAAAAATCAACAGAATGCAGGACCTTAAGCCATACTGAAAGAGATTCTACTTTATTCCACTATAATTAAAGGTTCCACTGTCAGTTGTTAAATGCTTTTAATTTCTCTAGTACCCCATTATATTGATATAGATGTTTTAAGGCATATTTCTTTGATAATACTTGATTCTATATTCATCATGACCTTATTATCCAATTGAAAAAAATAAAAGGTGAACCACAAAATAATTTCAAGTTACAAATTTATTTCTGAATTGTTGGTTTTCATTACTTTTTTAAAAAAATATTACTCAAAATTAAAACTTTATGCTCACAGAGCCAATAACCATATTGGTGAAAAGTACCAAATGTCATGATCCATTCATGAGAACACCGTCTAAAGCTAAAAGTAAGCCTAAAAGCCATTTTGTTTACAAATATTTAAAAATCAATAAAATCTGAATTCTTACAGGTAAAGGCTTGGCTACTCCGATTCTCACAGTTCCTGATGGCGCACCCTTCAGTGCCTGTACAGCTTCTTCAAGACTGCTGTTTTCCAAGTTAACATCATTGACAAACATGAGTCGATCTCCAGGAAGAAGTCTACCATCCTTTTCAGCAATGCCTCCAGGCACCAAGGAACGAATTACAATCACAGTGCTTGCTGGATCAATGGGATCCTGACAGAATGTGGGGGGAGAAAAGAAGGCAGCTCCTTTATACATGGGGGGTGGGGGGGGGTAATGTTTTTATAGATTGGTCACTCTGAATTATAATGGATGGGTACTCCTTTCAAGCATCTCAAAACAGAATTTTGAAGCAACACTTCTATGGAATGATGGGTAAAGGCTATCTCCATTTTGCAGAGTGAAGGAGGAGTTCCCGCTGAAGAATGGCATCCTCAAGTACCAACTGTTCCTGAGGAGACCTTATCACTGTACAGATACCTTTAAAATTGTAATTTGAATTTTTGAAAAACTGCCCAATTCTATACCTGTCTTCTGAGGCTAGATGTCAGATACAGGATTATTAACAACAGCGTTTGTTAAACAGGATGCTACTGCTGTGGAATGTACTGAATGAAGGTCAGGCCTGCCTTTCTGAAATGAAGAAATCTAGAAAGAGTCCATATAGCAAGTAACAATGCAGTGTTTTCAGATACACAGCCACCTTGTGTAAGAATGAGGCTCCGCAATAAAGCCCATGAAGAAAACAACTCCCACGAGTCATCAGAGATGGCTCTCTGTTTCGGTATTAATTAATGAGAAGCAACAGCAGTGCTCTCTCACATGGGCATAACCATTTCCTCGGTTACTCGGCACAGAGCACAAAGCAGGGTAAGGGTGCAGGCCACACTTGACCAGTGTAAGCTTATTTATAAATTTAGTCATTTAGTCAAATGACAGGAATCCATATCCAGTTAGAACTTTATCATTCACTACAGACAAAAGAAGTAAGTATTTAACACTTTTAGTCTTACCACTAAAATATGACCTATCAATTATGAGCATGGAAATAAGAATAAATTAGACATACTTCCCAAACAACAACAACAACAACAAATCTTTATTTCTAGGATATTCCTAAAACTTATTTTGTATGTTCTTCAAACTCTCAAGAGCTTAAATCTAGAACTCAATGAATTCAATGTTAAAAGAACCCTTCATGATAAATGAATCATATATATCATCATTTGGAAAAGATTTGCTAGAAACAAGGAAATGTCTTTGACAACTAAAATATTAACTGCTTTTTCTATTATACACAATATACCTTTGGTATTATATCATTTTTTAAAAGCTGTTAAAAATAGAATATATTTACCTGATAATCTAAGATGCTAAAACCAAGTCCTTTGTTTCCTTTCTCCAGCTCGATATGCTGGACATCAGCCTCCCACATGGCCAAAGGTCCTTGAACCTCCTCCGCATTCTGACACACATCGGTCATCACCAGTGCAGGATCTTCTGTCTCTGAGGACCCGGTGAACTCGCCCAGATCTATGTGAGGCTGCGAAACAGACCGGGCAGCTCGTATTTCAGAGGCACTAAATTAACAGACACATACCAATACTACAAGGGAAAGGGAGAGGCCCCGCATCTGTCCAGAATAAGACACCCACAAGTAAGGGGAGCAACAGCATACCATGAAACCTTTACAAATTAAGGTAGTAATTTCTGAAAGCTGTTAAAGAGGAAGAAACACCTAACTTGGAACAGGCATTAAAAATGTATGGTTCAAAGATCACCCATAAAAATACACAATGGTTACATCTCAGCAGCAGGACTGTGGGTGGTTTTCACTTTTTTCATCAAGTGCCTGAATCACCTCTACAGTCAGAAAACAAAAATCAATCTATTTTGATATTAAAGGAAAAGAATTCTTACGATAAATAACAATTTGAGAGGGAAACAGCTATATATAAAAGTTTTGTACTCTCTGCAAACAAAGGTTCTAAAATCTTGTGACTTGTACATGTGATTATTTCACCAATAAATTAGCATGCACAGTAAGACAAGATGTCAAGTCAGATTGGCCTGGGCTTAAAGACTGTGTCTATGATTTACTGTGTTGCCTTGAACAATATTCTTAACCCAGACTTCTTCCATTTGATAGAAGCTTTTCTTAAGTACATATATATATATATATATTTTTTTTTTAATTTTTTAATGTTTTTTATTTATTTTTGAGAGAGAGAGAGACAGAGAGAGAGACAGCATGAGTAGAAGAGGATCAGAGAGAGAGGGAGACACAGAATCCAAAGACAGGCTCCAGCCTCCAAACTAGCTGTCAGCACAGAGCCCGACGCGGGGCTTGAACCCATGAACCACGAGATCATAACCTGAGCCGAAGCCAGATGCTCAACCAACTGAGCCACCCAGGCACCCCTGATAGAAGTTTTAAGGATTAAAGGAGGTAACACTGATAAAGCATTTGGCACAGAAATAGGAATACAAAATGTTAGGTTCTTTCAGTAAAAATATATTAAAGTGAATCTAAATTAATTCAATTTTGTTTATATGAACATATCAAATTAAGGAAAGGCACGTTTTTGATGATAAAATTCTAGTTGATATACTACCTTTGCTGTTATTTATTGCATAGGCTAGGATCACGGATGCAAATCTGTCCACCTGCTTTATTGTAATAATCCTATTAATACCACATTAAAATGTATATGGATATGCATGGTGCTAGACTGGTTTCTATATAATTTGGAATTATGTTCTTTATTTACTGTTACACTCATATGAATATTACATTCTTCGAAGTTTCCAGAATCACTCCACTGTACCGATTCCTACAGTATAATGTAAATCGAATCCTAACATCATGTCTCATTATACCTTAAATGAGATTTGACTAGACTGCAGATTATGCAAAATTCAAATTCAAATACCAAATGAAAGAAAAAAGGCTTAAAAAATTTTAGATGCCATTTAGAATTCCCATTATTTATTCTGATTAGTCTCATATATAATACCTTTTCTGTCAGTTCAATATCACATAAGTCCAGGCTATCCAATTCTGACTGGGTGGTGGGCGGGACAGTTCGTCGACAGCACACCATTGTCACTCCTATGGGCAGTTCTTTTAAAATATTCACCACATCTTGGTGATTTTCCCCAAGCAAAGTTATGCCATTCACCTGTGCAAAAAGAGAAGTTGCTCAAGAAAGAACATTTCATAACATGAATACTCTTTTGAAATCAATCTTTTATTAAATAAATAGGAATTTTCTTCTGGTGATTACTATTGTTCTGCTGTGTTCAGAACTACAGTCACCTACATAGTTGACCTAATACAACTCACATGCAAGTTTACAGTAAACACGTGTTGGAAATGCGCCTTCTAAAGCATTCACAGAATAATCACGATCTTCCACCCACATTTCATGTGCCAGTGTAGTAGGTGAGAAATGAAGAGGTAATAGAAAAAAATACACAGGGATGAAGGGAAAAGGAAGAGATTATTTTACAAAGTGACATTTTATATCATTAAGCGAAAAACTTAAAATGAAAAACGGTACATACTGTGTGTGTGCCAGTATGCTTTTAAAAGTCAGGGGAAATAATACATTCAAATTTTCTTAGTTATTCTTTAAACATATCTGGAAGACTACTTATCACCAAATATACAACAGTAGTTAGTTACTTAATGAAGGGTGATGAGAACTGGCTGGATTGGCACAGAAAGAGACAGTTCACTATCCATCTTTACGTTCTTTGTGATTCTGAAACATGTGAAATGTATTACCTAGTCTAAAAGTTGAATAAAAGTTTAAAAATTTTTAAAAGAAAGTGTTTCTAGTTCTCTGGACTAAAACAAACAAAAAACACCCAGCATGGAATTACATCTGAAGATCAATCTACATATAGATTTGAAATTTCTACTTTTGGTGGGTTTTTACTTGTGTATTTCTCAATTACCCTCTGGAGGGGAAAATTAAAATAAGAACGTACTTATTATGCATATTATTACACATTAAACTCCCTGCAGCCTTTTCAGAATTTTACTTAAGGGGATGAAGGAATGGAATAGCTCCTTACTTCCAATAGCTCATCTCCACTGAAAAGCTTCCCACTGTGTCCAACAGGACCTTCTGGTAGAACAGATCGGATAAAGTGATGTCCCACTGTTGCTTCCAGACTTATCCCCAACCCACTGCTTTCACTGAACTTGCTCACGTGGGCCACCTGAAAAGAGAAAATCATCATGAATTTAGCATTTTTTTCATTGTTTTGTTCCTCATGTATATATTTTATGTTTATCCCAAGACAATCAACTTTCTCACAAAAGCTTCAAAAATCTTTTTGTAGAGCTGAAAAACTTTGGAGCTTTGCCTCTGAAGGAGTATTGATTATCAGTTTTGGGGACCAACACAAGCCTGGAAGGAAGAGTCAGGTGCAAGCATCCAAGATACTCTGCAGTGCCTAGAGATGCTGGTAGCAGATGGAGGGTTGTGTAAACTACTGCAGATAAAATCAAATGCCTGAGCTCCAACAACAGTCTAGAAAAGACACATACTTAGCACTTAAATTATGTCCTAGGGACTGGGCTCACTCCATTACATAGGTTATCTCATATGTTTCTCATAAATAATTCCAATGTCTATCCTTGTTTCCCAAATTAGGAAAATGAGGTTCAGAAAAGGTCTCTTTCCCAGAGTCACACAGCTATAAAAGAATTTTGAACCTTAAGCAGTCTAAACCTGGAGCCCACACTCCTGACCTTATGCTATATCAACAACGAACAATGGTCTTTAACACTGAACCAAGGGGCGCCTGGGTGGCTTAAGTCAGTTAAGTATCTGACTTTCGCTTAGGTCATGATCTCACGGTTCGTGGGTTCGAGCCCCGCATCGGGCTCTGTGCTGACAGCCAGCTCAGAGCCTGGAGCCTGTTCCCAATTCTGTATCTCCTCTCTCTCTGACCTTCCCCTGCTCACACTGTCTCTCTCTCTCTCTCTCCTAGAAGTAAATTTAAAAAAAAAAAAACATTTAAAAAAAAGTGAACCAAAGCTTAGGGTGCCTGAATGGCTCAGTCAGTTAAGCATCCGACTCAATTTCAGCTCAGGTCATACCTTCCCCACATGTGGCTCCTGCACTGACAGTGCAGAATCTGCTTAGGATTCTCTCTCCATTTCTCTCTGCCCTTCCCCACTCTTTCTCTCCCTCAAAATAAGTAAACAAACTTAAAAAAAAGTGAACCAAAGCTTAAAATAGGAGAATGAACTTCCTATTTCCCACCGTTACACTAAATAATGAAGAATGTTAGGAAATCACCCACTTTCACAAAGAATCCAATCATTATATTAAAATCAGAAGGTATACCAAAGATTTTCTGCTTCAGCCTCTTTATTTTAAAGTTTAGGAAACTAAGGAATAGAGGGACTGAGAAAAATAGTGTTTAATTAAAAAAAGATTTCCTTCAAAGCCTGCTAATATGTGCAGGGTTATTATCAGAAGCTGCATCATACAATTTTGAAATGTACTGCTGAATGAAATCCTTCTAACTCTTTAAAACCCAATTTAAATATCACTTCCTCTGAGGAGCTCTCCAGGTTCCTCCTAGATAACGTCCATCAGTCCTTCCTTCTACTATATCACCCCTCTTATGACTACATTTATTCTGTATAATCACATAGCAAGTCAGATCTATGTCTTTGTTCGATGAAGGCCAATAAATCACTTAGCTCTTACTTATAGCACACTTTGCCCTTGACAGATAACTGGGAGTGCTACCACAAAGTACACAAAGGGCAGCCAAAAGTTCATGGTCCTGAGTCTTCCCTCTGTGACAAAGCCATTCCTTAAAAGGTCCCCTTCACTATCCAATTACCACTGAAGAAGTGAAGTCCAGTTAATTGTCCCAGTCATGTAGATCCTACCCCAAAGAAGGAATCTCCCAACTTTCTTTTCATGCTAAATTAACCACAGTTAAGCTGGACCTTATTGTATTTTTACCTGACTTGATTAAAATGGTAGTAACAGCTGGACTTACTTATTTGTTAACCACCTTGAGAGTTTAAAAAAAAAAAATCTCTGTCATGAAGATTAAATGAAACATTAAGAACACTGTTTGGTACAAAGTGCTCAATAAATGCTAGTTATTATTATGTGACATCTGTTCTTTGATCTTTTCTAATCTAGAGTTGGTTAAATATTATAAGCAATAGGAAAAGTTCTATTTAACCTAGTGTTTTATTTTTCCTTTTAAAAACCCTGAAATTTGCTTGTGTATATCTCAAGACTGATAATTTGCATCACCTTTGTTAAGTCTCCTTTTAGGACAGCAAATAACGATTGCTGTGTGAGGTACGCTAATTGTTAATAAACATAAAACATTCGGGGCGCCTGGGTGGCTTAGTCGGTTAAGCGTCCGACTTTCGCTTAGGTCATGATCTCGCGGTTCGTGGGTTCGAGCCCCGCGTCGGGCTCTGTGCTGACTGCCAGCTCAGAGCCTGGAGCCTGTTTCAGTCTGTGACTCCCTCTCTCTCTGACCCTCCCCTGCTCACGCTGTCTCTCTCTCTCTCCTAGAAATAAATAAAATATTAAAAAAAATAAATAAATAAACATAAAACATTCACTGTGGCGTTAAGTGGTATGAAAAGAGAATGCAGATTTAAGCCTCTTAAAGGAAAATACATATGTAAAGGGAGAGTAGGAAAAAAAATCCACTTACAATTTTATATACAGATCATGATGATTTTTGTTTTATCTTTAAATAAATTCTGTCATTTTATTCTGACTCTTTCTCTAAATCCCAGATTTCAGAATAAAAAAAAAATTCCTGCTCAAAATATTGATGAATTACAAGTCCTAAAATTTTTATCACATTTATCTCAGTTCCTTTGCTGCTATCCAACTTTCTCCTACTTAAATTTTTAGATACGTGACTCAGTGCATTTAGGTCTTCAGAAAAAGTCCTGGGCATTTGCTACTTCTCTAGGTCTCTTTATGAATATCATCTCTATTTTCATCATAAACTTCCTGCTCAAATACAGTTACAAGTTAGGAAGTTAGGGAGGGTAGGTTAACCTACCACTATTTCATAATTAATTCCCATAATCCTCTGCCACTTTGTCAGCAGAGCAGCTTCCTGTTGCTGTGCATCTTCTGTTTCTTTCATCTCTGCTGACAGTAACGGATACCCTGAAATAGTCAATACAACGACATTAGTGACAAACTACAAAAATCTCCATATTTTAACATTCTAAACCAGAGACACTGTGATCAGAACCTGTCTGCTGTAGCAAGTCTGACTCTTCACCCAGTATATGAGCTACCCTTATTTTTTATTAAAATATAATTTACAAACAATATCCTATTAGTTTCAGGTATGTATCATAGGGATTTGATATTTTCGTACATTATGAAATGATCCCCACAGTAAGTCTAGTTACCATCTGTCACCATACAAAATTATTATAATATTCTTGACTGTATTTCCTGTGCTGTACAATGCATCCCCATAACTTATTTATTTTATAACCAAAGTGTGTACCTCTTAATCCCTGTCTCCTATTTCGTTTGCTCCTGAACCCCTCCTCATGCTGGTAATGAACACTTGTTTCCTATATCTATGGGTCTGTTTAATTTCTTTTGTTTGTTTGTTGTCTAAGGGCAAGCACTAGGGAGGATGCATTAGAATAATTTTAGAAGCTTTTCCTTAGTTTGTTTAAAAAAGAATTTGGGGCGTCTAAGTCTAGAGCCTCTCCCACCCATCCTCCCACACACATATGCACATTCAAAAAGCAAAGACATGGTCTGGGCCTTCAAGATGATCTCCCACACCCATCCCTACACGCTGTCTCAAGTTTCATGCTCTAAAAGCTTTTTATTCTTTCCTGCTACTCATGATACTCACTTTAGCCTAAATAATTTCTTAAATTACTTGTATAATAATGGCAGAGTGTAATTAACACATATGAATCCTATACATCACACTGCCAGGATATTACTGCAAACATAAATATTCCTTTAAAGTAATAAAAGTAAAGCAAACTTTTCAGCAGAAAATAAAACCCGTTAATAATGGAGTAGACATTTTAAAAAACCACAAAGCTTCAAAGGAACTATTTAGCTAAGGGTAGCATATGCATAAAGGAAGACGAGTCTTGGACTCTGTTCAGTGGATTTAAGTTACCAAAGCACCTAGCTCCCAGCCTAGAAAGACAGCAATACTATTCTGGCATAATTACGTACTAAAACAATGCTGCTCTAAAGAAATGTTTAAATGACTAAATGGAGTCTAGGTTTATTCTGAAAGAAATCTCAGAAAGGTTTAACAATTTCTCCATACAATTCCTTTCCAAACCAACTCCACATATTAAGATTTAGCACTTTTGAAAAATTTACAAGGAAAAGCCTCTCAAAATAGGAGAGTTTCATTCCTAAGAGCATATGTTTAAAAGAGATTCTCGGGGCGCCTGGGTGGCTCGCTTGGTTGCACTTCCGACTTCAGCTTGGGTCATGATCTCATGGTTTGGGAGTTTGAGCCCCGCATCGGACTCTGTGCTGACTGCCAGCTCGGAGCTTGGAGCCTGGATTCTACGTCTCCCTCTCTCTCTGACCCTCCTCTGCTCATGCTGTCTCTCTCTCTCAGAAATAAATAAAACTTTAAAAAAGAATAAAAAAATAAAAAAGATTCTCAGGTTTCTTTTAAAAATACTTTATAATTTTATTAGTGCTTGCTCAATAACATATGGACATGTTGGCTGTAGTAAGGGGACTGATATAAAACCTTATACATAACTGATTCCTGAAGCACTCTGGTTTTAAAAATATGTAAGAAAGACTGGGGTGCCTGGGTGGCTCAGTCAGTCGGGCGTCTGACCTCACCTCAGGTCACGATCTCACAGTTCATGAGTTCAAGCCCGCATCGGGCTCTGTGCTGACTGCTCAGAGCCTGGAGCCTGCTTCGGGGTTCTGTGTCTCCCTCTCTCTCTGCCCCTCCCTTGCTCATGCTGTCTCTCTCTCAGAAATGAATAAACATTAAAAAAAAAACTTTTAATTTAAAAAATATGTAAGAAAGAATGAACATACGACCAGAAAATATGCCAGCTATAAATGAACTATTTTAATCTGTTAGAGAAATTAATCCTATCTACAAATACTTAAAACCATTTCTTTTTCTTTCATGATAGTTTTTTTTTTTTTTAGTAATTTGCAATATATCTATAAAGGCTTAATCACATTCACAAAAATCATTTCTCTAAAAAGCAAACAAACAATAAAGAACATAATAACCTGGCTCCAGGTGTTTACCTTCTTCTTCAACTGGTAATATGCTGGTGTTTCTATTCAACGATGAAGAATCTTCATCTTTTTCGTAATTGTCTTAAAGATAAGAGTATTTTAGTAGTTACATCTATAATCAAGCACATGAAAATTTTCAAATCCCACTCTATTTATCTGAACCCTTCAATGAGTGTTTTTTTTTTTTTTTTTTTTTCTTCAGGTAGACCTTTCAATAACAACTACCTGTACTTAAAAGGAAGTTCTCCTGTTACCTCCCTACTATTCCCTCTGAATAGGACATGGCATAAATACCAGAATGGTCAACGGATTGAGAAAGGAGACAGCATTTTCAAACCCAAAGCCTGACTTCTACCAGCAAACTCTTAGATCAGTCAGCTACTTGGGGATTTCACTAATTTTTAGAGATATTCATGAACTCACAGCTTATAAAAGACATTTCTAACTGTGTTATTAACGTAGATTCCTTCAAGGGAGGGATGGATGTTAGAAACAGGAGGCTTGCAGACATACATAGCCCAGTCAGAACTGGTTCCCCATAAACAGAAGACATGGCAATGACACCCAGCAGTAAGGCAGGGATGGAAGGACAGACGCATGTTTCTGACTCTGAAATGGTGATTGAATAAACAGAAAAGAAAGAAATCTGCTTTATTCGAGTGCCCATTTTACAATTAATGCACACATTGCCGGTTCTCATTAGTCCCAACTTCATCAAAGTTCCTTTTTACCTGGTTCACAGTGAACAGTTAAGACTAAAGACGATTCTTTAAATAAATTCATAATTAGAAAAACATCTAATGGATATAAGGGTCTAACTACAAACCAGCTGAATGTGGCATTACCTTTGCTAATGCTGGCATTCCCAGGAGACAGGACCGCATCCTTCGTGACATCCTCTCTTGACATGAGCTCAGCCACCTGCTTCGTTCCTCTCCTCATTAGTGTCAGGTGTACAGTCTGTCCTGTGTGTCGCAACACCTCTACTGCTTGTTGATTGGTAAAACCCTGAAGGTTTGTGCCATCTACCTGTGATAAGAGCAACATATGTTAAAAAAATAAATGAATATTTGTATTACCAATTCACCTAATGCATGTTTACTGCTTGTCAGTAGGGAAAGAATGGGGCTGAGTACTCCCCTAATTGGAGAATGAACAAACATCTGATTGGGGACCAGTAATAACTCAGATGCACTAAAATTACCCAGAAGAGCTTTGCTTTATTTATTAGAGACTATGGTATCTCACTTCTGGATATTAGGAACCAACAGTTCCGGGGTGGGAATACTCTTTTATATTCCTCAGGTGATCCTGATACATAGTCAAGTTTGGAAACCAGTACTCTGCAGGACAGAAAGTGCAGAAGACAGTGACAAAAGTGGTCCCTGACAACACTGATGTATTCCAAAATCACACTTATCCTAGCTTTTAAAAAAGATGGCAAAACTACCTTCCTTTTTACATCTTTGCCTCTTCAGAAAATACATGGGATTTTCCCTTTTCTAGTTCACAAAGGATGAAATATTTGAAGATGCCCCTGTGATCTTTCCAAACTGCAAATATGATCACATTGTCCCAACCCTGCCTTCCGTAGAACACTCCTTAGGTCAATTTTCCATACTGTGAACACAACTTAGGAAGACCTGTGTCAACTGCCCCCAGCCACACCAACAATCTCATCTGGCATGGGACTGCCTACTCCTGTGCCCTCCAGCCCCCATGCATGCATTTCCACTCCCACCCTGCAATGCTCCCCTCAGCCAGAAAGCCTCTGCAGGTTCTGCTCCCCCAGTCTAGACTCTCTGGGCTCCCTCCAGCCCATGTTCTTTCTTATCTGTCTACCCAGAAAACACCTATACTTGCTTCAGATGTCCATGCAATGGATATTCCTTTCAGAACTGAGCTATCCTAAGGCATCTGACTAACTCAAAGTCCCCTTTACCATTTCTCCTTCCCAGCATTAACCAGATTAAAAAAAAAAAATTAAATGTTTATTTATTTTTGAGAAAGAGAAAAAGAGACAGAGTGAGAGCGGGGAAGGGGGAAAGAGAGGGGGAGACACATAATCCAAAGCAGACTCCAGGCTCAGAACTGTCAGCATAGAGGCATAGGAGCACATGTACCCCAATGTTCATAGCAGCACTCTCCACAATAGCTAAAACATGGAAAGAGCCTAAGTGTCCATCAACAGATGAATGGATCAAGAAAATGTGGTTTATCTATACCATGGAATACTACATGGCAATGAGAAACAATGAAATCTGGCCATGTGTAGCAACATGGATGGACCTTGAGGGTGTTATGCTGAGCGAAATAAGTCAGGCAGAGAAGGACAAATATCATATGTTTGCACGTATAGGAGGATTAGGAGGAACTTGACGGAGGACCAAGGGGGAGAAGAAGGGCGGAAATGGTGGGGGAAAGGGAGAGAGGCAAACCATGAGAGACTCTTGAATGCTGACAAAAACTGAGGACTGATGGATGTGGGGGGGAGGGGGGGATGGGCATGGAGGAGGGCACTTTGGGGATGAGCACTGAGTGTTATGTAGAAACTAATTTGACAATAAACTATTTGTAAAAAAAAAAAAAAAAAAAAAAAAGAACTGTCAGCATAGAGCCCAATGTCGGGCTCAAACTCAGGAATGGCAGGTTCATGACCTGAGCCGAAGTCTGATGCTTAAATGACTGAGCCACCCAGGCACCCCTACCAGAATTTTAATTTTATAGTTTCTGTTATTATTAGGTTTGTGACTGCATGCTCCAAGAGGACAGGCTCTGATGTCACCAAAACATACCGCTGTCTATACGGCAGACAGTCACCACAAATGGGAACACCGAGCCATTAATCTATATGTCAGGGATTTATTTGTAAGGCAAATTACCTTTTGAATAAAATAAATGCAGTTTATAGCACCTTATTTTTTAAAATATCATTGAAAATTACAAAATTTCAAAACTACATTGAAAGCAGTTTGGAAAAGTTGAAACAAATTCACTGAAACTCTAAGTCATTGATATTTCTTCTGCACTGTGCAATGGGTATAAAATGGTTCTTAAAGTGTCAAGCTTTTCTAAGAAGAGCACTGAAATGAATGAGAATTATAAAAGCTAGATTGTGATCTCTAAGATACAATACCTTACTTCAGAGGTTTCTGAAAGAATATAAAAGAACTTCTAATTAAACATATTTTAAAATTCCATTTGTTTTATGTACCTATATATACTAATTACATATAAAAATATATAATACCATATATAGAGAATATATATCACATATGAATACATAAAGGGGAGAAGAAGAGGAAGAAAGGAGTGTTTAATTTGGAGATACTCAAAAATCTAGAGAACGTCTGATAATAGATTTTTCTACATTTGTCTAGATAACAATATTACTTTTTGCAAGTTACTTAAATTTTATATAATACTTTTGAGCTTAGGTGTCTAACTTCTTCTGCCTTCACCCCATTGATTCCCTTTTGGAATAACTAATACAAATATAACAACAGAGAAAACACTGCAACAAAACTGGAAACCATGGAAAAATAAAAGTCCTTATGCCAATAACTTGGAGGAAACGTCTACGAGGAGTGGTCTGGACATGACCAGATCCAAAGCAGGCCAGTTAAATCTCTCTATGTGAAAGAATAGCTTGTTTGGTCTTTGAGAAGAAACTCCAGTAAAATCCAACAACAGTCTCTTCTTAAAATGATGCAGTCAGATGGTACTTGTGGTAACCAATGATTCCAAAAAAACGACACCAAGTGCTAACGGCCCCACTGTGCTGGGAGCAAGCAGCACCATGAAATTACATATACACAATGAAATCACACTCTACACACATGCACCCACACAACCCCAACCAACTCCTGGCTCCACAACAAACTCATAAAACAATCTCTCAGCACACAGGGGCAAAATTCCTCATTGTGATGCCCCAGTTTCGTCTCTATTTATCTACAAGTGAAACTTAAATAAATTTAAATGTTCTCCTTTCTTCGTGCTCTGTCAATTCCTGAATCATCTGGACAAAACCAGCACAATCTTTGGCAGAACCCATCTCAAATCCCATTTGTACAAGCATAATTCTTACTAAGGATGATCAAAGGTCACAGGATATGGAGAAAGACACCACATCCAAAAAAAGGTGCTTGCACTTAGTTATCACTACAAACATCTCCCAATGAAATTGTTACTGTAGTGAACAGGAAAAAAGATTATTTCCTGAAACTTCCCTCAAAGGGATTCATATTTAATTGTATTCATGGAAACATGGATTTAGTTATAAAGAAAAGACAAATTATCTACCATAAAAGAAAAGGAAAGCTTGTTACAATGAGAGCAGTCAACAGGATTTTAAATACTATAAAAGCAGCCAGGTAATGGAAGGCAGAAACATACAATTTTCCCCTATTTCAGAAGAAACGAATAAATAGAAAAAAAATGATCAGAGAAGACTAAAGACATATAGCCTGATCTAAAAATCAATATAACTGAAAACAATTACAAGGAAAGGAGAATGAGGAAAAAAAGTAAGCCAAGAAATGCTTAGAAGGTTAGGAAAATTTAGTCTATAAATAAACGAGGTACATGAAAAACCAGAAAACAAATTTGAAAACAAACAAACAAAAACACTAATACTTAGACATATCCTGGTAAAATTCTTGGATTTCAAACTTCAAAAGGAAAAAGAATCTGCCAGCATTTAGAAAACAGAGTGAGCAAGTTATCCAGAGAATTTGTGGCAAAGAAATTACAAACCAAGAGTTTTATATTTAGTGTGATATATGTAAAAATGGGAAATCATGGTTGAGATGCTATGAAGATTTATATCTTAACTACAGTGAGCTGTGAGAGGGCCCATCAGGCAGAAATTTAAACCAAGCAGTAAAGAATGAAAATGTGCACATAGTTCAGGCATAAAAGAGCTGGGTTGTTAAAGGCCAGTAAAAATTTAAGAGGAGATTTGTTGTTTGTTGTTTGTTTATTTGTTTGTTTAAGAGAGAAGATGGCTATAAGTATCCAAGCCATCCACTTAGATGTTTTGCCCTTAGTCTCAAGTCAGAAGACATAGGTAGTAGGGAAGGATGCAGTGGATCATGTCTAACTCCATCAGGAGGACAAGTGAGAGGCTGTTTAGTTGCTTTGACAGTGGAACAAGAGAAAAATGGCTATTATGTTGAGAACTGTCTGACTTTGGGCATAGATCTGAAGAGGGCCACACACATAAGTCAGGCTCAAGTCATTTTGAAACCTATCCAAGAGTGACTCTAGGGAATGATGGTACCCCAAAGAATCTATGGAGTAGACTGCTGAGAAACAAGGGGCCAAAGGTAAGAAGAGTCAGATGAAAATTCTATCATCTGTCTTGGGAAGTTAAATCAAACATCTTCAGAAACCCATCTAGGACCTTCTCAGGACTCAAAGAAGGAACTCTTAAGAGGCAGTTTTAAGCATCTGCCAGGCTCACTCAGCGCAAAACCGTCTCATAGCAGAACGGTCAAGGACAATATGTCTGATCATCCTCCCTTCTCTCACCTTTTACAGTGGTAGGGTCAGAAACTGCCATAAGGTGAGGGAGAAAAAGAATAGCTAGGTAGGGAGATAGACTGGAGTATACACTCTCAATCCCTAGGTAAGCCATCACTTCAGAGCAGGCTTCCACTACACCAGGGCTGTAGTTTGAAATTCAATTATTACTTAAGAGGAGAAATTTCCTTTCTTTCTTTCTTTCGTGGGTGGAGTGGGGTTTTGTTGTTGTTGTTTGGTTGGTTTGTTGTTGTTTTTTGTTTAGAGACAGAGCCCAAGGAGGGAGAGGGGCGGGGGGGGGGGAGAGAGAGAGAGAGAGAGAGAGAGAGAGAGAAACACCTTAAGGAGGCTCCACGCTCAGTGCTAAGCCTGATGTGTGGCTCAATCCCAGAACCCTGGGATATGACTTGAGCCAAAATCATGAGTTGGACACTCAACCAACTGAGCCATCCAGACACCCCAAGAAATTTTCAGTCACTAAACTGGGACTATGTTTAGTGATT